AAGAAATTTAAAAATTAAAGACTTAAATTAAAAAGGTTGAATAATAAAGATAAGCTGATTTAAAAGAATTCTAAGACATGATTGGTAATGGTGTATAAGAATAAAAAGTTGTGGGTTTGATGACTGATAAGCAGGATTTACAGAAATAAGTCAGGGATTAATAAAATCAAATTGATCAACTCTAATAAAAATAAATTTCTCTATAAGCAGATTTATTAAGTAAAACAAAAGAATTATAATCATATGATGCATAAAATTAATAATAACCAAATATTTAATCAAATGAGTAATAGACAGATCTAATTAATTCATTATAATAATAATTATCATAAGCCAAATAATAATATTAAGAGCTATTGGAAACTGCTTCATAAAATATAACTCCAAATGGGTTAAAAGAAAAAGTATTATAATAATAAACAACTATTCATGATTAGTAGGATTAGATAATAAATTTACAATAATAATTAGAAAAAGAACTTCCTAAATTATAAGGATAATTAACATAGACTCAGTAAGAATTATAAGCAGCTTAAACTGATGCATAACTTTAAGCCAAACGATACTAGGATTTATTAGCTAAGAAATAACCAGAAAATCAAAAAGGTGATGAACAATTAGAAATTCCTTAAGAAGAAGCAAAATAGTTAAAATAATAAAATTAAGAATTTCAAACCAATTTGTAAAATTTGGAGTAAGAAAAAAAATAGAATGCCTTAGAATTACAAAAGTTATAATAAGCTAAAGATGAAATAGATAGTTTGTAAAGAGAAAAAAATTTAGCTGAATAATTGTAAAATATTTTATAAGAATAAGTTAAAGACTAATAAAATTAAATAACAGAATTAAAAAAAAAAGAAGAAAATCTAAAATAAGAAATAAAAACTTAAAAAGATAATTAAAGTGAATTAATAGGCAATAATTCATAAGGAGATGCTCAAAAATCTAAGGATTAACTCCCATTATAATAGTAAGGAGAAGAAAAATAAGAATAAGGATAAATTCAACCTGAAAATGTAGAAGCTTTAAAGGATTAAATTGCAAAATTAAAATTTGAAAAGGAATAAAACTAAAGTGAACTTGATTCACTATCTAATCACAAAAAAGAAAATGAAGACTTAAGAAAACAAAAGCTTGAACTTTAGAATTAAGTACTAGAAAAATAAAGCTAAATCAATAAATTATAGGATAATAAAATTTAAGCAGAAAATGTTGACAATCAAAATTTCAAATTTTAAACAGATCCTGAAAAAAATTTAAAAATAAGCTAACTCACTTAAGAAAATTAATAGCTGAAAAATTAGATCACTTAAATAGAGGATTAAAAGAAAGAAGATCTAAAATAATTTTAGAATATGATTGGAAATGGAGTTAATGAGTAATAGATTGTTGATTTATATCGCCAAAAACAAGAACTTCAATCAGAAATTAGATAATTATAAAATCAGCTTGATAAAGTATAGCAAGAATCCATATATTTGTAAGAATAATTAGCTGAAAAAAATAAATAAATAATTGATTTAAATTAGACGTTGCCTCAAGATGAATAAAAACTTCTTATTTTAGAAAATTAGAAGGAAATAGAATAATTAAAAGCTTAGCTCAATAAAGCAAAATAATAGTATTAAGAAATCCTAGAAATTCAATCTTAAAATTTAACTCCAAATGGTTAAAAAGAAAAACTTCTTTAAAATGCAAAATAAATACATGAATTAGAACAACTTCTTTTAGAAAAATAATAAGAAATAGAAAATTAAGTTCCATAATTATAGGGACAACTAAAAGAATTATAACAAAAGTACACTGATTCTTTAAATGAAGTTTAACTTTTGAATGATAGATACTAAGATCTATTGAGTAAGAAACCATTAGAAATACCAGACTAACGTGAAGAAAATATAGTTTTGGCTGAATTATAAGAAAAATATAAAAATTAAGAGGAATAAGTTAAATAATTAATTTAAGATTAAAAGCAATCTCAAAATAATCAAACAAAAATGTCTGAAGAAATATCTGATCTAGTTAGATAGAATAACTTATTATAATAGTAATTATAATTAACTGAATAATAATTAAATTAAATTTAGAATGAATTAAATGATCAAAGATCATTAATTTAGTAAAAAGATGAAGAAATTTTGAAATTAAAAAACGAACTCATAGAAGCTAATGGAGATTTTGGGAAATAAGAGTATCAAAAATTATAAAATCAGTAAGGAGGGTAAGACACCTCAAATTAGGTTCCTTAATAAAGTAAGATTTAATAGGATGATGAAAAAAATGCTAGTGAAATAATAAATTCTTTATAATCTTAATTGGCAATTTTATAATAATAAGGTAATGATTAATAATAGCTCCAACAAGAAAATGAACAATTAAAATAAAGTAAATTGTAATTATAAAATGAATTATTAAATGCATAAAATACTTTGAATTAATTGTTTTCAGGATAATTACCACAAAAAGCAGATAATCCTTCATTATTAGATCCAACTAAAGCACTTTAAATTAGCTAATTATAATAAGAAAATTAACAATTAAAGAAATAGATTATTGATATAGAAGCAGAAAGAAAAGAAGATTTGAAAAACTTTGAAAATATACTGGGTACTGGACCAGAAGGAAAATAAATTGTATCCTTAATATCAGAGAAGCAACAATTATCTTAAAAATTAAGGGATTTAGAAAATCAAATAGATTAATTACAATAATCGCAAATAATTTTATAGAGCTAACTGCTCGAAAAAAACTAATAACTTATGGATCTATACGATGAATAAGATCAATGAGGTGCTAATGTCAGACTATGACAACTTTGAGCTTAAGTAGATTTATTACAAAAGCGACTAGATAAATCAGAGGAGCAGTATTAAGAGTTGCTTGAGATATAATCATGAGCCGTAACTCCAAATGGATTAAAAGAAGAAATTTTATAAGAGACTAAATTAATCCATTAGCAAGAAGAGGAAATATAATCTTTATAACATCAAATCGAATAAGACTTACCTTAAATGGTCGGTAAGCTAGAAGAGGTTTAATTAAGATTAAAGCAAGCAGAAGATGAAGCTAATTTATGGAAAAGCAAACATTAAATGCTTCTTGAAAATAGGCCAAATATACAATAACCAACAGTAGATAAATAATCTATAAAAGAGCTAAATTTAGAATAAGCGCAACAAGCTGTACAAGATTTATTAATAAAATAAGAATAGAATGAGTAACATAAAGACGAGCAACAAAATAAAATAATGGAATAATAAAATTAATTATAACAGCTCCAGGATGAGAAAGATAATCTTTAAAGAGAAAACAATCTATTACTAGAATAAAATCAGATAGTTAAATAATAAAATGATTTATAAAAGAAATAGGTTGAGGAATTGAAAAATTAAGACTTGGAAAATCGATAATAAATATTAGACTTGAAAAATTAATTGGAATAAGAAAATGCAGAGTTTTGGAGAACTGAATATCAAAAATTAGCAAATAAACACGGAGAAGATATTCCAACATAATTCCCAAGTTCAAAATAAGTAGTTCCATAACACATCTAAAAAGATGAAGGAAATTAGACAGAAGCTATATAAGAATTGAAAAAATAAAATGAATTATTACAAACATAATTAGAAGATTAAAATTAATTACAATAAGAAAATGATGAATTAAAGGCTAACAAATTATAATTGTAAGACTAATTATTATAAGCTTAAAAATAATTGCAAGATTTATTATCTGAATAAATTCCAAAATAAGTAACATCCTCAGGATCAATTCAATTTTAGACTGATCCATAAAAAGCATTATAGATCAGTTAATTATAATAAACTAATTAAGCATTAAATTAATAAATAGAAGAATTATAACAATAAAGAAAAGAAGATTTATAGAAGTTTTAAGATATGATTGGAAATGGAGTAAATGAATAATAAATTGTGGCCTTGATGTCTGAAAAATAATAACTGTAATCTGATTTAAGAATGTTATAGAGTAAATTAGATTAAATTTAATAAGAACAATTAGCTTTACAAAGTTAATTGACTTAAAAAACTAAATAATTGATTGATATCCATGATGATGTTAAATAAGAAGAATAGATTTAATAATAGTAATAATTATCTAATGAGAATGAACTATTAAAGAAATAGTTAGAAAAAGTTAAAAGTTAATATTAAGAACTTCTAGAATTATAATCATAAAATTTAACGCCAAATGGATTATAAGAGAAATTATTACAACAAACAAAGCAAATACATGATCTAGAAGAACAAAATCATATATTATAACATCAAATTGAGACAGAAATCCCTTAATTAGTAGGAGAACTCACTGAAACTAAATAAAAGTTAAAAGATGCCATTACTGATGCCTAATTATGGAATGATAAATATCATGATTTGTTAGATCACAAATAAAGTGTTTAACCTCAACATTAAGAAGAAGATATTGCTAAGATGACAAAAGAAGAAGCTTAATAAGCATTATCAGATCTATAGTAATAATACTAAAACTCATTACTAAAATTAAAATAGGCTTAAGATAATGCAGAGGAAAATAAATAAAATTTAATAAAGGCATAAGATAATCTTGATAATTCATCAAGAGATGCAAAATTATTAAAAGAATAAAAGGAAATCTTAGAAAAATAAACTGAAAATCTATAAAATGTAAACAATGATCTAAAATAAAAAGATTAAGAAAATAGATAGTAAATTTTAGACTTGAGAAATTAATTGGAATAAGAAAATGCAGAGTTTTGGAGAACTGAATATCAAAAATTAGCAAATAAACATGGAGAAGATATTCCAACATAATTCCCAAGTTCAAAATAAGTAGTTCCATAACACATCTAAAAAGATGAAGGAAATTAGACAGAAGCTATATAAGAATTGAAAAAATAAAATGAATTATTACAAACATAATTAGAAGATTAAAATTAATTACAATAAGAAAATGATGAATTAAAGGCTAACAAATTATAATTGTAAGACTAATTATTATAAGCTTAAAAATAATTGCAAGATTTATTATCTGAATAAATTCCAAAATAAGTAACATCCTCAGGATCAATTCAATTTTAGACTGATCCATAAAAAGCATTAGTAGATCAGTTAATTATAATAAACTAATTAAGCATTAAATTAATAAATAGAAGAATTATAACAATAAAGAAAAGAAGATTTATAGAAGTTTTAAGATATGATTGGAAATGGAGTAAATGAATAATAAATTGTAGCCTTGATGTCTGAAAAATAATAACTGTAATCTGATTTAAGAATGTTATAGAGTAAATTAGATTAAATTTAATAAGAACAATTAGCTTTACAAAGCTAATTGACTTAAAAAACTAAATAATTGATTGATATCCATGATGATGTTAAATAGGAAGAATAGATTTAATAATAGTAACAATTATCTAATGAGAATGAACTATTAAAGAAATAATTAGAAAAAGTTAAAAGTTAATATTAAGAACTTCTAGAATTATAATCATAAAATTTAACACCAAATGGATTATAAGAGAAATTATTACAACAAACAAAGCAAATACATGATCTAGAAGAACAAAATCATATATTATAACATCAAATTGAGACAGAAATCCCTTAATTAGTAGGAGAACTCACTGAAACTAAATAAAAGTTAAAAGATGCCATTACTGATGCCTAATTATGGAATGATAAATATCATGATTTGTTAGATCACAAATAAAGTGTTTAACCTCAACATTAAGAAGAAGATATTGCTAAGATGACAAAAGAAGAAGCTTAATAAGCACTATCAGATCTATAGTAATAATACTAAAACTCATTACTAAAATTAAAATAGGCTTAAGATAATGCAGAGGAAAATAAATAAAATTTAATAAAGGCATAAGATAATCTTGATAATTCATCAAGAGATGCAAAATTATTAAAAGAATAAAAGGAAATCTTAGAAAAATAAACTGAAAATCTATAAAATGTAAACAATGATCTAAAATAAAAAGATTAAGAAAATAGATAGTAAATTTTAGACTTGAAAAATTAATTGGAATAAGAAAATGCAGAGTTTTGGAGAACTGAATATCAAAAATTAGCAAATAAACATGGAGAAGATATTCCAACATAATTCCCAAGTTCAAAATAAGTAGTTCCATAACACATTTAAAAAGATGAAGGTAATTAGACAGAAGCTATATAAGAATTGAAAAAATAAAATGAATTATTACAAACATAATTAGAAGATTAAAATTAATTACAATAAGAAAATGATGAATTAAAGGCTAACAAATTATAATTGTAAGACTAATTATTATAAGCTTAAAAATAATTGCAAGATTTATTATCTGAATAAATTCCAAAATAAGTAACATCCTCAGGATCAATTCAATTTTAGACTGATCCATAAAAAGCATTATAGATCAGTTAATTATAATAAACTAATTAAGCATTAAATTAATAAATAGAAGAATTATAACAATAAAGAAAAGAAGATTTATAGAAGTTTTAAGATATGATTGGAAATGGAGTAAATGAATAATAAATTGTGGCCTTAATGTCTGAAAAATAATAACTATAATCTGATTTAAGAATGTTATAGAGTAAATTAGATTAAGTTTAATAAGAACAATTAGCTTTACAAAGTTAATTGACTTAAAAAACTAAATAATTGATTGATATCCATGATGATGTTAAATAGGAAGAATAGATTTAATAATAGTAATAATTATCTAATGAGAATGAACTATTAAAGAAATAGTTAGAAAAAGTTAAAAGTTAATATTAAGAACTTCTAGAATTATAATCATAAAATTTAACACCAAATGGATTATAAGAGAAATTATTACAACAAACAAAGCAAATACATGATCTAGAAGAACAAAATCATATATTATAACATCAAATTGAGACAGAAATCCCTTAATTAGTAGGAGAACTCACTTAAACTAAATAAAAATTAAAAGATGCCATCACAGATGCCTAATTATGGAATGATAAGTATCATTAACTTTTAGGAGATCATTAATAAGCATCTCCTTAACAAATTTTGGATTTAGAATAGAAACTTACAGATGCATAAAATGAAGTTCAAAAGGAAAAAGAAAAGTATAATCATTTATTTTAGGAATAATATTCATAATTATCTCCATCATCTGCCTAAGCTAAACTTTTAGAAGCAGTTAATTAAATTAATGAATTGAAGGCCTAATTAGAAGCTTAAGAAAAAGCAAGAATTGCAAATTTAATTGAAAAAGAGCCTTCTTTAGCAATGGATAAACTTTAAGAAGACCTTCTTAATTATCAAAAATAAGTTGAGATGCAAGAAAAACTAAATGAAATTCAATTGCAACAAATTGAATTTTTGAGAAACTAGCTTGCTTAAAGAGACTAAAAATAATAAATAAAATAAGACTAAGAAGATGAAGAGACTTAACAATCATTGAGAGATCAAAATATTATCCTATAAGCATAACTTGCTTAAAAGTAAAAAGAGTTGGATAATGCCTAGGCAACTTTGATATAAAATCAATAGATTATAGATGAATAATAATAAGAGTAATTAAAGTCTGAGTTTTGGAAGAAATAATATACAGATTTAATTTCTTAATAGGCTCCTGCTGATTAACAAAAGTAAATATTAAAGCAAAAGGAATCTGAACTAACTTAAGAGATTAAGCAACCATCACAATCTAATAATGATAACTTATAAGAACAAATCAATAATTTGTTAATTGAGAGGGCTTCTCTTTAATAACAACTAATTCAAGCTTAAGGCAAACTAGGCAAAGCTACATAAAATCTGGAAAGCACAGATAGCCCTTAGTAAGGATAGGATAGTTAAGGATAAATTTAAAAATTGAATAGGGAAGTATAAGAATTGCAACAAAGAAATTAAAAGTATTTATTATTCTTTATCATTTAGTTTAATTGAATAAATGAAATCTGCATTGAGCGGAGATGATTAGGGACAAAAACTAGCATAATTAATTGAGAAAAACAACTAATTAAGCTTAAATAATTCAAAATTAATGATAGATTTAGATGTAAATCAGAAAGAATTATTAAAACAATAAGGCTAAAATTAAGTTTTAATTGAAAAAGTTAAAGATTTGTCTGATCCATCTGTTACAGAAAATGCAAAGTTGCGAGTTTCAGATTTATAAAAGTAGATAGATCTAATTGGGTAACAAGTAGATTTTTGGAAATAAAAATATTAATAAGTTTTAAATGAATACAGCTAATAATTATCACCAACAAGTATTCAGAGAAAAATGCTTGAATAGGCTCAATATATTCATTAATAAGAGGAAGCATTATTAATGTTACAATAAACTACAGATTAAACTAAATTAGATAATGAAAATTAAATTAATTAACTAAGAATTGAAAATAAGATATTAAACGATGAAAATGTTAATTTGAAAAAGAGAATTTAAGAATAAGAAAATTAATCCTAATAAATATCAAGATAACATGTATTGTCTTAAGATTAATATGATAAGTAAATTCAATTTTGGAAAGAGAAATACTAGGAAGCCTTATAGGCCTTACATAAAGATCCATAAAAAGTTTAGGATATTATTTAGCAATAAGAAGAATCAGCATAAAATATATAATCAGATAAAGACTGGCAACCAATATTAAAACAATAAGATTAAAGTTCAGAAATAATAGATAAACTAAGAAGCGAGAATCAAACATTTTAAGGAGAAGTGACATTCTACAAAAAGAGAGTATTTGAGCTAGAATAATAACAGTAAAAGCCAGATCCAAGCTAATAAGACACAATTTAATCATAATAATACTAAATTAGCCAACTTGATCGAGATTTGTAAAAGGCTCTACAAACTTCTGCCTATTGGGAATAAAAATATAATGATGTTGTACAATAAAGTATCAACAAAGAAGTAGGTCAAAGGGGTGATGCTCAAAATACAGCAAGCTATTGGAGATAAAAATTCGATTAAGCAGAATAAAGCAGATAATAACTCATGCAAGTAATTTAAGAAAAAGAAGAATAAATAGAGTAGCATATGCAGTCTTTCTAATCAATTCTCAAAGATGAATTAAAAGAAGAGTTAACCAAAATTAGAAATCAAGAGAGATAGAAAATTGAATTACAACTTTAACAGAATTAACCATATAATGAATCTAATTTAATTCAAAAACTCAAAGAATAACACGAAGTTGAGAAATAGTAGTTAATTTAAGAATTTTTAAGAAGAATTGATTAGTTATTGTAAAGTAATGTTTAGAAATATCCAGAAGGAGAAAATTGGAAGGAACTAATTTTAAGGTATGAAAAACAGAGATAAAACGAGCTTTATGAGTTAAGACAACATTTAGAAATACTATAAAGATCATAAATTTAAACTAAAGATATAGAATTTTATGCTGAACGAAGGGCATATGAAAATGCTATTAACGAATTAAAAAATAGAATTTAATAAGATGATCCATAAGAATTATATGATACTATTGAATATTAAAGAAAGGTCATTTTAGATTTAGAGGATTAGGTCGGGTTCTTATAAAATGAAAGAAACAATCTCGAAATGCATATAATGCAACTTAATTAATAAATTGATCAGCTCAAGGACAATATATCTAGATATCAAATGCAATCTGACAATAGAAAAAGATAGAGAGCTGAAGTCCTTGAAGCAATTGAAGAAATGAAACGAGAAAGAGCTCGCGAAAGAGAATCCTACAAATCTCCTCATAGATAAATGAGATAGAGCTAAAATAGATCTTCATGGGATAGATACCCTAAAGATTATTTAAGACCTTCAAATATCTAATAGCCATCATAATTCCAAGAGCATAGTTCTCCTATGTAAAGGATACCATTCTAGCAATCTTAATTTGTGTCTCCTCAACAAGAAAATAGAGACATAGTATTAAAGTTACAAGAATTAGATGAAGTGAAACATAAATATCAAAATGCACTAAATAATATTTTGTAGTTAGAGGCTTAAGTGATAGAGAAACTATAACAAGATGATATTTAAATAGAATGAGAATTAATTATAAGAATTATCTTCACTAATAAATTAATATAATTTTAATTGTTAATTATCTTAAGGTGTTAATGTAATTAAATTAACATTTAGAGACTCTCTTCTAAGGTTTTCCTCACCTGATAAAACAATCGATTCTAATAAAAATTATATTATTATATGTTTTTGCCAATTTAAATTGAATTATTAATAATCGCTCATGATGGAATGTTATACTTTTTATCTAATTCTACATTATAAAGTTTCCTTAAAAATCTATATTTTTCAAATGTGTATCCTCCAAAAAGTACAAATGCTGGGGCTAACATGAAAACTGCATAAAATCCCTTTTTATTTCTAAGATTTGTCTTGAAATAACAGTATCCCAAGCCCCCTATTGCAGTTATTTCAATTATTCCAGCCTTTCATAATTAAAAGAAAAATTACATTTTTTACTACTTTTCTGTTTTCAGCTTATATATACTCGTAATCGAGTTAGGTTAAATCTGGATGGAAAAGGATTTTTTCATAAATGGTTAAATCCTTACTATTTTTAATCTTATCATTATAAAGCCTCCTTTTATAATTAAAAAATTAAGAATACTTATAAACTCTATATGAAGATAATTTTTCAGTAGTTAATTCTTTATTATATTTTAGTTTAGTATATACTAGTAAATGAGATTAGAAATCAGGTTTAGTCCAAAGCTTGGCCTTTTAAGCTTCAAATTTTAAGACATCTTTATAATAAAGTTTGTCATCTTCATCAATTTCATAATGAGCTTCTTATTCCATTATTTCATTTAAAGATATCTTCGCGTCCTTATCAGATTCTTCTTAAATTTTACTATTTGTATTCTCTTTTCCAGTTACCTTTTCAAGGAGTCTTCTCATTGTTAATAATAATTCTTAAATTAATAATAAAATTTTTTCCTCAATTATTTTTTATAAAATAGCCTTCATAAATTAAAAAAAAATCACTAATTTGTAATGAGGATTTATTTAAAACTAAATTTGACTTATCTAATGGATGATGAAATAAAATACAATCATTAATAAATAAATTTTAGTAAGTTTCTACTAAATTTACAATAAAAACCTTCATAGAATATATTTGTTTGAAAGAAATCATTATATAATTAAAAGATCTAAAATAAATCTCAACTTAAATTGAATCATTTTGTAGTAGGATAAATTCATTTGAGCATTTATTTAATATCTGTGATTATGTTCAGCTAAAATATTGAAAAGAATTACATTTTAATCTCTGTAATTATCTTGATCTAAAAATTCATGAAGCAAATATAGGACATTTATCAGTGTTTGCTGGTCAACAATTTATGTTTAGTATATTTTCTATAAATATATGGCTTGATCTTCGCTAATTACAAAGTGCTAACGTAACCAAAAAATCATCTCCTCATAATTCAAATTAATTTTTTCTTTATTATGAATCATAATTTTACTAACATTTTTGTTTAGAATTGAGGTGACATTTTAGGTAGTCTTAAATTAATGTTTAGCATCTTTCGAATTCTGATTTTTTACAATATTCAAAAATTAACTTCTTAAAATTTGAGAATCCATTATATCCTTCTGAAGCGGTAGAGATATTTTTTGACTATAATATTCTTTCTGGCAAACATTTTACAGGAATGTTTCGACTTTAGAAATTTTATTATAGTGATCGTTAATTCATAATAATAATTTATAGTTTTAATTAAATAAATTATTGCTCAATAATTTATTCAAATATTATATATGTGTTGGCAATAAAATTCAAATTCTTTTCGATTAACATTTCAAGAATGAAATTATATTAGTTGAAAATGTGTCAATTCCATAAAAATTGTTTTTTTAATTTTACATAGAATTGCTTCTTAAATTTATAAAACATTAACTAGTTAATGTTGTATAATAATGTACATATTAAATCTATCATTTTTTTCCCTTTTGTTTACCTGCAGTTTTGGCAGCTGCCTTTTAAGCTGCTTTGGTTTCAGCTTTTTGTGCAACTTTTTATGTACTTGTTACTCCTTTTCTTTATGATTTCTAAGCATCAATTTATTTTTGTTTTCTATCCTTAATTTCTCTTGCTGCTTATTCTGCTTAAGCCTTTCTTGTTTCTAAATTTTATAATAAAATTTTACTATCATCTTCCTTTCTTCTTCTACGAATTTCTTCTAATGAAATACCAACAATAGCTCTTTAAACTTTAAGGTTTCTAATTCTTCTTTTCTTAGCACCTTCATCAGTTTTAATTTTCTTGTTTAATCTTCTCCAGGCGACAGTCCATTAGATTTCTTGGCTTTTAATCTAAAATGATGAATGCATAACTTACTTTTCTGGCAGAGAAGGCTCTACTCTTTTAGTTTAAGTAGTAAAATAATCTGCCATCCTTAGCCACAAATCTTCTTCCATGTCCAGGGTAAATACGCCATTCACTAAATGAGCACAAATCAGTCTTAATAACCATTTTAAATAAAAATAAAAATCTTTTAATAAAATTAATTGTTTTTAGCAATTTGTAATTTATATCATTGCTATAGGAATGATTATTCAAAAATATGAAATAAAATACTTATGTGCAAGTTTCGAAATATGCTGTTGTTTAATAATTATGTAATATAAGAAGTGTAATATAAATTTATTTAAACAAATTTTTATTTTAATAATTAAAGTCTCAATTATTTCATAATTAAATCAATTAACTAAAGACCAAAATATTAATAACTCATCAGCTCCTAATGAACACAGTTAACTTTGATCTGTTGAAGTAGCTATTCTAAGAACTTTGTCTTAATGTCGATTCATAATTATGTTACCGTTGTAGCACTTATTCCCAGCACAATAAAGCAACTAAGTATTTGTACTTACTATTTGAGTAATTCCAAAATCAACACTCATACGATGAGGATTATATTCTCCTTCAGTATTCCAAATAGTTATTGTTTAATCTTACCCACCAGCGCATAAATAATTTTGTTTTCTTTTATCCCAAGTTAGAGCCCTACCATCTTAGTTGTATTGTGCAATTAAGATTTATGGTTTACGAATATCATATATGCATACTTTATTTGGAGATCCTGCAGCTAGGATGTTGTCACTTTAAACTGACCGAATAGATATCAACCATTGTTCCAATCCTATAAATATATTTATTTTATCTGAGATCAATGTAAAGAATTCCATTATTTACTGTTGCACAACACAAAATGCAATCATTAAAACAAATCATTCTTGTAATATCATTTAGCTGGTATGATTACAATAGCTATTTCTGATCAGAATCAATAACAATAAGGTCACCATTAGAAGTACTGTATACAATAAGTTCACCTTAAGAACAAAGACTAGTTAGTATCCCATCCTCTAATTGAGTTAATAATTAAGTGATTCCAGTTTTAAAATTGCGTGCGAACAAATTCTCTTTTAATCCTAAGAATATGATTTCTTATGATGACCAATCTAATAGTTAATACTCAGAATTTTGAGTAACATTAGGAGCATCCAGTAATTTGAGCGGTTAAATTTCTTTAAATTATTTCTTGTTTTTTGATGTTGGATTAGTTTAATTCAATAATAGTTATCCGTAAACAGTTTCAGGTTGATCATATAATAACAAATTATTAACTTTTTTAATCCCTCTTTCGCTTGAATTTAAATAATAATTTTTCATTCTTTAATTTAACAATTTGTAAAATTTTCTATTATAAAATTAATTAATAGTGAGTAAATGAAACTCCTTTTTAAGTTGCAATTTTATAATATCATAAAATTTATTTATTAACAACACTAATCTCGAGCTCTTTTGCAATAACTAATCCACCTCATATATTGCTAATTTTTATTCGGTTATACATCTGATCAATCTTATGCATTTCAATCTTTAATCTAGTTGGATAGTTAAAATCAAAGCCACTTTTTATTTGTTTAATATCTCATTTATTCATCCTCTCTCTAATTAATTAATTTATTATTTTTTATAAAAATTAATATGATGTTGAATATTTTTGTTTTATCAAAAACTTAACAAATAATCTGTATCAACTCCCCAAATTGGTTATCTCTATTTTTAACAACTATTATTGTTGCTTAAAGATAGTTCAGTTGATGCTTTACTCATTGGAGAATCACTCGAAATTCTTTTTTCTAAAATTTATCTCTAAATATTTACTATTTTTTATAGCACTTGATGCTCTTTAATACATCTACTTTAGAATTTTGTTGCATCTTGGGTTTTCAGAATCTTTAAGAAGATCTTTTACTTTGACAAACGAAGTTAAGTCTCTTGATTTATAACTTATCAATAAATCTGGATTGAGAAGATTTTTACGATACCAATTATCCATTTCAACACATGAAAATGGTCCTTGAGTTTTTAAACAATATTGATACCTTAAATATTATTGCAATTATCTAAGTAGTACCAATTTCTAATGATTAAGGATTGAAAATGAGAATATCTTGAAAAAGAAAACGGACTCATGTTGGTCTTCACCACTGGCCATTCTGTAGAAATATTAATATTTTAGATACTTTAAGGAAAAAAGATTCTTATTTTACCTTGAGAACTCTTTGATTATACAGATCTTAAAAGTTATGACGAAACTTAAGGAGTATTATTCTGACTCAGAGCTGACATAAAAATAAGTCCATTTTCAGTCACTACAATTTATATTACTGTAATTTACTTTCAGATACTTCAGTTACCAAGGGAGGTTGTTATTCTGTAGTAAAGTATTATGGGAAGTCAATTAGTAAGTTTTTTGGTATAAAACATTCAATGTTTTCATAACCAAGTAGTTCTAAAGTTTCTTTCTTGTAATTCATTTTATTATATATAAATATATTTATGTATTTTATTTGTATAATTATTATGCTAAAATGTAATTATTCATAAATTAACTTTTTCTGTACAAAATTCTATTTCCCTATATTATATCATGCTTACAAAAAATCATGTAAGTTAATTTAATTAGTGACTTTATTTTTAGATTCTTGCTACATAATAACTTAGGTTTAGAAAGGTTGAATAATTGAGACAAATTTGGTAATTTGAACTTATTTGATTCTATTTGGTTAATTCCTAGTCTTCTTAAATACTTTAAAGTGGCATAATAATCGATTTTTGATATATTATGATATTTTTATAACGGTTCAAATTTATATTCTCATATTTCATGCTATGTATGTTTATGTTATTCTTTCACTAAATTTGCTAAAGTTCCTGCTGAATAAATTTAGATTTATTACAAAATATCTAAGAGGTTAAAAATTGAATGCAATCCATAACCTTACTTAGAAGAATATTAAATTATTCCTCATTATTTTTTTATGATTAAAATTATTTAATACTTTCTTTTTTATATAAATAATCTTCTGATTTTGTTATTAGAAATTTGGCTCAAGGAAGATTAACAACTGCATAAATAATAAGCAAGTTTATAAACAAAGATTATGTTAAACTTGTGAAGAAAAAATAAATTTTTATTTATTAATGTTTGGGATTATTAAGTATTCTTTACTTTTTTTAATTATGTATATATCCAGAATTAAATAGATGTGGAATAACTATAATTAGAGATAGAGAATTAGCGGAAAATGAGTTGGAATACTATAAATAAATGAATTATGGATTATGGACAATCCTAATTCCTTTTCTGTAATGGAATAATTTAATTTAGAGCTTTATTGTTACCAGTATTTTCTTAGAAGGCAAGAAATCAGTTTAAAGAGGATAAATCCTAGAACTTAAGTACCAAAAAGGAAGAATTCGAATAACCAAATATAAGTTAAAATAACAATTAAGATCATAACCTAATGAAAAAGGAAGAATTTGTTTAAACAGATTTTGGTACAGATTAAAATTGCGAAATGGCTACATAAGAAAATAAGGTAGATGTGAATGGAAGAGGTTAAGATCACATTTACACAGATTTTCATTAGAATATTTTAACAGATCATTATGAGGATAATGAAAAATTATAAATAGAGAATAGTTAGGAGTTGATTTTCCAATAAAAAAGTGAACAGATGATAGTTGATGAAAAGTAGAATGATGAATTTGTCTTGAATAATTTAAGTGATATATCTCATAAAAATATGCTTTCTTGCAATGATACTGAAAGAGAATCTGTTAATGTAACTTCAAATTCTAAATTCTTTCATACTTATTCTAATAGCTATCAAATTAAAGATTTTAATCAATGTTAAGAATAGAATCATGAAAAATTATTTAAGATTTCCAGAATCTTAGAAATCATAGATGCCGTGCCAGTTATTGTTTTAAAGAAATATGAAGAGTTTGTTTCAAATAATAGAAAGGAAAGAAGAAATTTAATTTATAAGGATTTCAATAATTTTACAGATATTGACGCACAGAATTATATTAAACTACTTAAGAACTTATTCAAATTTCATGATAATTTGATAAGAAAAGGGTAAAAATATTATATTCTAAAAAACAAAATGGATTATAAGCACTTTATCAAATCATTCAATAAATATTTATTAGATCCTCTAGCTTCAAATGAAATATTAAGTCATCAACGATTTGCTTTACAATAATTAAGATATTCTTTACAAAATAATTAAGTGCTGCTGCAATATTAAGTGTTAGAGATTTATCAAATTCTAATTAATTTAATGTCTAACCCAAATGAAGTTCTTAATAAAGTATTCTCCTAATTTCATAATAAATCAGAATCATTATATTTAAATTCGATATTACAATATTATTTGGAAGACTATGTATATTAACATAAGAAGGTAGAGGATGAAGACTTTCAAAGATACTTAAGTAAGAATATAATAATAATATTAGAAATCTATCATAACTGTAACGAAATTATCAATCTTTAATATAGTCTTGATGAAAAGATGAATTAATATATTTTTTAATAATAAAGACTTTTAAATTAGATTTGAGATGAAATTTTTGTAAATTATTGTTTCCATATATGATTATAATACAATTAGATAACAGAAATAATATATCTGACTTTCTCAACATGATCATAAAATATACAGATTAAGTTTTGTTATTAGTTTGACAGCCTATTCAGACCCAGTTTCATTCTTAAAGACATTAGAAAAATAGGTTTTTTCGTAGTATTTATTTAATGTTTTTGAAATCTGATATTTTGGTATTAAGAAAATATAATGATTTTTAATATATTATCATTCATTGCAATACTTTAAGGAGCCATTCAAATTAGTGATTTATCCTATATTTTCTATCAATCAAATAAGATTTAGCTTACCTTACATGATTTTGAAACCCTCAAACTCATACTTTCATTTCCATGGTAAGAAAGCCATAATATTTCAAAGGATTATCAAACCAATATGGGGATTTTGTTCTGATATATTTCCCATTGCAAAATATAAAAGAAAACCTTATTTGTTTATTTTTGCGATTATTTGCTTTTTGCTAGAAACTTTTATGGCAGTAAGCGATGTTGATCGGAAAACGGCATTCGTTATAATATTTCTAATTCAACTATGCATTGTATTTTGCAATGTGATAGCAGAGGCAGTGCTTGTTGAATAAAGTCACGAAGTGAATACAAGCAGGAATGTAGCTTTGTTTTTTGGAATGAGAGCAGTTGGAGGATATCTCTATACCTACATTGCATTCAATTTCCCTATCCATAGAAATAGTATAATAGCTAGATTTATAAGATTTTTAGGTGTTATCTTTATTTCCATTATTGATTGCGATTTTATCAGTCTTCCTTCCAGAATAACAAATGGTCGATGAGATTAAGATGAAACAATTAAGAGCCAACCTACAAAAGTTCATTTTGGACCCAGTTATCTATAGGCCATTATTGTTCATATTCTTTTTCATGGCTACTCCGTCACCTGCAACTTCAATGTTCTATTTTTACATAAATCAACTGAAGCTAAATGATGAATTTTTCATAACTCTAAGATACACTTACAGCTTTTGCACCATCATGGCTGTGACGGTCTATTATTTATTCAGGAGGTATCCATTTGGACAATTCTTGTCTGTATCAAATATGCTTTATTTCTTTGCATCCTTCCTATCATTGCTTTTAGTTACGAGGATCAACATCGAATACAACATCCCAGACTATTAATTTTGTATGTGGGATAACATTCTAATGTAGACCCTATAAGAGATCAACACTCTGCCAGTTCTGGTTTTGGGAGCCAAGATGTGTCCCAAGAATTTGGAAGGTATAGAGTATTTCATCTATGAATTAAGGCACTGTGTACAGTTTATTGACGGGGACTATGAATTTGGGGAACACAATTTCGAAGTAGATTGGAATTGTTCTGACTTTCTATTTGGGGATTACGAATCAGAACTTTACTCATCTATGGCTTCTGATTCTGATTTGTACTGTAGGGTCCTTGTTGCCAATGCCATTCATTGGGACTGTGAATGAAGAGGAGGTGGATCAAAAGAAAAAAAGTCTTGCAAAGGATGAAATTCATATAAAAGTAGAATGATTAATAAAGATTATTAAAATATGTTGTATATAATAAGGATACAATTGATTCAGTGATTTAAATGAGTTAGATCATTTAGATTTCTTAATGTTTGCAATGGCTTACTCTACAATCTGAAGGAGCTCATCAAATTTATTAGTTTTGGCAATTTCAAGTGCTTGTGAGAGATTGATTTGAGATTAAAACAATTAACCTAGATGTTCCCACTCAACCCCGTAATTATAGTACATAATGCAAATCAGTTTGAGGAATGGCTTTTAATCTTGAATTTGATTGATGAAATGTTGTATGGTATTCAATTCATTCAGAGCTTGTGTGTGTTGTCCAGCAGTTGACAAAATAGTCACTAAACTCATGCGACTGGACACGATGCTTATTTAATCTCTGGGTTCTATTTTCTATTCTAATTCCAACACATATTTGATAGTCTTAACAGCCACATGATAATTTTATTAGACTTTATATTGTTAGGCAATATATTTAAGCAACTGTATTTCATATTTGATGTAGGTATTTCTATCTAAGATCTTTTGCATGGCTTTGTGAGATAACAAGTCAAATGCCTTGGATAATATGAAGGGATCCTCGGAGTTCAAGTTCTTGATGTAATCAAAAAATAACTCATCAAATTGAAATGGCAACTGCTCAAGTAGTACTTTGACTGGGTATTCTGATTTGTTTTCCTGAATATACACTAAGCAAAGCATAATTATTTTTTCTCGAAAAAGAGGATTCCTCAAATTGTAAACATGTTAAATGGTCTGCAATAACTTATTTTATTACATTTTTAATGTAAAAGGGAAATAATTAGCTCAAACTTTTAAGAGATTTGATAAGTGAAAGATCCATTGAAGCATATTTAGTGTCTCATAGTGATGCTCAAGATGTAAAATTAAACACTAAAAGCTTACTCTGAATTTACTTCTGATTCAGACTAGCTATTGGCTTTTATCTTGAGATTTAATGCATCTGCAGGAATAGGTCTAATTACTTCGACTAGCTTATTTGTAGACAGATCCAAGACACTGTTTGTAAACTGCACAAAAATTAGAGGAGGGAAATTGCAGCAAATGGAACCTGGGGAACTACTCACATTGATAGAATATATGCAAAGATGAATTCGCTAGGAAAAAGAATAGGTAACGATCCCCTTTTGATCAGCAATAGTATTATTACCTTAATATATTAAGAACTCAGAAAATCAAGGGAAACCTCTTTAATTTGTATGGAATTTGAGGCAATTAATGAAAATTTGATTGATTTGATTTGGTAAATAAACCTTAAGATTCACTATCAGAGGTCATTATTAATGATTTGGAGTATCGAACAACTTAAGAGATACCTAGAATATTTAAATAATAAAATAGAAAATGTCAAACTCTATTCTAATTTCAAAATTAGATTAAATAGCTTTGGTACTAAATTTAAGAGGAAAAGATATTATATTTAATCCTCGATTGAGAACTTAACATATTGGCAGAAACCTATTTAATTTAGAGATAATGAGACCCAGCGACAGAAAATAGATATCGACTTTTATAAACTTGTTAGGAATGCATAATTGCCTTTAATGGCAAAACAAACAGCCAAAGATTGATTACTGAGAATGACAGAACCCTTGTGATTAATATTAAATAATATAAGATTTTTCAACTTTATTCTATCATGTTTTGTAGTTTTTAATTTATTTAATCTTAATAGGGCACCCTTGAAAATTTGAGTTTGAGTATTTATTCTTTCTCAAAAAATAGATAAAGTCTGAGTATGGAAGGGTTATTCTCATCCTAATATAATTTATAATCTCTAATGGAATTCACTTGTTGTTGCCATTTAATTCCACTCTGTTTGTTCATGTAAAACAATAAGTTCTGAGTTATGACTAAATGCATATCCTTTTTCATCTCCAAATCGTATAACCCAAAAACATCAATCAACACTATGCTATAACTGCTCAAGTAGTTTAAGAAGAAGGAATCATCTTCATTATAGGCCTTGATGTATCGACTATTCTCGTAAAATGCCCGAATGTCTCTCATCCTCAATGTATTTGGATGATCATCAAAGTAAGTGGCTGTATTAGTTAAACCTTCAGCAGTCTTAGAAGCTGCATCGAAAACACTTGTCAGAGGTTTGATAATAACTCCAGCAATTCCGATGGTTGATCCTTTCAATATCCCAGCAGCTCCATCTCTTTTGCCATGCTAGTAAGGATGTGAGAAGAATCCTACTACTCCATCTCCTATTCCAGTTATCAAGGCATGAATTCCCAAATAGATTCCTTCGAATAATTGCGATGGTTTTCTTTACATAAACTTCCTTCTTGATGAAATGTAATCTTCATCAAATGACAATAGACTGATTTAATTCCCAATGCTCCCCGTGATTTTGTTTACACTATAAAAGGCACCAGCTACAGTATTTTTTATTAGTGAAGATGCTCCTTCCAACACTCCCAAACCCATCTCTAGTGGACCTAGTGACATGGCTTCTATTGGTTTTTCTATCAAATCAACTACTCCAGTTGAAATTCTATTCAAAAAGGAAGTAGGATTTCCAAGAATCTCTATTGAGCCCAAAATCTGTAAGAACTATTTTAATAATGCAAATTTATAATGTTCTTTGATTATTGTCAAAAGACCCTATTAGGTATCAAAAATGTTTTCCATTTTAACACCTTTTAGTGTTATTGGAGCATTATCAATATTCTTTACAGCAAAATCTAATGAATTAGCAATGACATTCAAGATGAAATTCTGGTTCTGTTGATACAATGTTTAAAAGGAGAATCTGATTTTCAAGACTGGGAGTATCAATTATTTCATGTACACATTCCCTGACGGAGGAGGGATCTCAACAATCATCCATTCATAAAAGGGATTTTAGGATGTTTGGTATGATTTTATCTGACTGAATAAGTATTTGGATGTTGCAAAATGTGAGATGTTAACCTCATGCTTCTCAAATGTCAATGCTTTTTTAAGTGCCATTAATTAATAGAGATATTCTTAATCTAATTTGAGTTCCAATGGAGCGATATAAGCAAAGAAATACTCAATCATCAAAATGTTTGCGTGTTATTGATTTACAGCCCATTTGATATCAATCGCATAATTCTAATGTTCCAAGTAGCTTTAAAATTGCTAAGGTGTCAATAACACTTAATTTAGAGCATCATAGGAGTAATTATTATCAATGTTTATGAATTTCACTTTAAATTGATATGAAATTATCCGATTGATTTCTTAAATGCCCACTTCAAAATTGCTTAGAGTGATCAAATTCAGTTCTTTGGGTTTAACTTCATTCATTATGATGCTGATGGTGATCATTTACAAATTAATGTAGATTAGCTTATTGATTTAATCACTAATGAATTATTGCTCCTGCTTCTCCATGAGCTTAATAACTTTGACACTGTTCTCAAAATATATACTAAAGTAGATGCTTTTGGTAGCACTGATCTTCTAACAAAAGGTGGAGTCGGATTTAAATAGATCGAATTGAAATTCGCAATGATCTTAATCGTTAGTCACATTGAATATCAGAATAGGTTTCAAAGAAGGGAAGGTCCAAGAGAATTCGATGAATTAATTGTATCCTATGTTCTCTTCTTATTCGGAGCCAATCTAGGAAAATCGAATTGAACAATTGGGACATTGGTTAATTATTTTATAGGGAGCTTGTTCGGTTAGAAAAGTTACAAAGAAGGTTGCTTTCTTTTTAACAATCACGCATTGCATAAATGTTTTCAACTTATCTTCTTACTTCGGGAGCATACTGAAATGTATGGTTCTCATATCTGAAAGATACAATCCCTCACTCCACTTGGTGTTTTTGAATTTGATGGCGATCATTTTCCTAAAACATAGATGAAATTGGAATATACTCTTTTGTACAATCAGCCCAATTGAATGCCAATCTGGAGTTGGGATCTATATTGAATGGACTTCCAAAAGAATCCTGTTGTTACACTTGCATCACATTTTCAGTCTGATTGATGATGACATATCTGGGAGCGATCTCAATGATTGTACTATATAGCCCCAATTGCTTAACGGTTTCTAAGAGACTGATGTTGATGCCAAATTCAAGCAGTTCAAATTGCTGCTATTTCCTGACTTTGATTTCAGCACTGGTGTCACCTATTGCCTTGATGGTGAATTCATTGGAGTAGTGGTTGTGGTAAGACAGGATTAAGTTGGCCTCATTGAATAAGAAGGTGTAATTGTTATTGAAGAGGGCTATGTCTTATCTTTGATTCTTGACTAGAGTGTGATAATTGAGATTTGTTGAGGTAGTATTGATCAGGCATATTTTAGGATAGAAGTAAAAAAACAAAGATCCTTTAATTAATGTGATCTTTTACATAATTTTAATGATACTACCTTCTTCATTAACCAATTATATTTCAGTTTATTGATTTGAATCATGTGGCTAATATTTAAATACTTCCTTAGATTGAAATTCTAATAACTCAACAGAGTAATCGATCTAGTTCTTAGAAGTGTAATAGTAGAATTGCAACGAGTCATTCACAGCAATACTTTGTTGTTCTTCACTAGAATTATTAACTTATATTACTTAATGGTGATATTGAGTGGACAAGGTAAAGAATTATGAATAACAAGACAGGCAGTCAGTTTCAAATGTCTGGTGTTTTGAAATTCATCTTCTGAACTCAGAATAACAAATTGGTCTCCCTGAGGGATTTCTAGATAGGTGAATTCTGAATGCAGGAGAGCCTTCAAACTAACAGAGAATTCTGAGATTCTCTTGTAAAAAGTGAACCTAATGAAGTATTGATCAGAGATGAGTTCCCCAGGAGGTGCCACTCTTTCATTCACTTAAAGCAATTTACTCCAAATAACATTATTATGATGAATGATATCGATCTATTATTCAAAGAGTGTGCAATTTGAGACTGTTAATTGCCCTTAGATTTTGATGATCCTGGTTAATTTGCTAATGTAAGATGTAAAGTATAGGAAACACTATTGCCTGTCAATTTTGAATGGCTGTTGTGAGTTCTATTCAACTTTGTTTAGTTTGATTAATTTTTTGTTAAGAGTGTAGAATTCAACATTGAGTCGATTGTATTTTCGCCAGATATCGATTTAACTCAATTTGGCATTAATATCAGTTTTATTGCCATTTTTAATAGTGAGTGTTTGTTCATCAATGGTGATGCTTAGATCATATCCACTTTGGTTTTGGATGTTGAAAAGGATGATGGTCTCATTTTGTGGTGACTCCATGATTTCTTGGATGTTAATGGATTTTCTGGTGCTTTTCTTGCGTTCCTTCTTTTTTTTATTGACATGATAGAGATCATTCAGGAGTATGATAAGATTCTAATGGAAGACGATGTTTAATTGGGAGAACTTGCTATTCTTGTTGGTTTCAATTTGAAGATGCATATTGGGTGGATTGAGTTTGTTTCTTAGGAACATGAGATCGAAGGAAAACTTCTCAAGAATTGGTTCAAGAATGCCTATCATGGGATTGAAATAAGAGGCTTCAACTTTGACATTTCCTGAGAGTAACATCTTTTGGTATGATTAATGGAGGATGAGGGGAGTGGAGGATATGCAAGAAGTGAGGATGGGTACGATGGTGTCTTTTTTAGAACTCATCAACCAGAGTTCGAGGTGATCTATGTTAAAGGATTTGCGACTCTGGGATATGAGGGAGTATCGTTCATTCCATTAGTCTCCGAATTGATTAGCATCCCACATTGATTAAATGAGATACTTAATCAGATCAATTAGTTTAAGTCCTTGTTCGATGGTTAGATACAACTTAAGATTCTCAAGGTTGAGATTGGACTCATTCAGGAATTGATGGGTTTGAGCACAATAGCATTGGAAATTCTAGGATTTCCATTACACAGAAATGGGTTGAAAGACTTCCTTTGGTTCTTTGCCATTTTCATTGACATATAATGTGAGTTAACTGGATTCGATTTTCATGCAACTGCTGGGAGTGTTATCATCAAAGAGTGGCTCTGAATGATATGCGTAATGGATGTCCTGAGATTAATTTTTGATGAAGACCAAGAGCAAATTGCCTTTGGCTTGGAATGTGGTATCTGGATGTAAGGGTTAAAGGAGTACGTCAGCCTTTTGAATGATGAGTTCTAGGTTTAAGGGTTTGAGCACATTGTTATCAAAGGGGAGGATCTATTGGACTGTGTCGTCAATCAAGAAGAAGTTGATGGAGGTGAAGAGCCAATTGAGGTTAAGAGTTCCACTGACTCCAGGGATGAGTATTTGGATATCCTTCTATCCAGTCTACTTGTTGGTTTGTTTGTATTCTGCAAAGTACTGATCTTCAACATCCAGTTTGGACAATATTAAATGTTATTTGTGATAGGCCACAAAGTCTAAAAGATTGAGGGATATTTGGGATTGATCGATCTAGCGATGAAAGCGTATAAGGAGTTGACTGCCTATGAGTGCCAAGTCATCTTCACATTTGAGATTGACCTGATCCATCCTGAGTTCTAGGAGAATAGGGGCTTTCATTAATTTAATTAATTACTAGGTTTGTTAATTTGATAAAGATACATCTAATCCAGGGTATCATCATAAAGTATATTATTAAAGAGCAATCGCATAATTAGTAAATACGTTTTTTTGGAAACATAAAGTTTAGGAGCAGAAAGTTACATGTTAATCTTGAAAGTGCGATCTAATGGAATCTATTTAAGAATATACAACTAAGAGAACCCACATTTGCTGACTGTCAATTCACAATTCATCATCTAGGAGATCACCGTCTCTCCTCTATCACCAATCACACTTATCAGGATTTCCTTTACTTCCATACACAACAGAGTTTCCCATATCGTCTACGTACTCCTATCATTGCATTCCCTTATATCAGTATGAAGAGCAAAAGAAGAGCAAACCAATTTCAATCCTTCGTCACTAGTAATAATGGGCTTACAAAATGCACAGACATCATCTATACTCAATTTAATCGATGTGAATCTATGATCTCTCAGTTTCTACTCAATCACATCCATAGGAATCGAAGTCACTCCGTAGTCCTTGATAATCAACGATATGAATTATTCAATCAGCCAATCCATGAATCTTAGGAATGGCTATTACATATAATGAATCTATCCCTTCTTTAATTTGATCTCCACAAAATTGTAGAGATCGTTGTTGATCATCTACAATGGACAATAATCATCATAGATCTTTATCAATATCACCAACTCCTCACTCCTTATCATCGGAAATCCCTTCTTGACTATCATCTAATGGGGATAATTGGATTATTCACAATAACACAAGTCTCTCCCCTCAATTACAACATCCCCAATGTATTTGCTCACTTTTATAAACACTGCAATGTCGAATCCCTACAACATACCCAAAGGAGTATAATTGTTCTGACAATATAATTTGATACTCTTCACTTCTATTGATATGGCTAAAGAGTCTGGATTCTCCATGTCTGTTTATCTTATCTACTGTTTCTCAGGCATTTTGATAAATTGCAATGCAAAATCAATCCCACCGTAAATGAATGAGTGTATCACCTTTGCATTCCAATGACATACTCCCTTGTCAATTGATATCCTTACCAACGGTTTATTGTATACATTTTTAGATATACTCAAACCTATCTTGCAAAGCTTAACCAATTTTTACGTCTTCTGATTTGTCGTATCCTTTATGAATACGCACTCTAAAGATGTCTACACTGCTTCCTTCTCTAAATTCACATCCCATCTCACCTTTTGAATGCCCAACCAAGCAAAACTCTACTCTTTGTAATTGAATTTCAAATTCAACTCCCCCCATTCTCCACTTATTGAATTCTGTCTATTCTTTATCTCACATTTTAATTGCATCAATTTAACTACCAGGACATTCTCAAAATTAATCTCCACATCATTTATTTCCAACCCAATACTAATTGGAATTGACACATTGCTTCTTCTACTCTGATCACTTTTCTCCTATCTCTTCGAACCCTGTGCTTTCTATATCATCACTCTGATGTTCTGTATCTCAGTCTTCAAATGGAGCGAACTCCATTATAACTTCATTATAAAGCAAGAAACAGTAGCCGTGATTATAAAATTATCTATCTGCAATGGTGCGATATCCATATTATCCAATTGCAAATACCCTTAAGTTAGTGCTACCGATATCTGGTGCTCATTTAGATCAGGAACAAATGACTTAAGTTTCTTTAATATGAACTTTCGAACTAATTGTTGCATATAATTAAAAATAATTAAATTAATTGATTATAATAACTAATATTTTAGAAGCCCATTCTGAAATCCCACCCTCCCTTATATATCGCTCGCAAAGAGTAAATTTATTAATTAAATAAAATATAATTATAAATAATTAACGATCAAATCAATGGAAAACCAAAGCTACTTCAAGACTGTCACCTCTCTACAATCCAATCGCTCAGAATACCAACTCAGCAAACCTATCAAATCCTAGGATAAGCCTTTGAAGGAATCCGATCTTGCTTTGTACCAAGCTGCCAGAGACAAATGCGCTAATAAATAAACTGAAAAATTGTCAACTCCACTATTTTAAGTTACCACATTAATTACAAATGCAGCTCCACTCCACAAACCCACTGTTAAGACTACTCAATTTAGCAATCAACCAACTAGTGTTTTTGATGTATCCTAATTGTTTATACTCTCTATAGTTTACTGATAATCGTAAAGAATAGGCTTTTAAACCTCATTGTATCAAGGTTACTGAACCAGGAAACAACTCAGATTTAGTTTACAAGCAACAACTAAAAACATCCAATCTCCCCAACAGAGAGAACTTGTATCGTAACCCAATTACCAATGGCGATCCCAAGAGTGAATATAATAGAAGTACCAAAACACCCTTCCCAAAAAATCAAATTAACTTTGTTGGATGATTACTTTAAATATATAAAAATAGTATTAATTGGTGTATCAAATTAATTCACTTAGCAACCGATAATTGACGGTAACGCTTTTGGAGTTTTCTCTTTTCCTCCTCCAATGCCAACTTTTAACCCACTTATTGAATCATAGTACTAACCTTCTCTATTCTTGCTAATTTCTCATAATTTCTATTTCTACAATTTTGAACCATCTCCAATTCCTCCTTAACTAAAAATGGAATTTGTATCTTCTCCTTCTCCAAAAGAAATTGCTCAGGATGAAGTATTTCCTTAGTGAGAACAATTTGTTTAGAAGTTTACTTTTGCTACCTATTCGTAAATGAAGAGGGCATATTGCTTTGAAATGATGAGTTAAAATCAACCTATTACTCAGATTAGTTTGATTTTTAAAGCGAATTAATCAAAGATATGGCTCTTGATTACCTTCCATTCTAATTGATAGTAGGTGGTAATTTATTTAATTTATTACTTCTATTGGAAATGTGAATGGATCTAAAATTTAATAAATTATATACCCTGGTCTTTAAAAAGATGCCTTATTCTCTTGCCCAGTAATTTTGACTTATTAATTTGATGGTGGACATTATAAATTAGGGATTTCAAAAGAAGTATTTTACAATTCAAATTTATTTATTCTCTAAAACAAATTCATTATCTTATCCTTACTCACTCCCTTCCTGTAGATATTAGCCAAACCAGGAAATAAATTAACTAGATTATCGAAAATCTTAAATATCTACAATGTGGTTTATTTTGTTTAATCAAGTTTGTTTGAAGCAGATACCAGTATCTCATTTTTAAAACATGCCACAATTGGCTATTCTAAAACCCATTGTCTTGATTTCTCATCCATCACTTGTTAAGGTGACAATTTAGCTATCTTTTCACCATGCCAAACATCATAAATTCTAACTTCCTATTACGCATCCAATGCAACTGCCATACCTGTATTACTAACACTCATGCCAATGATTCTCCATAATCCTTACTTCTATTCTTCAATTTTCATTCTTGTTCCCTTTCTAAATTAGTGAGTTCTTTTGCATAATACTTTACACTCTTATGTATCATAGATATTCACACTTCCATCATATGATGCGGATACCAATCTATTGTCTTCGCAAAATTTCATAAAAGTGCAACTATATACATGTTTGTCCAAATAACCTTTTTCCTACTCCATAATCAGATCGTACACTAATACACTCCCCTATTTTAAACCAACACCTAAATTAATTGAGTTTTTCGAAATTGCTAACGAACTTAAGGGATACAATATTTAGATCTCTATTATTTATTGCTTCACTTTTTGTTGAATAATAGTTTAGATTTACTAAGTATTCAAATACTCAGGTAATGCAGATTTGCAGGGATTTGCAAATTTATGTATTTCTAAAATAGTAGTGTTTGTCCATCCAACTACTATTCCAGTAACACAATCCTATTACTTGTAAGCATTAAAAGTTTTGTTTCCACTCTAAAAATTTAGTCTTTCTTTCACAAACTCCACTAGAGCCTTAAATTTTTACTCTGGGTAATCTTCATCGCTTATCATGAAATTCGAATTGTCATCATACAATATCTCTTCTACTACTTATGATGTTTCAATTGGTTTTTTATTGGGAACTACAGATTTCTTCTTCAGATCTACCTTCTCCTCTACTTATGACTCTTTAATATTTTCAGTTTTCATTTTCTCAAGTATTCCATTGTAATTCAACTATTTTTTGACTCCTCTGAATTTAACCTAATACACCAGGTCAGTCAGTTCTGTGCATTGTACATCAAGAGGTGAATTCTATATCCCAATATGCTATTATTATTGTTGGGTTCCAATTTATTGAAATTCTCTGAGTCTACCAGACATCTTCGATTAATTTTGCATAGGACTTTGAGGTTCATTATGGCTATTATTATTTGGAACTTGATTCAAACTTTATAAATTATCTACTTTAATATCTGGAATCCTAAAGACTTTAATACAACCATTATATTATGCAATTGATATATATTGGCAGTATTAACTAATATTTATGTCTACGGGATATTCCCCAATGTAATTCTTATCTTTTGACATTGTAATTGTATGATGAAGTTAGATTCTGTTCTCATTAACTCTATATCTATAAATGTACACAGTTGCATCATTATGGTGAATTACTCCAATCCTATTTTATATTATTATGCATTTACGCACAAACATTCTTATATTCATCCGTAGCCTACTCCCTGTCACTTAAACACACTTTCAAAATGCGTTTACCATTTGTCTCTTTCTTTGCAATTCTAATCTTTTTGATTAAATCAAGTATCATTAGATTTCCCTGGGAATCACCAACGGCTACTAAATTATCTGAACTATCGCGACTAATATATGTTAATTGGGGTATTTCCAAATATTCCCTAAGGTGGAAGAGTTCTTAGATGTCCTTCATAATTTGGATCATCTCTATACTTTTCAATTTCGAATATTTTATTATAAACTTCATTTAAAATCATGGTATTCAAAAGCTTGTTTATGAAACTTTTAGGATTGAAAAATTAAATACCTGTATGGTTTGGGTAGTCTGTCATTGAAATTTGATGGATTGCAATATTCCCAACAATTTAACTTATCCATTATTTTTAATATTAATAAATACAATTATATAAAATTTTCGACTTTATTTTATACTAATTTACATTCCTTTTTACCATGTTACGTTTTTGGATTTCCACTCAAATTAAGTTATCATCTTATTTCAACTCCAATCTTCTGAACTTTTTGATCTGAATCTTAAATTTGAAAATATGCAATATCCCCTATATCTTAAAATAGCAGTAGGGCCATTAGATCGTGCAACTTCAGAGTTTGACTGAATTTCAAAGGAGTTTAGTATCATAATCATATTGATGAAGGGATCAGGTACATTTCTGGTGGTGTTTATGAAGCAGAGCAATGGAATTGTGGGATGGATAATTACATTTACAGAATCGAAAATTATATTTATATTAAATAAATTCATTGCGGTATTTCTTATATTTATGCGTTTATTGGCTTCGTTATCCTGGGAAAATAAGTGTATGGATTTTCAAATTTAATAATGGAAATTATTATTCTGATATGGTATGAATATCTTCTTTGATTGGATGGCAGATATTTGAATCTTAGTGGTTGAATTTAAAAGATAAGAAAGGTATAAGTTTGTGCCTCTTTAAGATTTTTTGTTCAATTAATAATATAATATTTTCATCACTAATGGGTTGTACAGGAACAAAAACAGGAAAACCTGACAGCAAACTGAACTCTCCTTAAAATCGGAGTTCAAATCACGCTGTTTAGAGTGTAAATCTCGCTCATGCTCCTCCAATTTAGGAGACTGAAAAAATTGAGGCTGATTATATTTTCCATGCTTTGGATCCTTTAGTCAGTATTTGTTTTTGAGTAACACTGTTAGCATCAAGAAATTATCTAAAAAAAATAGTTTCTAAGAGCAACAATGCATCTAGAATAGCTAAAGTTTTCAATTGTTTAACTCTCAGTGTATCGGAGAAGTAGGAACTGGAGAGGAATATCAATCAATTGATGCAAATTGTAAGACGTATGATCTAATGAAAGAAACATTTGAATTTGATTAGTACTTTATCTTACTATTATAACGACAATCGTTTGTATTTGATTTAGGAATTTTGCGAAGGTGGAAATCTGCTCTCTTAGTTGGATAAGTTTAGTTAGTTACAACAATACACAATGATAGATGTGTTCTGTCAGATAATGGCAGGATTACAACATTTACACAATTAAGGGATGGTCCATGGGTATGATTTGAATTCTTAATTTAAGGAATATTCAATTAGATAGCATATTATTCACTAACAAATCTATGGAGAACATTAAGCTCATTGACTTTGGCATTTCAAATTAGATGAAAACCCTATGTATGTCTTGGAAACCAAGTGGTAGTATATAGGAGATATCTTTCAAACCCCCAGAGGTTTTTAAGTAATTAACAATGAACACTCCTTTGACTCAGAAGGCAGATATTTGGTCAAGTGGATGCCTACTCTATTTCTTCCTGACATCACATATGCCATTTTAAGGGCGAGATACTCAAGCTGTCAAAACTGCAATACAAAGAGGTGTGGTTAATTTCGATGGATCAGAGTGGGCTAATATTAATCCTGATATGAAACAATTGGTCTCTAAGATGCTGAGTTCAAATCCTTAATAGAGACCCACAGCAACTGAAGTCATTAATCATTCGATATTTCAAAATAGAACTCGCATAGTAACCAAGCCCAATAAATAGCTGTCAAAACATATGAGGGATTTCAAAGTATTTAAATATATTTAGATAATTTAGTAATAATCTCAAATGCAAAATGCAATGTTGAACTACATTGCTGAAAATATGATGTCCGAGTAAGACAAGAAGAAGTTGATGGATGAATTCCAAAAATTTGATTTGAATAAGGATGGATTGTTAACTAAGGATGAACTACTCAAAGTTTATTGTACCATGTTTTCATCTGATCAAGCAGCTCAGGAGGTTGATGCCATCTTCGCCAAGATTGATCAGAATGGCAGTGGCAGAATAGATTATCAAGGTAAATATTGTTGTTTAACATAATAGAATTCATCATGGCCACTATAGATCAAAAGAAGTACTTTAATCGAGAGAAGTTGTTGTTGCTATTTCAACAGATCGATAGGGATCACAGTGGGTAGTTGAGTAAGTTGGAAGTGAAGAAACTGTTGAGAGACATGCAGATTCCAAAGGAGAAATTGGAGAATCTATCCAAATAATTAGATTAGAATGGGGATGGTTAAATTACTTAAGAGGAGTTTTTATAGATAATGTTGCAATTGTCTTGAAATGAATTATAATTTTAATTTCTTAGATTTAATTCCATAATTAGAATAAATAATTTGAATGCAGGAACATGGATAATCAGGTTTTTATTCCTTGTAATGCGGAGTCACATTTGGTTAACAATACATTTTTTTGCTTATTTCTTAGATTAATAATTCAATTATTAATTCATTGATTTGATGTTTATCAAATAACACTAACAAAAACTGCAAACACGATCAATATCAAATGCTTCAGGACACTCAAATGGGAGGATGTCTATCATGCCGTCTATGCAAAATAACACTATCAATGCAATTTGGGATATCAATCAAATAGGATAGGAATTGGATTGTCATGATGACCCAATTTTGAATGAAGCCTTAGAGTTGATAACCAATCGACAAGTCAATCAAGCGATTCTCCTTTTAAATCAAAGTAATCTTCAATACTATAATTTATTCTAGTGATAGCAGATGGAAAGAAATATCTAGGCTAGCAATCATAGGTTCAAGTAATCACCAAAGTCACCTTGCTGATTGTTTCTAGTGCCATGTCCATTCTTGAAAACGACCCCGCATCCGCCTTATTGCTACTCTTGGGATGCGATCAAATGTTTAAAGGATTGACTCCCAAACAACAAGGGTATTTGAGAGTCCAAATTCTCAACGGATTGGGGTGCTATTACAGAAGAGTTGGATAAATGGAAAAAGCCTTAAAAGAACTGGAATGTGCTTTGGCAGTTATTCGAAAATATAACTTAAAAGAGGTTGCAGTTACCCATCTAAATTTATCAGTAGTATTGTCCTTAGTTGAAGAGTACTTCTAATTTTATATTAGCAAATAGACATGAAGGTGCCCTTGAGAATGCTAAGAAGGCCGTTGCAGAAAGCCACAAAGAATATTAATTTTATATAAAGAATCATGTATCAATGTAGAACTTTAAATTCCAGCGTTGTGTAAGTGCCCTCGCAATATCCTTTTATAACGTAGGAGTTCAAGAATAGCATTTCTAAAAATACTAATTCGCACTCCAAGCCTATGCCTCTGCCTTTAAAGTGGCTGAAGACAACCTCGGCATTCATCATTACTTGACAATCTAATTGAAAGCCATCTATGAAGAATTTGCCCGTCAATTGGCTATTGCTGAAGCCCAGAAAATCGCCATTACATCTCTCAATCACAAATTTCAAATCAGAGCAAATGTCACAAGTCAATACGCCTAAAGTGCCTTAAGAAATCAAAATACTGACACCGCCAAAAAAGTATCTGATAGGCTATTTTAATCAGAAACTAAAAGATTGGGACACAGTCTCAGACCCCAATCAGCTATAATGACCCAATCTTAATCATCTAAATTAAAAGCATTTGAAATTACAAAAAAAGAAGCTTTCACTATCAAAAAATAGATGTCAGCTACCAATAGAACCTTAAATCAAGTAAGTGAAGAGAATCTAAAGACAGATACTGAAATTGCTGAGAAGGCTAAGGCACTATAATAAGACATTGAAAATCTCAAAATTGTAAATCTTATATCCATATCCATAGTTAGCATTAAAGGAATAGGAAGAATTAAAATTCATTTAGGACTAGAAGCAGAGAGAACTATAAAAATTAGAAGCCTTTCGCTATATGAATCAATAAATTCAATAACAGAAATTGCAGAAGAATACTCCTCAGACTTCTAGAGAGATCAAAAAGTCATAGGAATAATAAAAATAAATATTTAATACTGATCCTTTCATTTAGGAGCAATTAGATGATAGTGAACCTTAGCCATTGGTTGCTGTTCAAACAGTAAACAATAGAGAATCCAAAACAGATGAAGAAGAAGAACATTACCTTACGACTGAGAAATTCAATGAAAAAATTAAAAACGAAATCAACTAAGACTACGATAAGAAAAGATCTTCAATGACTAGAGATGAAACATTGCAAAGTTTCACTAAAAAATTAGAATATGATTAGGAATCTTCAAGCAAGAATAATTTTGGATAACAAAACATATCTTGCAAATAAATTGATGATCTCGAGGAAATTGTAGAAGATGTTAATGAAGTCAATCTACAATAGAATTAACAAATAGTTGAGAATAAAGTTGATGAAATCATTCAGTAAACTGCCAACAAATTAAATGAGGAATAAAAGCTTTAACATATTATTATGATCTAAAAATAATGGAGATCCAGCAATATTAAATTGAAATCACGTATTTAAAAAATAGGATCTAAATATTAAGAAGCAATTGATCATCATTACATTAAAATTAAAGATTAAAACAATAATCTCATACATAATGGATACTTATTTGTAGCTTGGAATTCATAAGAGCAAACTTAAATAGATTTGATATTTTACGATCTATTCACCTTAAGAAAATCAAGTAGGAAAAGCAATGACATTTCACAGAAATTAGATCATATTTTCATTCTAAATTTAAACTCCTCTTTTCAAGTCAACAAACAATAAATTATTCAACTTCAGGATGAACTCCAACCTTTTTTTATCATAAATTCTTCTCAACTATGTCTTTCCTCAATGGACCCTTATATACAATTTAAAGACAAATATAGCGAATATTAAATTCGATTTGATTTTAATTTATTGAAGTTAGAATAAGTACTACCTAAAATAGAAGAATAGCAATTAAATTATAACACTCCTATTACAATAGCAGATATACAATAATTTAATTCAGATTCAATAGTAGTTTAGAAGGCTGCTCATACAAACCAAGATTAAATGTTTACCAAGGTAGAACCATTTTAAGATGTGCCATTGGTTTAAGAATAAATAGATGAAGAAGAATACGTCTAAAATAATTAAAATAGTCAGGCTGGATCAGTAAAGAAGGAATAAATTGAAGAAGAATAACATTAAAATAGTGAAGGAGATGTAGAAAAGGAAAATTCCAATGATGAAAGGATTAATCAAACTGGGCAATTCAATAATAATTTGTTTTCATCTTAAGGGTTGTTATCAGAATTTGATAAAATTGAAGATGAAAATTAAAAATAAAAATAAAGTTAATAGACTGAAGTAAACTAAAATTTAGATTTCACTCTATAATTAAATTAGATGAGTGCTAATAATTCTATGGTAGGGTCTAACAATATTGGTGAGGTAGATAATTACAATTAATAATAATAAGCAGTCTTACAAAATAATGTTCCAAATGGAAATAAAGAAAAGGTTTCAGCTAATAATACAATCATAGAGGAAGATGAGGATGATAAAAAAGAACATGAAGTGAATGAAATTCAATAAAAAGAAGAACGTACAGATTAAAATAATAAACAACTTTTTAATGCCCCTCATAATTTGTAATCAAAAAATGAAATTTCCCACAATATTATCGAAGATGATAAGAAATCAGATCGATAAAGTTAAAAATCTGAATCTTAAATGGAAAGCTAGACATCTATAGAGTAGAAGCATTAAACTTAGACTTTGGCTGTGCCAAATGACGATAAAAAAATGTTTGCAAAGTAAGTGAGTTTGCAATTACCTGATTTAATGAAAGATGATAATAGTTAACATTCAGATGATGAAAGTAAGATAATTTAATATTTTAATTAGTATCTCTAACAAATAATTATACTTTTGAGAAAATTGGAGTGATTACTGGTATTAATAAAAATGATGGTTCACTCTTTCAAATCAATATCTTCATCAACAAAGAATAAGAACTATTCCAAGCCAAGGCTGAAGATATTAAAATGAAATCTACCTATTTTAAAGTTGAAAACATTAAGAAAACCATTAAAAAGCCTTAAAAATACTTGAAGGGGTATATAGTGAATTGGCATAATGAAAATGTGTTAAAAGTTTATACAAAGGCTCACGAGAAGGCAGTAATTAAACTTCAGAAGAAATTCAAATTTGATCACTATAGAAGGCATGTGACATTTAAGTTAGCTAAATCAAACATAGAGGGAAGTCTATATGTAGGGTCCAGAAAATAAGTGATATATTTAGCTATAGAGACGAAAAGCACTTAATAAAGAAATTCTTACACTTTCAAAAATGAAAATTATAGTTAGTTTGTTAATCGAATCTCTTTTCGTGTTCTAAATAACTTAAAATACTCTGAGGAAAAAGGAATTTATTTGCTCCAAGAACCGCAACACAGAATATTGGCATAAAATTTATAATGTAATTGTTGAATATAATTTATAGCTAAAATATTTAAGTTATTAAAACCTGAGAATGCTTTTGAGTTTATAGGCTATGGTTTGTTGAATGGTATTTATGACTCAGTGCATAAAAAAATTATCATTGCTAGTGATAATCGCAAGACTCAACCCTCCTAAGTGGATATACCTAAAACCATTTAAGGAGATTAATTAATTTAGTTTGCCTAAAACTTATTGAATAGAGTAATCATAGATATAAATTTTAGTCTTTTATCATTTAATCAAACAATGAAACTTGTGTTGTTTATTACGAAGAAAAGGATGAAGACTAAGCAAAGATTATTCAAAATAAGCTATTCATGTATTAGACTATTAGAAAGATGATTATCAACTATCATAGAATGAGTCATGGGCAAATAGAATAGCAAGCAGTCACAGTTGAATTGCAACGAAAATTGAAAAAATACTTTGGAATATCATGTTAGAACAAGTTTTATTAGATTGGGAAATTATCGGAGCAACAAATTAAAAATCTAATAACCAATTTTAGAAGGATTATAAGCACATTTATTATATATTAGAATGATTAAGTTGAATTAGATATTGACTCTATTAAAGAATTTGTTGGCGATGGTCAATTTACTAATTTATTGAGAATGGATCTTAAAAGCGTAGTTCATTAAATCTGAATTTATATATGTATCTCTTTATAATCATGCATCTAAATAATTGATTTAAAAACAATATATATATATATTATAATATAACTTATATAAATAATGGCTAAATAAGGTTGGGGTTTTTCAGGAAACAATGTCAAGTTGAACACAAACAAGTAAATATATCTTAAACATAAAGTCGTGTGGAAAAGAAGTTGAACATCTGGGAAACAGCTGGAAAAGCAGATGATATATAGTATATTCCTGATGCTGAAGAGGAAAAAAAACCTTAAAATCAGATTTCAGATGCAGGAGTTGTTCTAGGATAAAAATTATAGAATATTAATGAATTGTAGAATTTAGCTAAAATATCATCGTTGCCTTAACCAGTACTTATTTGATATTTAATCATTAGGCTGATGACATTGATTTTAGTATTTTAACATAAGTATTGAGACCGGTTGAAGAAGTATAAGAGATAGATGAATAATGGGAATTTTCAAAATTAAAAACTGAAATGCAAGAAATAGTCAATAAGCTCTACAGCAATAAAATAAATTCTTGAATTATTATATGAATTATTTATTAATTGAAAAACAAGAGTTATGTAGAAATTTCATGATGAATTGAAATTTAGGTTTCCAATGATCACAACAAAGTAAAGAAATCAAGTTTGCATGATGATTCTTTTATACTTCTTTTTTTGAAATTTGAATTAAAAATTAGGAAATCTGAAAACTCAAAGAAGATCTTGACTCCTAAGTATAGTATAGAAAGTGATTAGTTCAATATTTTAGATTATTTATTATTGGGTTGATATTCTATGAGCATTTTCTTTGTAAATAGATTTTGAATATATTATATAAAGTTTGAAATAATAATAAATTGAAATGAGAAGACCCAATTCTTCTTAAAGACCTAATTCAACACAAAATTATAATCAAACTCTTAAAAGCTCTGGAGTTTTCGAAAACAATGAAGAAGAAAGACAAAAAAAAACTCAGATGGAAAAAGCTAGATCGGATGTTAGAAAAAAACAAGAAGAATTACACTTGAAGCAACTTGAATTCAAAATAATAGAAGCCATGGATATGAAGGAAATCAATACAATGCTATTAGAGAGGAATGCTGTTGTATTCTAGCAAATCAAAGAGATTTTTGATGAAGGATAGGTAAAATCAAATTTGTATTTAGGTCAAAGAACCTGAAATTAAAGTTGATCTGAATTAGGTAGATGTTAGAAAACCTAGAATTGATAACTATGGCAAGAGGTATGTTGAGTAAGCCAAAAACATCTATAAAAAACCAAATCCTACTGAAATTAAAGAGCTTGTGGAATAATTCAATTAAAATACTCGTTTGCAGGGAGCAAAGTAGGTGGACAGCTTTCAGAGATTGCATATGGAATATTACAAGATTTACGCTACATTCTTATAATCACAACCAGTTGTTGAGTAGAATAGAAGACAATTGATATAAGGTATTGAGTAATATTATATTACTGTTTAGAATTGGGAGAGGTTCATGAATTGTTATCAGTTTTAAATAATGCTCCGTCATTCGAGAAACCAGCGATTTGGAATAAACAATAACTGCCTGAGGAAGACAAAATGATTGTTGACGACATAGTCAATAAAAATATAAGGCAAATATAGAATAAATATGACTTTTCCGTTCATGATTTTGACAATGAAGGAGTCTTAGAGGAGGTTAAGGATTATATTAAAAACAAGTATTTTAAAGGAATAGATCAAAATAAATGATTATAAATATAAATTAAATTATTTACAATTTTTAATAAAACAATCATTCATCAACATCCACTTATTAGAAACTCATTTCATTTTCTTGATTCTAATTAAGGAGACCTTATTCGAGATGATAGAAATGACCCTTTTAACTTACAAGAAAATTGTAATCTCCTTATTCAATAACCTAACCTTTATCAAAAACATAGATGACTTTGCAATTCTACAATATAATTAAAAATGTACCTTAATCGTTGATATTCTGTGAGCTATAACAATGGAGGTCTTGCCAATTAAGTATTCTTCAATTTGTTTCTAAACTATTGACTCAACGTTTGAATCCAAAGCACTGGTAGCTTCATCAAACAAAAATACACTTGAATTTCTGAGAACAGCCCTAGAAATAGCAATTCTTTGCTTTTAGCCACCTGAAATCAAACTTCCTTTGCTGCCTACCTTCTTTTTAAATCCACCAAAATCTTCTTGCATAATGAAGTCATAAGCATGGGATAGTTTGGCTGCATTCTCAATATCTTCTTAAGTAATGCCTTTAAGATTATATTAAATGTTGTAGTAGATTGTTTCATTAAATAATTGTGGTTCTTATTGGACAATTGCAAAATGTTACCTCAGGTATTTCAAATCAAAATCATAAATAGACTAACCATCTAGCAGTATATCCCCAGAAACAACATCATAGAATCTCAATAGCAACTAAAACAAAGTGGATTTGCCACATCCTGATGAACCTACAAAACCAACAGTTGTGCATGCCTCGATTCTGAGATTTAAGTTCCTAAGTACTTAAATGTTTGGTCTTTAGGGATAACTAAAAGTAACATCCTTGAATTCCAAATTGCCCAAAATAGGTACTTTAAGTCTTTATGATTTTAGTCGATTTTCTCGTTGAAATTCATCTTCAACTTCTAATAGATTAAAATAATAGTTGATAGCCATTTTAGCCTTAGCGTTATCAGACTGGAAATAAATATCCTTGGCACCTCCAACTACAGCAAAGATAATTGCTAAAATTGTTTAATAGATTCCAAGTACAGCTAACCCGTCATAATATAGGAGTAGAGTTCCCATAAGGAAGAGGTACCCGTTAACAAAAAACGGTTTCAGTTATGCATATCCTGAGCTAACTCCAATCCAAGCACCAAGTTTTTTCGCTTATTAGCTTGGCTCTTCCAAGAGTTTGGTATATTATTCAACCAACACATTTTCAGCTCTCAATGAATAGACAGTTCTAATATTAGTTAGAGTTTCCATTAAGATCCTATTACTTGTCACATAAACCTATTCGCAAAATGATTGTTATGATCCAACCACATATTTTGAACTTAACACACTTCCTAAATAGGAAAGAGGAGCTATACCAATTGCTAATAGAGTAAGTTTCCAAGATGAAATAAATGCTAATGTAAACCCAACGAAAATGGCAGAATAATATTGACATTTGAATCCAATAATATTTTAAAAGAGTTATTAGACTGTTCTCGCATCAGTAGTGACTCTAGTAGTTAAGAATCCTACATTATTATTGGGATTGTCAAAAAATGATACAGGTAAATGCAAGAATTTATTGAACATTTCCAATCTCATTCTTATAGTCAATCTTTCAGAGTAGACACTGAAGCAAAAGCATTCTACAGCTGATGAAATAAAATAGACAAATCCTAAAATGAATAGATTGGTTTCACATTTTAGAATAGATTCTTTCAAATTGTCAACTTTATTTTGAATCTCTTCTGGTGTGCTATTTTCAATATTGAATTGAGGATTATTAACTAGTAGTGCTTCAATTACTTCTGCAATCACTTGAGAGAACAATGGATATATCGATCCATTAACAAATGCTGTTAAGCAACCCAGGATTAAATAATGAACTTCTTTATAGTTAAGGAATATGAGACCTTTCAAAGTTTGAATAAACGATTTTTCACTGCTTACTTCAATTGTATCTTACTTTAGTTGAGTTTCTTCTCTAGCAATTGACATCTTCGCTATTTCATTTTCTGTATCAATCAATCTAATTCTTGATTTTTCAGATTGATTCACATCATATATCTAGGTCTTTTTAAGTGACCTTTCAGTTCTCTTTCTACTTAATTCAACTTCTATGCTGATTTGGGTGGGTAACATGATGGCTTCCTCTTTTGTCTATTGTTTTGAGATTAAATAAGCATATTATTCACATTTTTGCAATAATTCAGTATGCGTACCTTATCCTAAAATCAACCCTTATTGAAACACAAAAATGACATCACTATCCTAAATAGTAGTTAAACGATGAGCAATAACAATTCTAGTTATATTTGAATATCGTTCATCTATAATTTTAGTTATTTATTATTCATTTGTTCTATCGAGGGCACTGGTAGCTTCATCCAAAATTAAAATATCTGGTTTTTATAACAATGCTCTAGCCAATGCTATTCTCTATTTTTAACCACCACTAAATTAATTCCCATTTATGCCTACATTAGTATCTAAATGATCAATCAATTCTGATGCATTCATAGATACTAACATTGCTTTTAATTCTTCATCATTGCAACTCTGATTCCCCAATTTCAAATTCTCTCTGATTGTGGTATTAAATAGAGCAGGTTCTTAAGAAACAATGGCAATTTTCTTTCTAAACTACTCCTTTCCAATACTATTCAAGGGTACTTCATTTTAGCCTACTAAAATTACTCCACTATCAATTTCATAAAACTTAAGCAATAATTAAGCTATTGTAGATTTCCCAGACCCACTCTACCCCACAAATGCAACCTTCTTACTTTAAGGAATTGTGAAGGAGACATTCTTTAACACTTAAATTTCTTGTTTTGTAGGATAAGAGAAAGAGACATCCTTAAACTAAATATCGCCATTAAAATCATCACATTTTAGGAATTCATTATTTTCTTCTATAACTAGTTTCTCATCTAAAATTTTAAAGACTTCTCTTGCTGCCAATTTTCCTTTGGCAAAACACTATAGACAAGGACCGATTTATCCTAAGGAAAAGCTTCCCATCAGAATGGCAAAAAACACAGTGCAAATACTGCCAGATGTATATACTGGACCTGTATATTCAGGGTCAACCTATTGTAATTTTCATTTACTACTTAATTTGAAACTAATTGACCACTGTAAAATATTCCCAATGCATAAGTCCATTGTTGAAATCCTTGCATAGATCCAAACGACAAACCATAAAATAATCCATATTTAATTATCGATTTGGATGAGTGCATTATGATCTTCTTGAACCTTTGAAATTCAAATTCCTCTCCATCAAGCATCTTCACGGTTTTGATCTAACTCAGTGTTTCTTCGACCACAGCTGAAGCCTCGATGTCTGACTTTATTGTGAATTGCTCCCTCCAAGATGCTGAAAATCCAATAAAAGCTATTGTAACAGCCAGCAGCGGTAGAGCTGAAGTGATTACTAAGGCTAATTTCCAACCCCTAAATTTAAATACAACTTCTACTTTATATATCCAACTATGAAACCGCTTATAAAGGCACAAAAAGAAAAGGTAAATGTCATAGTCTTCTCTCCTATTGCTTCAGATATTGAAGATATTTCGTTGTTTATTTTTTGGTTTAAAGCATTTGTATTCACTTAATCATACCACATAACCTACTTTTTTAAAAGACATTCTAGGTAACGCCTCCTCAATTTTTTGGTTTGATTCTCAGTACTGATGGAAAATGTTGCATACATCAACAAAGTCACTAATAGAGTACTAATTCCCAAAATTGCCATATATCTAAAGTCACCAAAAAATATTTACAATGTGTTGAATCCAGCCTTCCTGATTTTGATATTGTCATCATCGTAAGCATAGGAATCAGTGAGGTCACCGAAAATAATTGAATAGATTGGCATTGATAATCCATTTCCAAGTGCTCCGATCATACTGAGAAGCATTAGTCCATAATCATATTTCGAAGCAAACCTATATAATTGAAGGTAAGGCACATCTTAGTCATCTTGCTTCTTAGTTTCTGATTTTAGAGGGTCATTTTCATTCACTTGGGTATTCATTATTTAATAAGTTGTCTTAAAACGATAATATAATTTAAATGATAATCTTAATTTATTTTATCCATTTTGAAAGACATTCTTACGACACTCAAATAATTATTACTACTTAACGACGCATTAACTATTATTATATTAATAATAATTATTATTCCATCAACTACTAAAATAAACATATCTCCTACATTATATCAATGATAAGATTGCATTAATCAATTTCGATGACCTTAAAAAACATGAACAATCACTATAACTATCATGAAACTAATTTATAATTTGGATTCACTTACATTGATGCTATTTTTTTATACTCACCTTTTTTTAAATTTAAAGGAGATTAATGTATTGAGATCAATTCTTAATCAAAATGTAAAGAATAGAGATTCTTTTTGAATTCACTTTTTTCAAATCCAAAGATACTTAACATTGACATTTCTTCACTGAAATAAAAAATATCCAGACATTAAAGAATGCTTAAAAAAGAAATTTAGTCGTTTATTAAATTTTTAAATTTGAAGGTCACCCCTAAATAATTAAGCAGAGAGGTAAAATAATATTTGGTACACTGGATTGTGATCTACAGTATTTTCTTAAGCCAATTTCATCATCCCCAAGTAATCTGAAATTATTCCATGAAGCTTTTAAACAAATTAGCAAATTACTATAAAAGAGGTAATTCAATAGAGGTGAACATAGTGAGGATGGTTTGATTGGGGTTTTTAATATACGATTTTTTATCAAAGGTGTTAGAATTTCTATTTGATCATTTATTCTTGATTTCTAATATGGAGCATGAAATTGGAAATAACATTAGTTCATTAAGAGGTCTACGTAATTTTGGAGTATTTGCTAACTGGATAGTTAGAAAAATCTTCGGAAATGTAAAAGTAAGTCTTATACATTAAAATCCTTATAATTTAGTATGTTTTTCTGAATCATATGAACTCAAGACTAAGTTGATGATTTTGGATCCTTCTGCCTTGGATAATATCAATAAGCAAAACAATATTTCATTATAAAATATTAATTTAATCAGAGTATTAATTATGATATGGTAATTCAATTTATAAGATAAGATAAGTACCTCAGATATTGGAAAGAGTGCCTTAGTAGTGAGTACAGTACAAGTTAATATGAAATATTGTTTATCATTAAGCAATAAATGATTTAATATTATTGTAAATATTAAAATGGATTCCCAGAAAAGGAAGCGTCTAATAATTTAATATTCTCTAAAATTAAAAGAACTCAAAGAAGGAAGAGATACTTCTGCCTCGAAGGGACAACGAGCTCAGTAAAAATCTCGAGTCTTAAAAACTGAGTCCTCCATGTCCATGGCTAAATAGCCACAATAAATATCAATGCCTCCAGTAGATGATATAATTTCAAAGGGAGAATGCAAATTGATTTTCCTTTAAACATAATCCGAAGACACAGGTTTTCGAACATTTAATGAGATGATGAGGACCAATTCAAGTTGGCTTACTCAAGCAGATAAATTGGCCAATACTCTTAGTAGTCCATTGCAATTGAAAAATAGACTTCAATTCAATCATAGTCAAGCCTTGAAGTTCAAGAATCGAATTGAGTAAAAATGGAACATGACTGTAAAAGAAGTAGCCGATTCGATAATACAGAAACAAGAATAAAAGGACCAATAGAAAATTAAATTAGTTCATTTAAAGATAAATCACACTGATGCAGATGACGTAGGACCATAATAAGAGGAATGTTCTTCGCCCTCTCTATCATAAGAAGTGATAACTACAAATCTAAAGTTTTTTTGGTTCCATATCTCAATATCAGATTGGAAACCACCAATTCGTGAAGGATGTACAGTTACTTACATTCAAAATTTGAATAAATGCATAATGTATGGTGGAATAGGAAACGATTTATTCAAAACTTTTGTAACTCTGAATACTCAGTCATGGGTATGGAAGGACATAGGAACTGGAGTAGGGGATGTTCCATTGGAGGGTCGATTTGGACACACAGCCACTCTTTATAAGCAACAATTGATAATTTATGGAGGAGAGAAAAAATACAATAATGCAATGAAAATGCGGGAGTGCTATGGGGATGTTCGTATATTTACACCAAATGACAAAACTTGGATCTAACTTAAACCTTATGGAGATGTAGTGGAAGGGAGACGCAATCATTGTGCTGAAGTAGTTGGAAAATACTTTATCGTTTATGGTGGGATCAATTCTTATGGCAAAGTCCTGACAGATGTTGCAGGACTTAATTTAGAAACGTGTAAATGGTAATTATCAAAGTGTATGTATAAGGACTTCGTTTTAGATTGAGAATTCTGGGGGATTAGAAGGAGTCTCCGATGCCACTTCTTTAGCCATGTTCAAGAGTGAAGTTAAAATGGAAAATCCTTATTTCAGTTATGAATGGGTCAAAAAAAAGGGGAAGTCTTTCTTGCCGATTACAACTGAAGGCATCTATGTGTTTGGAGGGAGATTGTAAAATGGAGAGGCTGTTAATGATCTTAGGATTATACAATTCGGGTTCAAACCGATCAAAATCACAAAAGTGATGAAAACCAAAGTATTCGCATTATTTAATTAGGGTTAAGCACCATTAGCTCGATATTCTCATTCTATGAATTACTTTAGATAAACCAATGTGATCATCATTTATGGAGGAAGGAATGATTCCAAATAAGGAAATATCCTTAATGATATATTTGTATTGCAAATCCAATAATTCTCATGGTCTTAAGTTTAATAGATCCAATAACTGTAATGAATTACATTTATTATTAGAAAACATGGCAAATGCAGACATTCAAGTGTTTCTATTGATTCTAAAATACTTATTTTTGGAGGCTATGCTCAACATGTTTTCGCCAATGCTGACATTCAATTATTGGAATTAGATCAAAACAAAGTGGCTAAAATGATTAAAGACAATAAAAATAATAAAAATAGGGATGTCGTCATTCATAGCGATGAATTAGTTAATAACAACACTCTTAAAGTCTTTAAGACTGAATACTACAATGAAGCTGAAGATCCAGATCTTAAACAAAAGAAAATCTAAGAAAACGAATTCCAAAGATTATGTTATAGCAATTTCAAAAGTTTTATGCCTCTGCCTCAACAAAATCATTCATCGTTGGTCAATGAATACAAAAATAAGAGAGAATTAGCTAAATTAGAAATTCTCAAGAACTAATTTAATGATCTAAGTAGAAGGAATAGTCGTAGAACAACTAGTGATTTTAAGATTATTGAGTAATGATTTTAAAAGCAAAATTGAAATTATATATTTTGTTTTAATTTAATTTATGATTACTGTTCCCCTAGGAGATAGATTAGAATGCTTCAAAATGGATGGCCAATATGTAGGAACACTCACCCTTCATAACACCAAACCAAACAAGTAATAAAATCGATTAAATTCTTAGCTGTTGCGGTTTCAAAATCAGAACAAACAATACCTAAGACATTTAAGTTATGCCACACATAGGATCCTTTACAGGGTAACACTATAAAATTGTAGTTAAGTGTTAAAAATTCCAATGTATTCTTACAATTTTATACACTTAGCAAATGCAAAATTACAAGTTCTTACTGTGGATCTATCTGATCAAAATTTCAATAAAACTGATGTTAAATCACTGGCCTCTTATTTTGATACATATTCCAATAGCTCATTTGTCGAAAAAATGAAAATAGAAATAATTACTATCGATTAAAATTAAATAACAAAATAATCTAATACTGTTAATCAATCAATCTCGTTAAATAAAAACATAGAAGAAAGCATATACAACCAATAAGATTTTGCTTACGAATAAAATACTTTGTTGAAAAAGAGTGAACAAATCAAACAATAGTAAATTAGAAACTCATACACAAACTCTGATCCCTAACAAAGTGTTAGCAGAGTATCTGCTTCCGAATAAAGATTTCTTACGTCAACTACATTTTAATAAGCTAAATAAACTTCATCTAAACAATCCTCCAATTCATAAAACACCTTTCAATTCGATTATCCTCCCCCAAAACCCTAAACATACCCATATTAACCACAACAACCAAAAGTGCATAATTATTAAGAAAAAGATTTTGAAGAAGACCCTTAAATCTAAAAATTAAATCTTAAAATACATTAATTGTAACTAGAATTCAATAAACAATCTGAAGAACTCTAAAATATTGAAAAAACAAAAGCATCATTATTATCATAAGAATCAGATTTGAATCAAGGTTAAATCTATGTAGGTGTCTAACACATTTTTTTTTCAGCTTTAATTTGTTTTTTAATTGGTTATGTAGCAACGAATTGATTTTAAATTTTGTTTATAAAAATTAAATCATTTTTCTTAATTACATTTTCTACTTACAATAACATCGATAAATTAGTACTATTATTGTTAGTATAAATAACATCAGATTTTATAAATTACTTGGTTAAGATTTAAATCACTCAATATTACTTAAAGGATAATATTAATATTTTCGATATCTCATGATTTTGAAATGTGTTGTTTCGAGAAGATAATATAATTAATTCATCATTATAAAAAAGCCAAAAAATATATTCATATATTGATGAATAACTTTAGTATTTATCTTTTTTTAATTTCCGAAATCAATTTTAATCTTTCACTAAATGATTATGATTCAATTTTACAAATTATATCTATTTGCTCTAAGTAAATTATAGTCTTTTGTATATAAGGTTTTTTAAATGATTAAAATTTGATTCGACAGCATTTGCTTTGATATTCATATAAAATTGTTACTCAAAGAAAAACTCATAAAGAATAGCTTTTATAAGTTGCAAATAAGTGCAATAGGAGTTATTATTATGAAAAATATCAAATATAAATTTATAATTAAATTGCGTGTCTAATTTCTATAATTAGAATAAAATTAATATAACTAGTGTAAAAAATCGTCATAATCACTATTTTGATTATAGAATCTCTCTTCTATTTTAACGTCTTTGTAATATGTTTTCTTCTTATTTTTATAAATCTCTGTTTATCATTGACCTCATTAAGGAGTTATTTTAATTAAACTCTCTTGCTGTTGATATAGCATCTCTTGATTCCTATTTTTAACTTGGCTCAAATGCCTTTTACACATTTGATTTCATTAAAAGCTTACTTGCTTTTTCAGTAAATATCTTATATTTCTTGTCATCATTCTAACCATAATATTCTGTTCCTAGCTTCCTTAATTAACTTAATTTACTTTATATAGAGCTAATAAATCATTAACCATTTTTTAATTGACTTTCTCATTTTCTAATTCTAATTCTAAGTCTAGAATTTATTAAGCAAAATTAGGAGGCAATCTTAACTTGGGTTATTTTGAAATTAATTTAAATTATTCGAAATCTCCTTAATCATCATGAAATAGCCAATTCTTCAAACTTTCAAACATTTTTAATAATAAATATTTAATAAAATGAAAATATGATTACAAATCAATTCATAAATTATGGAAATTTAAAGGGATTTCATGAATTCTATCCTAGTAGATACCTTCTATATCTTTGGATTCATCATTAAAAATCAACTTTACAGTTCTAAATACTTTTGTTTCATGTCTCTAAAATCTGATGGGAATTTTTGATTCATAGCACTCCCCACCTTGCATTAGATTATGGGGCACAATGTATTCAAACTGTTTTTCAGAATCCTCCATTACCAAACCAATATTTAATGTTCCTAATGTGTCCATCAATGGCTAATTTTGTTCAATTTAAATCCCATAGTTACTAAATAACATTGTCTTAGAAATCTAAGCTTTATTTTCAGAAGAAAGATTGGACTTGGAAAAATTCTCATTATCTAATTGGATAAATTTGATTTTCTCATTAAATTTGAATTTCATTAAGCAAACCTCCTTAAATCGTTCATATTTTGTATAAATATAAGTTAAAGCATGTTATGGTGTTTTTTATATGTAAATTGCACTCCAATCTGAAGCGGCTTAAGAGTACTTTGCAAAAAGGTCTTGAGGGTTAATTTGATCTTAGTAGGGCATTATTTTAAATCCGATTTGAGCTTCCATTATAAAGTGATAAAATTGAAATAACTTTATTAAATGTATGGATTTTTATTTATTATTATAAAATTCTTTACAAATAATATTCATCAATTTAAGTAAATATATTTTATGTTTTTAAATATACTACAAATCAAGTTCTTGCAAAAGAGTGAAACTTAATGAGCAGTATCGTAAAAAAAATAATCAGCCATTATAAAATATGTGCTTCCATCAGCTCTTTGTAAAAACTCAACTTCAAAAAATAATTAAAACTTCAAAATATCTGAATTATTTAATTCATTATTAAATATTCCATAGGTGTGAGATACAATACATTTTGATTTCATCTTAACCTACTTACCCTTATTCAATTTTACATTTTGATATCATTCCTGGTCTTATTTAATGACTGAATTTAAAGAATCTACAACTAATACAGGTTGAAACTCAACAGCTATTACTGTCTAATTATATGATTTTACCTTATTTAATTAATTTAATCATCACTATTTCAATTTTTTAATTGGAAGTTTAGATTTGGTTTCCTTAGTTTTTTTGAAACCTTTTGACTCTCTATTATGTTTATTTAGATTCCTCTTTTTGAATTTTTTTATTCTTCTTCCAAGGCCTTTAGTTAACTTCTTTTCTATTTATGAACTATTCTTAGAAATTACAATTGGACTTTCTTTTAGAATGGAAGATTTATCTTACGATGAAGTCAAATTAATTTTAAATGATTCTGAATCAGAAATCACAATGGCCGGTCCTTGATTTTTTGAAGGAGAAATCCTATTTTGTTTTGGATTTAAATAGAATTTTTGAGTTTGTTTTGGTTAACATTTATTAGTTTTTGTAATTTCTTTATTTTTACTTATAATGAAGATAATAAATTAGTTTAACTAGAGATGATGATGGACTTATTGAGATAACAAAGGCATTAAATTTAGTTGATTTCTAAATTAATAAGATGAAGTTTACTTTTTGTTTATTATTTAAGTCATTCCATTAAGACGATAATTTATTTGTTATTTATCAAGATGTGAGTTAGGTGTGTCCTGATTATAAAATGTGTTTGTTTTTCTTAATGCGTTCTTCCTCAGAATAACACGAAGTTTGTGATGATTATGATCTTCAAGTTTTCATTTAGTTGAATAATTATTCTATTTATTTTTTAGTTCATAAATTTAAATTGAAAAAGTTGTTTTTATAATAATTTTATATATATTAAATATAAAAATGATAACTCACTAATTAAAAATGTTTTTAAATTGAGTAAATATTTTGTCATCAAAAGGATCAGGATAGAGCAAATTAATTGTATCTCTGACATGGAACTTATTTTGATCTTCTTCAACCTTTTATAAGAAATCGATATCTTCTTCTAATGTGATTTCAGGCAGTTTCTTGAAGGTCTCAGGAATAGGAACGTATCTGATGAGTGTTATGATAAATGAGAATACTTGGAAGAGTAATTGTTGGAGAAATTCTGGAAGGAGTCCTCAGAAAATTTATCTCTAAATGTATTGACATAGATTTGAATTTTAGTTGGCTATTTGATCACAATTGGGCCGAAGTATTAGCTGCCATCAGGGTTGGGTTAAGCTAATATGATTGGAATTGCACATATATACAGATTAACTTAATAACGGCCTAGGTGTTGTAATGATTGAGTTTTATCTATTTGGTTCCATTAGAGATTTCAATTTGATCTAGGTATTAAGTAACCAAATTCACAACATCATCATTTACCTATTAATTAATATTGTGGCACCTTATAATCTAATTTGACATTCTCGAAGCCTTCTATGTATCCGCATTGATGGATGAACTCCTCGAACTTATTGCCGAAATTTACCATGGATTTGGATATTGCAATTATTTGAAGAAGATCATTAGATTGTAAATCTTGAACTTTCTTAATGAGTAAATTGAATGCAATCAATCCACACCCATAATATTTCAATAGGTCATTCATGAGTAACAAGAAAACGTATTGATTCACTTTGAAACGTAGATGGCCATTTTTTTTGGTTTCAATAACATCAAATGCTTTTTGGACCAATTCCAGAATCATTTTCAATTCGTCAAAGATTGATTTGAGTGGCATTTTATTAAAGTACAAGATCTTCTCTTTCTTATATAGAGTGAGTGAGGTAGAGTTTCTGAGTTTGAGTGCCTTGAATTTGATGTAATGATAATATTTGGATATTAATTCGTTAATTAGTAATTACTTATTTTTGATGTCCCTCTCTTATCGACATTCCACCAAAGGCAAATCTAACTCCTGAAATTCTTTAAGTAAGATACGATCACTCACGCACCTCAATTTTTTTGACCCAATACCTATCTATGATTATCAAAGATTTTATGATCATCATCCAACCATTCTCATCGTTGTTTTATAATTTCAACTTTCTCACTAAGGAACCATACGCTGTCTAAGCATTTGTTTGTAAGTCTTCTCCTGAAAGTGTAGCTAGAATCTATCTAATATCCTCTTCTCTTGGGGGATTCGCATTGGTGTAAGTAGCAGCGATTCTGGCCTTTAGTGTGTATAGGTTTGAGTGCTTACTTTCTCAAATTTAGTCTCAGCTCCCATGGTTGCACAAAATTGAGCAAAAATATTCATTTATTATATTTATATGCTAAAATCAATCAAAAGAAAATTGAATTCCATCGCAGATCGCGATAACAACAATTACGAAGTATTTTACTCTCTTAAACCTTTCAGATAACAATTGATTTATTGAAGCGAGGGGATCTCCTTAAAACTGAGTTGGAATTCCTAATGAAAAATTTCGGCAATTTTAAATTCTTCGAAGAATAGAAAGCTAAACTCCCTCTCTACCTTTATACCTAAATATTCAAGAACCTCGATTACCAGTATGTCTAATAATACGATACAGTTTTTAATTATGGTATTTTGTTGCCATCTCAAGCATAGGTGATATGGGATCCACATTTTATATCATTCTTAAGGGATAAGTCAATGTACTATTACCAAAACCGCACGTCTAGGATGATCTCAAATATGGTAGGGTTACAATATAGGAATTGCAGTAAAGAATAGAAAATGAGAAGTCAAATTAATTTAGTGACTTTGATGAGTTTTTGCAGGTAGCTTATCAAGACTTCGTCAAAGTGAGAAATCTTACTGCTGGTGATACTTTTGGAGATTATGCCTTAATAACAAAATCCAAAAGAACTGCCACAATTCTCTGTTACACAGATTGTCATTTTATGATATTACATAAAAATGCTTTTGATCGTATTTTGTATGAACACCATAATTCTATTCTAAAGTAATAATTAGCTTTTTTTGAAAATATCTCATATTTGCATGGGATTCCAGATTAGCACTTAACATAGTTGATGCATTAGATGATTGAGTTCACACCTCAATTGAATAGTACAATATACAAAGAGAATGAAGAATCACACTCAGTATATTTTATAATAAGTGGGGAAGTGGAGTTATCGTATCAATTGAATAGCTGGTAAAGGATAGTGATTTCTTTGATGACAAAGGGAGCTATTTTCGGAGAGGAAGAAGTACTAAAAGGAATTCGGAGAACCTAGAAAGCTATTTGTAAAAGCAATGAGACTGTGCTTAGAACATTGAGTGCATAGTAGTTTATGTCAACCTTGGAGATTCATAATTTGAAATTGGCATGTTCAGAGCAATCTGATCAGAAAGCCTAGAGATAATCGAAATAGATTTTGTTGAGGAGAAAAGCCACAGAATCTCTTTTACTTTGTTGTCCAGTGGCAAAGAAGAGAGACAACAATTTAGATTCTGAAATAACTCGATTTCATTCAACCAGATAAATTTCCCTTAGTCATCGTTTCTAATTAAATCCTCCAATCACACATTCTAATTGTCTTATTCCAATTTAGATTCCGCACTACATTAAGTTGATGCCCTAAAATCAGAAGCCTCCTCCTCTATAGTCGAGACTAGGAACGAATTTCAATCGTCTAAGGAATATTTTGAAAACTGAAAGAAGTGAAGGGAATATATAATAGGGATCATCATATTTTTCTCAGTGTTCTTCTCATCAACAATAATTATCTCCTAAACAATTTATTAACATCCATGTGGAGAGATTGCGTAAATCCAGATACAAATGAGTGTAATTAATATATATATATATAAATAATAAATTCATGTTGTTTGATCCAAAACAAGAGAATTTGCCGTATACATTTGCATTGATTAAACCTGACACTACTCTTAAACCTAATGTAGTATAGGAAGTGGTTAATAAAATTGAAGCAGCTGGATTAACAATTAAAAACTTTGTTCAAGTATAGTGTTTAACAATTATCTATTGAGAGAACTCTACAGAGAAGAAGTACTGAATCTGTTTTACAAATAACAAAAGTATATGGATGAGATTATGACATATATGTTATCAGGAGAATGTGTAATGTTTCTTTTATGTCATGAAACTGAAAATCCTATTTTGGTATGGAAGAAGATGATTGGAAATAAAGATCCTATCGAGGCTAAAAAGGCAGATCCATAATCCTTAAGAGGAATATATGGTACATCAATAATTAAAAATGAATTTCATGGAAGCGATGATCCATTCTCTGCCAACAAAGAAAGAGACATTTTCAAATTCCCAATTCCTCAGAAAATACCTGATTTCAAATTCGATAAAATGTTAGTCTCCTTAGAAACCCTGTTCAAATTTCTTTACCCTCCCAATTTAGAACATTCAAATGCATTAGAAAGACTGGACATCTTTGCTATTTATGGCCCATGTGTCAATTATCATAGTGTTGATCAATGTCTATGCAGAGAATGTGCATTAGTAGGAAAAGAGCATTTGGAAGGTGTCAGAGAATCACTCATTGCCTCGGAATAAACTAAATTAGGAATCAAAATCAGACCCTAACCAACTACAGCAACTAAAACACAATTGCCATAAAGAGTTCAATTACCACCTATTAGACTATTGAAGGAAGAAGACATTAAATAGATCTATTAGTCATTGTGTGAAAAGTGCCAATTCCATTGTAATGGTTACGCTCATTTACAAGGAGGCAGGAATATGTAGCATATTATGACTGATCAAGAATTAAACACTTTAGCCAAAGAGATGAATAAATAAGAAATCTTAGAATTACTTTATAGTGAGAAGGGTAATGCTGCTAATGTCATGATTGAAACCATTGATCTTAATGAACCTAATCATTACACTAAGGAAATGATTCAACTACTGTTTTAGGAATTAGAAACAGATTATTATAATAGATTCAAATTTTATCATCTTTAGAATGTCATCTTAGAAGACAGAAGAATCAGGATGAATGCTTGGATGAGTATTCTCATCAATAAACCAATTCATAGATTCAAAAACCCTAAATTAGTTTGTAAAGTACCCCCTGAAATGAGAAAGAACCCAGAAAGCATTCACTACACAATCAATAGAATTTTACCTCTCAATCAAACATACAAAAAGAAGGATATTACTAAAATGCCTTTGGATTTCCCACCTAATCTTGCAGATAAGGAGAAATTGAATCCCAATGAAGAAAAACTTGCATTATTGAAGAAACTACACAGAGACACTCATCACATGGTTGAAATTCAGGATGCAAAGAAGGTTTTCATTTCTATTCTCATATCTATAGGTTGTTTCCAATGGTGTCTATCTATTGCGTAAGTACAATGATGGAAGAAACGGCGAATGGGACAATTATTCATCGCTTAAAGCAATGAATAGAGGCTCCTATGTAAATTATGAGGAAAAAAAGAGAAAAGAAAAGCTTTGAATTATAAACAATGCATTATCAATTAATATATATCGTTAATATTATAGAACTTAGAATTTGGATCTCGATTGGTGCTCCAATTCTCATAGAAATGTCTACTGCAATCATGAATCTTTTTTTATTATTAATTATTTAATATAAATGGAGGTAACTATAGAAATGATTTCTAAAGATTTAGAAGACTCATTTACTACTATATTAGATGATAACACAGAACTTATTAATATTGCAGAAATGATTAAAGAAGCATCATATTATAAGTATAGATTTCATTCGAGATTCTAGTTAATTTAATTTGAGTGAACAGTTCTGCTTAGAAATAAAGGATACTAATAAATTCATTAGTGGAAGATCTACAATTATCAAGAAGTGTCTCTAATAAAATTAAATTGATCCAAAAATTCTAGTCTTTCATAAAGGCATGGATGGATAAACTAAAAGTATTGAATAATTTTATTCTAGTGAATAAAGGAGTAATTATTGATTAGAATTTCCAGAGAGAACCTTAGATTAATAATTAAGTCAACCATAATAAACCGTAACAATAATAGTTCTAACCACAATAGGATAATCTTATCCAAATTAATAAAAATAATTAATAAGGATAAGGATAAGGTATAGTAATTGGAGGAGGTTAAATCACTGAATCATAGGTTATAAGGAATTTAGAATAAAGGCTAAATTAAGGACAACAAAATAATGATATTGAGGCCTAAGATCTAGTATAATCACTAAATAATAATATAAACTAAGTCGAATTAAATGAATTTAGCTAAATTTCAATAGGATAAAGTTAAGGAAATTAACAGCAGTTCTAATAAGGGGAAGAATCCCATAATTTATAAAACACATCATCATTGGAAACCAATATTCAAAGTAACATAAAGAAATATAACCTCACCGTTTGGATGGATTATCAAGAATTAGAAAAGTATAAAGAGCTTTTTAGAAAAGATAATATTTAATTTACATTAAATTGATAATTTTAGAGAGTAAATGTATATTATTAAATCTAATGAATTTTAAAGAATCGTAATATTATTATATGTGAGTCCAATTTCTAAGGCTTTTAAAATTAAAATCTAAACACTATTGAGAAAAAAACAAAACAAGATATTAGAAGTCGATAGAGAAGTCAATATGTTTTCCTGCTTAAATTATAAGGACAAGAAAAAAGGGATGTAAATCATTTTGATACAGGTCGAAAATTAGTTATAGAAAAACAAAGGGAATTTAATAAGAAAGAGCATATGAAATCTTCAAGTCTTTAGAAAAGATTTATTACTTGTTTATAGAAATGTTAAGATTATAACTTGGTAATAAGTATTATATGGATATTTATAGTTTGTTTTCAATGCTTTCTAAATTGGTATAATTCGTTTAGTTGATTTATTTTGTCTTACTTTGCTTTTCTTTCTAGATTTAAACGATTTTAAATTTCTCGTGATCTTGATTTTTCAGTTGACAATTATCCATTTTTCTGTTATTTAGTTTCACTTTCCAAAAAAGACCTTCTCTTCTCGTTTTCTTCTTAAATTCTTCTATTAATTTCATCATCAATTTTTTTCTTAGTATCATCTTGAGTAGTTGATTCAAATATGCTTGCTCTTCCTCCTTGGGCAACACTACTTTACATGGGTGTCTTAAATTTATTAATGATCTCCTCGTACATGTCATCTAACTACCTTTGACATTGCAATTACAATCTTTGAGACTCCTACTTAATTTAGATATCGATATCCTTAAAGCTAGGTTCAACTAATTAATTGATCAATTAATTAATTCTTTCATCCTGATGTGTAGCTTTAAGTTAGTAATAAATAGAATACCTATCTGATTCATTTCTCTTTGCAACATTAGGAGTGTCTTTTCAAAGCGTTCGAATTTGAATGTTAAGCCTTCATCATTTCTGCAACGATCCAAATTCAAATCTTGAAATTAGTGAATGACATGGTCTAATTATTTAATCAATTCATTTATGCGCTTGTCTTGCAATTGAGTTAAGTTTTCTATAAATCCTAATCGATCTTCAACTATTTTGAGCCGCATGCTCATGTTTTCATTATCTAAAAACATAAATAGTAAATAATTATAAAATAAAATTTGAAGAATTAAAATGAGGGTTGATTTATATATTGTTTTAAGAATTAAATTTATATCATGCTGATGATCTCTCTTAGAGATAAACCTTGACGTTGGATAATTTGGTAGCTAAGATCTCTTCAACTTATCTGATGATGGAGATTTCTAATTATCTGTGTTCAGAGTCTTCAGCATATTAAGTTCTCCATGAATCGCATTCGGCTTCCTTTTATTCCTTTCCTGATGAGGCAGCGTTCAATTCATCGGTGGCATCTTCCTTTCTCTTCTTTTATAAGTCCAAAGCTTATTAGTTGTCTTGGAGTTATCTTTCAGAGTCTTCTCTGGCGGCACTCAAGGATTCTCTTTATGAGGCGATTTCGACGACCAAAGCTTCGAAGTCTAATTAGGCTTAGATTTCGGTTTATCTGGCATCTTCAAGGGCTTCAGCCAATTGAGTGCTGACTTCACCTAATTTTCCGAGGACGTTGTTCAATTATTCAGCTGAGAAGGTTGAGGCAACTTACATAAGAGCAAGGATTGGGTTGGATGCACCAATCTTGTTCAATTAGGTCAAGGCAGCCAAGACTTCTTAATCTGGTTGGATTGAGCTCAACTTTTAGATGATGACTTCAACAGCCTCAATGACGTTTTCGGTTTCATTCTCGAATCTGACGAAACTTTCAGCATCTTCAGCTCTTTATTCTCTGATTTGGGTTTCTTATTCGTTCAAGATGTCTAATTGGACTTATTTGTTTTCAACATCTTAGGTCAATTATTCAACCTTGGCACTGAGGGTTTAGATTTCTTAGGTTGATTCGGTGATTTCGTTGGAAGCGAAGTCAATTCTTCTGTTATATTAGTAGATTTCTGTTTCGCAGTCAACTTCATCTTAAGCGTGCTTTTAGTCAGCTTCTTATTGGTTGAGGATGAGGTTTTCTCTCAATTATTGTAACATTTTAGCGATGTCTCCCAATGGGGCCTTGTTGTTCAATTGGAGGGCAATTGTGTCTAACAATTTTCTTCCCAATTCGTGTTCTTCCATGGCTTCCAATTGTGTGAAGACAGCCTTGCTTGGATCGTTTGATCTCTTGACAAAGACAGCTTGTGTGAGTGTTAATCCCAAAAGAGCGATGAGAATCAATTTCATAATTAAATTAATGTTGCACAATCAAAACTACATTCACTTTTCATATTCCACTATTCGTTTTTCCCTATTGCAATAATAATTGCTCAAATTATTTAATATATAAAAACGACAATCCCAATTTTAAAAATAGAATTATATAAAAACCAACCGATTTTACATCTTATAATTCATATATATTCATTTATTCAATAGATATGATGGCACATCTGCAAAAGTTGGCTTGAGATTATAATTTCCTGGACCTGGAACACTCTAATCTGTTTAATTTAGATTTGGTCTTAATCCTGTTCCGAATCCCCATCTAGGCCCATCTGATGAACCTCTCAAATTATAATTACCAGGTCCTAATCTTATAAAACACAATCTAAACCTGGAGCATCCTTCCCAAAACCAGCATTCAGTTCAGCCCTTTAACCAGTACCAATCTTTGCTGAAGCTGGTCGTTGTTTGCTTGGCCCATCATTTGGATTATATGCACCTGGCCCTGGCTGATTTAAGGTAGTCGTAGGTTCATATTTACTGCCTAAAATCTAATGTTTGGGTCCCTCTCCTATTTTAGTATTCAAATCATAGGTTCCTGGCCCTGGAATATCCCTTGTATCACTCAATGGCCTACGATTGGCACTGCCTATACGAACTTAAGCTGATTTAGGCCTTGCAAACTCATATCTGGATTCATAGGTTCCTGGTCCTGGAGTCCTTATCATCTCTCGATTCAAGCTGTCTCTGGTCTCATTTCCAATTTTATATGAAGGAGGTCTCAATTTTTATTTCTTTTCCCAATTATAGGTTCCAGGTCCTGGCACTTATTCTTACTGAGTTTAATTTCTTCTTGAAAGCATCGAAAATCCCTTTTGTGAAACATTAAACTCGCTTCTCGCTTCATATTCTCCTGGACCAGGGTTCTTTATTTCTGAAAAAGCTCCCCTGGATGCTGTTCCGAATTTATATTAAGGACCAGCACTGTTTGGTCTCTTTAAGTATGATCCAGGTCCTGGAGTACGAGTCATCTCATAAAATCCATCTCGCTTAGAATGGGGGAATCTTAAACTCAAAACTATACCCTTACTTCATGCAAGGAACTCCCATGACTGTAGAAGGATTTTCATAAGCTCCTGGTCCAGGTTAAAATGTAGAGTAGTTTTATGATAGTTTCGCACCGATTGAATAATTGGGAAGAGCCTTCACCATGGTTCGGTAATTAGGATTGTAAGCTCCTGGTAAAATGAATGCTGTATATTTACCTGGTCCAGGTCCTTATTTTGCTAATACTGTTGGTTTCTTAAGACCAAAGGAATACTTAGGTCCTTCCTTGGTTACTCTTGAAGGATGTTCATACGCACCAGGTCCTGGGGCAAATACTTTTAGAAGGCCACTTCTATTACCAGATCCAAATCTACTTTAACAGGCAAAATTTACTTGAAAGATGGAGGGGTCATCTTCTATCTCTTCATTGGTTAGTAAGCTCCTGGGCCAGGTGTTTCACTTCTGGGTTGAGTGGCTGATTGATTTATACATGATAAATACATCGTTACGCTTTACCTATTGAAAAAGCACTCACCATATTGATTAATTTTATTTATATATATATATATAATATTATTTGACAATATTGTAAATAGTCTTGATGAGTGCACTTATTTGGAGTTCATATTTGTAGTGAGTCCCTTTTTATATGTGAATTTACAAATACTTCTTATTTTTAAGAATTGTAAATTGATCTCATCAGAAATTTTGAATCATGTTTTACAATAGCAAAATTTGTTATGTATCTAAGATTCTTAAGAATGAATATTTATAGTGTGTGTTTCTAATAAATAATCTGTTGTTATTGATATTGAGATAATTTTAAAGGGGAGTAAAAGCGCAAAAGTAATTTTTATTAATTATAAATATATAATATTAATTGGCGCCCATTTTATCAAATTCCCACAAATTGTGATCAATAATAAAAATAAATGGCAAAACAAAATAACAAGCGTCAATTTCTTGTGCCTGAATATGCTTCAGAGTTAAGCAGTCTAAGTGAATTTCTTGCAGAGTTTCGTGACAATTCTATAGTAGAAATTGATAATACTTATGGTTAACGCAAATACATGATTGAGTTGGTATGATTTAATTGAGAGTAAAATAGTAAAGAATAGCAAACAGATAAACCAATCGTATCGATATCTACGTAGAGGATCTTGAATATTTCTTCAATGATAGAATAGATTTTGTTAATAAAATAAAGACAAATACATTATCATATCAAAGATTACTATATGATGCTTGTGATACTTTGATGCCTCAACAAACTAGAGATTTTGAATAAAACTTTGATTTGTTTGACGAGGAAATTAATGTTCAAAGACAATAGAATATGGAGTAAGATGGAAACAATAACCACTAGAAGAGACTCCCCCCTGAACTCATTCGCAGATAGTAAGATAAATAAATAAATGTAGTCAACTGTTTATAATTCGAGGCCCACAAACAAAGCAGCAAGTTATGGCCATAAGAAATCTAAAGGCACAATTGATAGGATCTTTAATTACAATAAAAGCAATGGTAGTTAGAACATCTGAAGTCAGACCATAAATAATAGTCGCATGTTTCTCATGTGATGCATGTGGATATGAGAATTATTAGACAGTTCATGGTAAGACCTTTACTCCAATGCTCGATTGTGCAAGTGATAAATGTAGAGATAATAAAGTGAGAGGAAGGTTGATATTCAATCATGGCAGTTCAAAATTCATATCCAATCAAGAAATCAAGATCTAAGAACTAAAAGAACAGTTACCTAAAGGATCGATTCCAAGAGCATTTACAGTTATGGCCAGAGGAGACAGCAACATTAGAATTTGTTCTCCAGGAGATATGGTTACTATTTAAGGAGTCTTTTTACCAGTTGAAAAAGAGGGGTTCTTCGCCAATAAAGCATCATTCTACAGTACTTACATTGAAGCATTCCATATTAAAAGAGATAAGAAGAAATTCAAAGAAATTGATATTGAAAGTGTCAGTGGTCATAAGATCTTTGAAGATATCAAGAAATATCCATTCAGTGATTTGTATATGAAATTAGCTAAGTCTATTGCTCCTGAAATCTTTGGAATGGAGGATGTTAAAAAAGCATTGTTATTAATGATTGTAGGAGGAGTAAGCAAAGAAATGCATGATGGATTAAAAATTAGAGGAGATATTAATGTAGCTTTAATTGGAGATCCAGGAGTGGCCAAATCTTAATTATTAAGATATATATCTCAAGTTTCACCCAGAGGAGTGTATACTACAGGAAAAGGATCATCTAGTGTCGGTCTCACAGCAGCTGTCATTAGAGATCCTATCACTGGAGAAATGGCTTTAGAAGGAGGTGCTTTAGTTATGGCTGATAGAGGAGTATGTTGCATTGACGAATTCGATAAAATGAATGAAAGTGATAGAACTGCCATTCATGAAGTTATGGAACAACAGACTGTCAGTATTGCTAAGGCAGGTATCACTACTACTTTAAATGCTCGAACATCTATTTTAGCAGCTGCCAATCCATTATATGGAAGATACAATAAAAAATAGACTCCACATCAAAACATCAATCTTCCTGCTGCCTTATTATCAAGATTTGATCTTATTTTCATTTTATTAGATGAAATCAATCACGAGGCTGATACTAAATTAGCATCTCATATTGGTAGAGTTCATCAGAACAAATACAAGGAAAATGAGACTCAAGATTTATATTCAGTTGAAGAAATCACAACATTTGTTGCCTTATCAAAATAATATGAACCAATCCTTACTTCTGATATCCATTAATACATAGCTGATCAATATGTTGAAAGAAGAAAATAAACATTTGATAAAACCCTTGATGGATATTCCTACACTACTCCAAGAACTTTATTAGCCATCATTAGATTATCATAATCAATTGTATATTAAATCTTTATCATTTTAGGCTAAATTATAATTGGCTGACAGAGTCACTCAAAGAGATGTTGAAGAGGCTATTAGATTAATGGACATTTCCCAAGAAAGTGTTAGGAGAGCATAACAAATAGATGGTATGTACATTTATGTTATTTTAGACACTGTCCAAAGAAAGGACAAAACTGCTAAGTTATATGAATTGTTATCATCTTTATGCAACAAAAATAAAGGAACCATAACCAAAGATTCATTTGTTAGATAAGCTATTAGTAAAGGATCCTAAATGTAAGAAATCGAAGAGTTTTTAAATACATACTCTTCACTTAACCAAATTCAAATTCATGGAGATCAAAACGATAGAATTACTCTAGTATCATGAAATTATTGTATTTTATATCAATCTTTATTTTCCAAAGATTAATCCTTACATTTTTTAATAAATATTGATTAAATTATTATCAATATTGCAATACTAATTCTATTTAAAATGAATATATATTTATAAATTTATCTTTTTGCAATTAAATATCATTATATAGAATAATGACATATCACATTTTTTAAATTTAGAAAATTTGTTAAAGATTCTCTTCGATATCCTAGATGTATTGTTATATTTCATTTTTTTGTTTTAAACCTTTTACCTTTCCTTTTTAATAAATAGCTAAGGCTTCGGAATAGAAACTAAAGGCAACATTAAACTAAAAATAACATTTCAATTATACATCTTTAAGTTTGTAAGCTAAATCCCCCACTTCTTTGAGAAGATAGGCAGTTTCCATAGTCAAATTATTGGATCTCTAAAATTACCTAGCCCATAATCCAAGTACTTAAATATTTAATTTATATATTACTAGCTAGTCCATCTGATATTTTCCCCTGAGCTACCAATATTTCCACTTTGATATCAATCAATGATTTTATCTCAAGTTGATCTGTGTTTTATTGTATTCCTTCCTCGACCAATTTAAGTGCATCATCAACTTCATTGTTACTCATTAGACATTTTGAAAGTTCAGTGTGCAACGTAATTACTTCAGATTTACACAATCTTAATAATCTAAAGTAGAATTAAAATTAATTACTCAGGATAAAGCTCACCTTTTTTTAATTCATCCATTACGTCCTTTGCTGCTTAAAGAACTCCATAAGCTTTCTATTAACTTTCAAAGTTGAAATAAAATGAACCCAAATGAAAAAGAGATTGAAAAAATTTAATTTTATTAACTGGTTCTTTGACAACCTCTTCATCATCAATTTGCCATGTTGTGGCTATCAAAAATGGAACAATAGACGACTTTTCCATTTTAGTAAAGATGTAGACAGCAAATTCTAGATTACTCCTAGCTTTTTCGATGTTCATTAATTTTAAATAAATCAACCCAATTTACATGGAATTGTAAGCAGATTAATTATTAAACTTACCTTTAACCATCTAAAATTACTTTGAAGATTGATGATATAGATCCACAGCCTCATTAGGTCGTATAAGAGCCTTGACTCTGGCTTAATCCTAGAGGAGATGAGCAACTTCCAATTATTCTTTAACTCCCCTCACATTTGACTTTCTTATTGTTACGTATCTTTAACTAATCTACTCCAATACCCTTTCCTATGCAAGATGTTAAGCCAACACCCAAATTCTCTCAAGGATATATTCGCATTCAGGAGATGTATCACCAAAACACTCTTCTACATCCGGTAGTAAATACTACCATTAATCAAGAGCATTTTGATATAGATAAAGGTTGAAATGGACTTCTGCAATTAAATTTTTAGATCTGACATATGATTGATATGAAGGTGCTCCTATCTTCTTCCTGCTCCTTTGTGTTAATTCAGGCATTTTTAATGCTATTGCAGGCATATCATCCTGACTATTATTTGTAGGTTAATATAGTTATTTTACAAAAGATGATATATTATTATTATCTCCAGATACAAAACTATTTTATTAATCAAAATGATTTGATTGTTTGCTTTTATGGCTCGATTATGATGGTGGTCTGTAATAAGCATTATAATTTGAAAAGAAATGTTGCATATCTTCAGTAAAATCATAATTCTCTATATCGTACTCTACTTGCATTAATTGAATTAATGAAAATTCTAATCTTTTAACAGGATCTATAGATAGGAATCTCAAAATCAGAGCACCTAAAGGATTGGTTTATTCAAATTGAATGGACTTATTAGATTTATCAATTTAATCGTCATCTATTCCAGATTGTCTTTTTGGAATGAGTTGAAATAACAAACTTTACATCTTTTATTCATCTATGTATTGAATGTTTGGGATATCAAAATAGAGTTATAGAATGATTAGTCCAATATTGTATCTTGTCACTGCTCTAAAATCTTTAATGGGTTCTCTTCTCTTTACTTCGGGTGGTTTAATGGTTTTGTGTAATGATAAATGAGTATAAACTTTTTCATAGTCATCATACATTGACCATACTTCTTTATAAGCTGCAACTTAAATAAAGGGAATTAGATTTGCTGTTGAAATCTTAAATTACCCTCCCTTAGTTATTAATATTGATTCCATATTTAATTCTAGAACTGCTATTCCCAATCTCTCAATTGCATTAACGAGTTACATAATTTTAAGTGCAAAATGTAATTTTTCATCATATGAAAATCTACCCTTTTCCTATTTTTTCAAATATATATTTTAGAGAGGTACATACTACTCTGTTATGTACACTAAAGTTAATAGTCCATTTTATGATTATTCTGATATTGAAGTGTTCATTGTTCTAAATCTCAGGGTTTTTTTCTCTCTAAATACTATTGGAGTTTTGAGCACTTGAATGAAGGGTAAACCATCATGTTTGGAACTAAAATAGTAATGATAAAACATGGATCGAATACTTTTTGAAGAACTCAATAGATGTTCAGGCATGTTCTCAATTTGATACATGCAACTAACTTGATATAAAGTATAGATTACTTGTTTTATCAATTTAGCCAACATAATATTGTATTTAAGTGCTGAACTCAGTGTTTGTAAATGTGGGTCTGCCAAAGTAACAATCAGACACAAACATTTTATACTCAATTTCTATAAAGGAATCATTCATTTGATCTGGAGAAGTGATGTACAGGAGCTCAAATTCTTTATGTATCAGATTGTTGTAAGCAAAGCAATTCTAGTAGATTTTGAACTTGATTTCATAGGGTTTATGTTCATAGAAGTCTGATCTTTCTATTATATTTATAGGAGGCAATTTAACTGGCTCATCTTTCTTTCCCCAAAAGGCGATCATTTCTTTCATAGTTGATAGATCTCTTCCCATATTTCTCATTCCAGCCGGCTTTTTATTCTCAGATATCGCCCTTAGACGCATATTTAATTAAAATAATGAATGAATCATTCACTATTTCTTCTTATCTTAGAACAGAGACTGATGAAATCAAAGAATATAGTGGCAATATCACCACTCATAGAAAAAAAATTCCGTAGTTGAAAAACTTGATTTCCACTGGAAAACCAAAGCAGAATAAATTCAATCCAATTATTGATTCAGTCAGAAGCAGCCAAAGTTAAAGATCCTCTAAAGGGAATCTAGCTCAGCAGACTCACAATAATAATATGCTGTTTAAGGATTCTTTTGAATTGTTCCTTGATGGTAAAATAACGAGCATAGAATTACTGCAATTATCCAACTATCCTAGATTACGATAACAATTGATGGAAGATCATGCTGATTCAAAGGGAATAAGTATTTTGGGACCTCTGGTGAGATTTAAGAATAAGTTTAAACACAAATAAGTTAGAAACACTTAAGATGATAGGAGTGTCTATTTAAAATCCAAATTGCATGGACTAAACAATTTAATTCACACAAGAATGATGCAAAAGAAAAAAGATAATGAAACTCAAAGAAGATAAAATCTATAAAACGTTGGATTGTTTAAAACTATTGTGGATGCTTCAGAAGGCATTGAGGATAAATTAACTTAAATTAAAGATCCTTTTACTAAAAAGATTCCCTCTATTAAATCATTAAAGACCATGACAGTCAGTTATGATGATTTGAAACCAAGTATTATTCATATCTATTCAAAGTTATCAAAAGTGCAAAGGAGATTCCTGCGATTTCCAAAATCTTTTTAAAAAACAATTTAACTGAATCAACAAAAAAATATATGGATGAAGCCTCAAGACAACAATATCTTAAGTAACAAGAATTAAACAAGCTTACTAAAATGCAAATTACAAAATAATCCAATTCCAAATTTCAATTGTACAATAAGGACGTATTGACATCCAAAGATCTAGAACTCTATGATTATCTTCACAATAAACCAAAACCCATTATTCTTAGAAATCATTTCACTGAAATGGATGAAGAAGCTATTCCGTCCCATGAGATTATTGCTTCTAAACTTGGAAACCAAAGACTCAAAAAGAGATATCATAAAACAGAGTAAAAAATTCATGAAGACTTGGACAATGAATCTCATACTTCTTCATTGTAATCTACTTATGAAATTCATCTAGATAATTTATATTCTTAAACTGTTGATTTAAAAAAACAACTCACTAAAAAGACTACTCTTCCAAAAAAAGTTAAATAAATGATTAAACTAGATGAGCTCAACCAACAATCTCTTTAGGCAAATGCATTCAAATTGACACATTGAAAAAAATTATATTTATATATATTATCAGATTTTTCTTATATTTTGTAGTCTTATTAAGTGTCTTTCCTCAGCATCCTTAACAGTACTTAGTTTTGCTGAAGATACTTAGGTTTTTAGTTTATTTATTGCAAATTAATCACTTTATTATTGTTCCTGTAAAATTTTGATTTATTTTCTTAAATGCTAATTTGATTCAGTTACATCTTCAAATTACTTTTTATACATTTTTTCCTCCGCCTTTTAAGTTTAATATTAAATTGCTTATTTACTTACATATTCCTCATACTACATTGTTTTACGTTAATACTTTTCATTTTATTCTTTCAGTTATTTAATCTAATCTTCCTATTCCAATAATAAATTCAATTGATCCTTAGCTTATTCAGATAATTCTTAAAGTTGTCTTTATTATTCAGTCAATAATTCTACCTTTTCCTGTAAATTCTATTAATTTTCTTCGTTCTTTGATTATTTGAACTAAATTTCTCGCTCTAAATCTTTTTAGACATCTTCAAGACCTTAAATTTACTATTTTAAATTCTTGATTATTAATTCATATTCATTTTTCATTTGGGATTCTCTAGTTTCAAATTCTTAAATTTGTTTTTCTAACGTATTTTTAAAATGAGCTTGCATATTATATCTAATTTATTCCATTTTATCCGAGAAATCTCTTTACGTGAACTCGTGATCTAATTTCAATTATTTCGATACAATTTAGCAAGTTTATATAGAAATTAATTATAAATCTTTCTAGATTTATAATTTAAATGATTCCATATCTAATTTCAGACTTGAAAATATCTTTTGCAAACTTACTTTGATTTTATTCTTAATTTCATCAACTTTCAATTTATAATTTCGTAATTTCCTTTTATAATTCTTCTCCTGTTCATTTTATTATGTCTTTATATTAGCCTAGTCCTACTAATTCTTTTTCTTATACCTTTCTAATTCTTCATTCGAATCTATTAATTTAGTTTCTAAGGACTTTATTTATTTGTATTATGTTTCATTTTATTATTTCAACTATTTAGTTCTATTTTCCAAACACTGCTTATCAATATTCAATGTTTCATTATTTTTTTTTAAGCTTTACATCTATTACCTTAACTAAGCGGCTGCTTCTTATTCAGCTTTCAATTATGCTTTTGTCTATTTAAAGTCCTTACCAACATGCTATTGTATTTCCCTTTCTTTTGTTAAAGCTGCCTATTAATCACTAACTACTTATTCCAATTCTGACAATTTTTATTATAAAAATTAACATTACTCCTATTCTTTTTATTTATAACTATCTTATATTTAATTCAAATTTTGTTCAAATTCCTCAGCCAATTCTTATTTTTGCAATAAAATGTTCTCTTACATAATATTTAATTTCTATTCTATATCTCCTAAGGCTACTTACAATTCATCTATTTATTTATTTTGTTCTTTGATTATTTTTTATTTTTCTGTTCTATCTTCATCCATTTCTCTTAAATCATGTCTTAATGAAAGACATTCTTAAATAGAACATTCTAATTGAGTTTTCGTGTGTGCATGTTCTTTCTTCCAATACAATTCCGTATGATCATCAAGTGCTTATTCAAAAATCGATTATAATCTATCGAGATTAATCAAATTTCATACTTCTTCAAAATATCCTAAGAATCAGTTCTATTAACTAAAAGTTTCTTCAATTCTTAGTCTAACCTAATTTGCTACATTGTTTATTATAGGAGAGCTCTCATATTTAATTAAAATAATATAAATCAATCACCTTGTTTTAGGAACCCAATAAATTTATCTCTAAAACTAGAAGACTATTATTGACCTTACGCCTAGTTCTACTTATTCCGATATGGGTCTATCATAATGCATAGGATTTACTTATTTTTTCTTTTTCATCCCTAGTTAAATCCAATAGACTAGCTAGAGTCTCTAATATTTACACTTTAACCTTAAAATCAGAATTGAAATCAAAATATTATATCAACACATTTGTTATAACCCTTTTATCAACCATATTATTAACATAATTTTGATCTTACCTAATTTTATTATGAAGAGCCTGAGCTTCTGATTTCAGATCCTCATGTGATCGTAAGAGAGATTCATGCTTTATTGTCAACTCCTCAACTTACAATTTCAATTAAGAATTGCTGAGTTTCAATTTTTCATTATTTTCCTTTAAGAACTTCAATTAGCTGATATCCTCTTTGCTAATCTCAGATCTTAGTTTCTTAAATTCCTCCTAGAACTTCTTTATGATCTTCTCCTTCTAATCCTAAAAAATATAAATTCAACAGCAATACTTTTTCTGCTTCTAATTATAGTTAGGCTGCCTGAATACCGCTTTAGAGTGATTAGTTTTCAAGTTACCATTCTTCTAATAGTTTTTCCAATCGATCAATTTCTTCCTATTTCTACTCTAAGAGTGTTCTAAGATCCTGCATTTTCTGCAAATCTTAATTACTTTATGATAACTGAAAATACTATTTAAATTTAATACCTCTTGCTCCTTTTATTTAAGCTTAGTCTTAAGATTCTCTGACTCATTAAAATTTTATTTTATTTCCTCAGCATAGTCTCTTTTTATTTTATCCCATTCTTGTTGATATTTCTCAAGTTCTTTTATTCTATTCTATAAATCCTTAATTTAGTTATTTGTATTATTAGTCTTCTCTTGCATCTCCACAATCTTCTTCTATAGATTCGTATTATCATTTATTAATTGCTGTTCTTTTTTACTCTATTACTAATCTTATTTCGATTGCAATATTTCAGTCCCTGTATTACTAAGCGATTTTTCTATTAAACTTACAATCTCTTTGGACTATCCTTTTTACAATCTGAGTTAGTTAAATCTATCATAAAAAGTACTCTAGCGAGATATTGAAATAAAGAATTAATTGATCAATGCTCCAATATCTCCTATTGATTATTACTCAATGGAGAGTTGTTCATTTAACTTATTGATTGACTCTTGAAAGTTATTTTGAATTTATTGAATCAATATATCTAACTGATTTGATGCATTCTTAAAGATCTCATTTAGCTTATCTTTAAGAGTAACTAAATTAGTTTGACTATTATTATTAATATCTTATTTATTTATTTCTGGTTGTTCCTATGTTTACTCTTACTAATCTGTTTAAGTATCAGGATTAAATCCTTCTTAATTCTCTTACAATTCTTCTGAAATACTTAATGAAGTATTAATTGTTTATTAGATTGATGCAAAGGTCTGTTAAATAAATTCTTTGATTTCAGCCAAAGATGAATTATCAATTTCTGGTCTTTTAATTTCCTGCATTTCAATTTTCTTCTCTATTTGAATTGGAGAAGTCGACTCAATGGGACTCCTGGAGGACGAGTCATTTGCTTTTTTTGAATTCTCTTTGGGACTTTAGGCTAAACCGTATCCTTTTTATAATTAGGCAAATGCAGATTGAAAATCTTGATTAACATTATTTGTTTAATTTTCATTCTCCTCTGCATCAACTGTAATCAAATCTTTTGCGAAATCCTTGACTTTAGATACTGCTCCACCAGCCTTACTTGTGAGTTGAGTAATCTTATTCCAACCTAGCATTCAAAATAATATTAAATATTATAAAATATTAATAAATATATATTAGAAATAATGAAATTCCTAATGTTAAATAGATTACAAATATAATATTCTTAGATGTGTGAACATCTCAGGATTAATGAGAGATCATGGCTATTAAATTTTGAGTTTAAATAAGAAAATATTTAAAATTATATATAAAAAATGGAAAAAAACTATATTGTGTTAATAGGAGTATCGCTTTTCTTTCTGACATTGTTTATGGTGAACACGTTTAATTAGTATGAGAAAGTAGTTGAATAGATAAAGTTGGATAAGTAACCATTAGCAGTTGATTTGATGGATTATAAAGTGCCATCAATTTGGGATGTTGTGAAACCAGATAAGGAGGAGCTTGAGAATTTAGATAAGGATGAGATCGAGATTATTAATGGTAGTATAGCTTTGCCAAACTGTCAATATTAGAAAAGAAATTCAGCAGTGGTATTACTAGAGAAGAACTTGGTAGAAACGGATGGACATTATTGCATATGATATCAGCAACTTTGCCTGTAGATTTTGATGAGGAATTCACATTCAAAATTAATGTGTTTTTAAATCTTTTGTATTCATACATTTAATCCTAGTGGCTAATTTTATCCATGTAAGGAGTGTGCAGGGCATTTTTTAAATATGACGACAATCCTTCCATACGAAGGGAACTCGAGAGTGGATTTCATGTAATATTTGTGCATGCTTCATAATGAAGTTAATTAGAGATTAAATAAGGTGAGATAATTATTGAAATTATTAGACTTTGTTCAATTGTAGTATTGTTCATGAAAGATGGGGTGGAGATTGTGGATGCTCAAGTAAATTAGAAGAGAGCATCAAAAAATATAGTCGAGATTAGAATTGATAAATACATAAATATAATTAATAATGGGTTGCGCATCATCTGATTCAGCTTCTGCAAATAATCCTAGAAAATTAGAACAACAAAAAGAGTTTACAGGAGAAAAGATATCATCAGAGATCTTTGTCGACTTGAAGGATGGCAACATCTACGAAGAGTACGAGGTCAGGTCAACTTTGGGAGAAGGGGCATTCGGCTGTGTTAAATTAGTAGCTCATCGCAAAACCAGTATCAATTGATATTAACAAATTAGAGATGCCATACGCTATGAAACAAATCAAGAAATAAGGATTAATTAAGGAGGACCAAAAGATCTTATTTAGTGAGATGGACATTTTGAGGTTAATTGACCATCCCAATATTGTTAAGTTACATAAACTATATTAAGACAATATCCATTATTATATGATCACTGAACTTTGCTAGGGTGGAGAACTATTTGATAAACTTGCTTCAGAAAAGAACTTTACTGAAAAGAAGGCAGCTGAAATTATGAAATAGGTATTATCGGCTGTGACGTATTGTCATGAAAGGAAAATCATTCATAGAGATCTCAAATTAGAGAACATTTTACTTGAAACCAAAAGTGCCAATTCAAACATCAAAGTAATAGATTTTGGTACTTCTCGTAAAGTGCAAGAAGACGAAAAATTAAAATTAAAAATTGGGACTGTATTTCTTATCTTAAACTTAAGTTGTATTACATGGCACCTGAGGTTTTCCAAGGTTAATATGATCTCAAAGTGGATGTCTGGAGTGTTGGGGTCATTCTCTATATCCTCTTATGTGGTTATCCTCCCTTCAATGGTGACGATACAACAATCAAGAAGAAAATTCAAAAAGGCACTTTCGAATTCAACGGTAATCTAATCATTTCTATCCAGATACTGAATGGAGATCTATTTCCCAAGAAGCAAAAGACTTGATTACTAAAATGTTAAAATTTGACCCCTAACAAAGAATCACAGCTCAATAGGCTTTGTCAGATCCATGGATTCAATCCAAAGCTCCCAATAATCCAGTACAACCTAATGCACTAAATAATCTAAAGAATTTCTATGTATCATTGTTAAAGTATATTCTTAGAGTACATCTAAATTAAAAAATGCTATATAATTATTCATTGTCACTCAAGTTACAACCTATCAAGAGAAGGAAGAATAGCTCAAATAATTTAAAGCTATGGATACTGATGGAAATGGAACTATCAGTCCTGATGAATTAAAGAAACATTATTCTAAACATTATGGGTAAGATTAGGCTGAGAAATTAGTTTAAGAAATTATGAAATAGGTTGATATTAATTAATCAGGATAAATCGATTTCAATGGTATTTTAGCTTTTTAATTAATTTTAGAATTTTTGGTGGCTGCAGTAAATAAAGAAAAAATACTTTCCCAAGAGAAATTGAAGTAAGTGTTCCAGATGTTTGATAAAGTAAATATTATAATAATTTTAGAACGGGGATGGAAAAATTCAAAGAGCTGAACTTTAATATATTATGTCAGGTATAAAGATTGATGATGGCTAATGGAAGAATATTTTAGAAGAATGTGATAAGGACAATGATGGGGAGATTTCTTTGGATGAATTAATAACTCTGATGCAAAAATTAAAGTGAATTTAGTGAATTTTATTAATATTTTTAAATATAATTATTAATGAAATCACTAGTCTTTGTTACAATAATGTTTTGTATAGCGTTAAGTTAAATTACATACGAAGAATGCAAACGGGATTGCACTATGGATTGGTTAGATTGCACAAGTGGATGTGATAGTATTGGTAATCCATCATATTGCCATAAAAATTGCTAGAAGTACTTAAAACCTAATGTGTAGTGTGGTTCATGGATGTTTGGATGAATGTCCAAAAATAATTTGTATTGATGAGTGTAGGATCGTATTGGAACAGTGTCGTAAAAACGGAACAGGCATTTGTGAAATTCATTTTAATCAGTGCAAATTGATCTGCGAGGATACTTATAATGAAAATTAAGATATATGAATATATTTAATTAATGTATAGATAGGCTACGAATGCTTCAAGATTATATAATTAATAATAATATATAATCAACATTAAAACGATGAATTTATATTCCGTTTTTGGTATTATTAAAATAAATATGAAAACATTCGTTGTGATTTGCCTCGTAGCAGCTGTGTTTGCACTTGACACAAGCAAATTCGCCGTGCTTCTCCAAGCAGGCACAAGAGGAAATGATGCCGTCGAATCAGTTTACAATCTCTTGAGAGATTTGAAGACAGAAAATGTTAATGTGTAAGCTGCTGCCGACAAAAAGAACAATACAGATGAAGGTACATCATTCATTCATTCTTTCTAGAAATCTTTTCCCAAGTCATTGGCGATTTGACTAATGTTGCCTCACTCAACAAACAATAATGGGAAAGACTTGGAGCAGTCAGAACAGATGTTGAAGCCTAAGTTAGAGTAAGCAAAATAATTTATTCAACAAGGATGGATATTAATGGTTGGCCTGGGCTGAATCCAGACTTGCTGAAATCGAAAGAAGAAATGCTTAACTCCAAGACCAAAGATGTTGGGCCAATGGACTCTTCGTCAAATCCCTTGCTGATCACGGTGATGCCGTCGCAGTCGTCTAACTCTTATAATAAGATGTTGCTGGTTTCCTCACTAACAACGCTGGAGTCGAACTCGTTGAAAAAGCCCAATCTATCGCCGATAAATTATCAGCATATAGCCATCTTTTCTAATAAGATGCCCTCCAAAAATTCAAATCACTTGCTGAAGTCAAGAGAGAAGGTACAACCGGAGAATAAGTCCTCCAAATCTTGTTTGACTTATAAGCTGAATTAGAATCCACTCTTGCCACTCTTTAAGAATAAGAAATTCATGCTGCCTTTGCTCTTGCTAAATACGTCTCAGACACCAACGCCGAAGTTGCCTGGTTGAATTCAGAACACGAAAGAAGAACTGGTCTTGTTGAAAAATTAGAAACTGTATTTCCATTTCTTACATTCCTTTTTAGCAACTCCCAGCTGTCCTTGCCTAATAAGCCAAAGCACTCAAATTGTGGAAGGATTCCTTGAACGCTGTTGCTGGTGCCACTGCTGATTTGGAAGAGAAAAGAGAATTCTATGCCTCCGAAACTGCAAGAAGAGCCGGTACCAATTATCACAATAATCTATAGAGGAAAATGCCATTATCGATGTTGTCATCTAATTGTTCAAAGATTAAGTTAGATCCTTAGCTTCATAAACCAGTCTTGGAAGAAAATGATTTCCAATATACAAATATATTCAATTTAAAAAATGAATCATTTAATATCACTTCAATCCATTCTCTGAAATATTTTGTAATTAAATATTCATAATAAATTATACATAAATTTATATATCAAAACTCAATAAACCTTTATTAAAATGATATAAATTCCTAATCTTCAGAATAATAATATATATATCTATAAACTAATACTTCAATATTCAATAGGATAATAAAATATAGTTAGTAAAATAATTGCTGTGAAATAAAATTTTGATTTATAATAGAATACATTCTTTTCTGTGACAAATTCTCATTTAATAATCACTTTATACTTTTCATATTACAAATTAAATAATCAAATTGAATTAAATATGATAATATTAAAGATTATCTTTTGCTTTCAAGATTTTAATTTAATGCCATCTTACTTTTTGATGTAGAATTTTATGATTACATCATTATGAAATGTTATAGATTAATTCGCCCAATATAAATTTAGGATTTTTGCAAATAATTCAAATATCTGACTCAACTTATTCATCTGGTGATTTAGCAAAACTCTTAAAGACTCTGAAATATATTTCTTCATTAATTATTTTCTAATTGTTTTCAGTATAACTTCAAAGGTTATTTCAAATTAAAATTGCAAAAAAATAATTAATAATTATTAGAATATGAGGTTGTTTTGTATTTGGGAAATACCTTTTTAGAATTCTTTAAAAATATCATAACCAAAAAAATGATGCTATCCATTGAAATCTGTTAAATTATACTTAATAACATCAAATAGTTTAAGGATTTTTTAATAAAATTATAACTTCGTTCATTTTAAACATAATTCAATAAATTTTAAAGAATAAATTAATTTAGCATATTAATATATTAGGATATATCATCAAATTAACTGAATATTTAAAATTTATAAATCTTCATCTATCTTTACAAAAATCGGACCAAAAAATTGAACTAGGTAATCATTCTATTAAAAAGTACTAGTTTATTTTGATTCTGGAGAATTATAAATTCAAAAATAGATATTCTTTTTTTACTTAAGAATTCTAAATAATAAAATAGAGTAAATTTATTTTAGTAATATTCAAAAGGGGGGAAATATAAATTTTATTATACATAAATAAAAATTATGTTAACTTCTTCTATAGTGAGTGTTGATTCCAGCAAAGTGTATAAACCCAAGGCTAGTCAAGTTGGATTGCTATCTACTGCAATTAGCAAACTAGGGGATTCTAGCTTTGTTTCAAAAAGCAGAGAGTCCACAAACATGTCTCCTGTTAGAACGAGGTTATTTAGAGATTCATCTCCAAAATAAACAAAGGGATTACAAGGAGTAGTTGTTGGAGAATATCAGTATGATTATTAGGTAATAATTTAGCCCTTTGACACCTACACATATTGTATTTAGTAGTATTCATAAAAGCACATCTCCTCTGAGATCTGGTAGAAATTATAATGAGTCACCATAAAGAGCAAAGGTAAGATTGGATAGATTCAAAAATTGGGATTCAAAGTTAGGACTAGAACTCCAAATATAAAATTCCAAATTTACACGTCTCAATAATGAATTGACTTATTTAAGCCATTAACCTCATCATCAGACCAATAGATCAGCTATTTTCTTGGGCAGCAATTTAAGTAGACTTAGTGTTGGTGGAAATCAAAGTGATATCAGACTTTTGTCAGCCAAATTGAATGCGATTCCACCCTCTCAAATTGGAACCTTTACTGCAGGGTAAGAAATATTATATAATATTTATAGTCATTCTCACGAGCTGTCTTCATTGCAATAATCTTTGAGCAGAATCATGAAATCAAGCCGACAGTATTGAACAAAATTGATTTTATATTATATTAAAATAATATAAAATGGATATTAAAATAATAACTTAAAGTGATACATTCTTAATCTATAAGGAGATCTAAACTTTATCAGACTTAAAGAAGGAAATCAAAAGAATAGGGATATAAACAAGAGACATCATAATTTAGTACCAAAGCTATTTCTACTTAAGCTTAGCTTTTATGATAATGATTCTGATAAAGTTGTGATAATATAGGATGAGGATCTTTAATATGCTTACCAGTAATCCAAGGCTTTTAAAAAGCAGTCCATCAAATTGTATATTTATTACAAATTGAGTCAGCCTAAAATTCTCCAATTAGAACCTTCAATCAAAATTTCAACGTAATAGGCTTAATAGGATTGGATTTTTAAGTCTATCAATGAAAATAGCAGCCAATCCTTAACAAATTCAAACGAAATTCAAACCTATTGTTAAAATAGATATACTATTGTACCAGAGCCACTAAAAACTAGAGAAGAAAAGCTCAAATCAGCTATTGATTTTTTCATTGATTAAATTTTAAAAGAGGAATATCAGATATGATATCTATAAATATTATATATATATAAAATATTATGCAGACATATTTATGATTAACTTTATTTATTATATAATGTACTTATGTATTGTATTGTTATATCAATCATTTTCTGGCTGCTAAGGCAACTTGGGTTGCAATTCTATTTAAGTCTTATTATCCTTCTTTGGTAACAATTCTTGATCCCTTTTTTAAGAGTGACTTGCTATCCTTCTTTAAAACTTTAATAGCTTCCAATTATTGAAGCAAGTATCTAATGACCTTTCCAGATCCTGATTCATGTTTGCCATTATCGTTAACTGAACCAAACATATGAGTGAGATTTCCAACTCCCTGTTTTGTAATTAAAAATTTCATACCCAGTGACCTCTAACATAAATTTTACGAGCAAGTGCTGCAGCTCTAACATACATCCAATCTTAGTCAATTGGTGAAATTTCTTTTCCAAGTCCTGTCTTGACAATTGAACCCCATTCTGGAATTTTGATCTTGTTAATTTTTTTTCAAATATTCAGCATAAGCATGAATGAAATCTTATGCAGGTACGTCCTTTTAAATATAAATAGTTATTCATACTTTCACTGTGAAAAATGGTGTTGCCATAAGAAAAATTAAATTATTTTTTGAATATTTGCAAGATTTTAACTCATAAATAAAAGTGTTTAATCAAGTATGCTTAACATTCTTTCAATTTAGTCAATTCATAATTTATTTCAATTTTGAGAAATTCATAATGATGATGCTATGATTCCTATAAGATTAGAAAAAGCAATTAGTTAAAGAATTCCTCAACCAACTAGTACTCCTCTTTTTAATAAAAATAGTTTAGAATTTAATATCAATTCTAAATTCTTTAAATGAATTAGATTTCTAAAATAATTTCCATCAAACTATAAATTATGAAAATGAATAAGAAGTTGGAAAATGATTATATAATTGTATTATCATTATTCTTAAATGAAAACTAAAATTAATAGTAATATAGGGAAAACATTGTTTAGTTTAAATGGTTTAAATGAGAAAGTATGTTATAAATGATAGGAAACTTGGGAAGAGATATTAATATCTGAAGGATAATCATAATGAAGGAGAGTGATAGGAGGAGGAAGGAGAGATAAATTTGAATAAAATATTAAATTATAAATTTTTTGATTATCGGGAGAGTATAGTTGGGAGATTTGATGGATGAAAGCTATGCTAGTCAAGTCGAAACGTCGATGATGTACTTGCTATTATAAGAAAATGGGGAAAAATATTTATAAATTAATTACATACATAAGCTTTTATCGATCCGTTTTTAAAAACATTAAATAAATAAATGCAAAAACTAGCTATCTTGACATTGGTTCTTGCTCTTGCAGCCGCCAAGTTTGTAGATACACATGCAAGCTTGGCTTAAATTGATGCCAATCCATTCGGAAATGTCGTGTTGTCAGCCATCAAAGCCCATTTGTAAGCCTAATCACCAGCCAACGAAGTTAATATGTTATTGAACGGTGTTGCTGCTGGATTACAATAAGACTAAAATGACCACGACCACGCTTTCGAAGTTGATACAACCACAAACAACAGAGTAAGAATATCAATCTATATAACAGATCGTTGAAGACTTAGAAAAGGAAATCTTGTATCACTAAAATCAAATCTCATCCAACACTTAATTGAGAGATGACACAATTGAAGCTTTGGCTGTTTCTGAAGAAGACATCAGAGTTACAATTTCAGACATTGCAACAAATGAATAAACTTATGCTAGAGAAGAAGCCACAAGAAACTAATAACACGAAACCTTTGTTGCCAAGGTTGCTGCCATCGATGATGTTATTGATGCTATTGATGATGCTGCCAAACTCATCCAACATTTGAGCTTAGGTGCTTCATTCGTCCAAGTCAAATCAAAGTATGAAACAGTTCACAAGAGACTTACCGATAACACTTCACACAGCCAACTCTTACAAGTAAATCCTTTCTTTCTATTATCCCTTTAGCCAGTCGTTGTTGCTCTTACTGAATTGGCCACTCACGGTGTTAACTAAAAGGCATTGACCAAGATTGCTTAATTATTGAGCGAAATCAGATAATAATTAGTCTCAGAAAAGGCTACCAAGACTGTATTTAATTAATCCAATTATTAAGGACGTTGAAGATAGATAAGCTGCACACTGGGCTGAATTCAGCGCTCATTTGAGCAATGAACACACCAGATTTGGTTGAAAGAAAGGCTTAATTGGAAGTCTAAATCTAAGAATAAAAAGATACCATTGAAGATGCCTAATCTTGGATCGAATTCCATACCTTGGAATTAGAAAACAGTGAAGAAAGACTTGCTGGATAAGAAGCATGGTATGCAGTCTAATCAGAAATCTATGAAACCTAAACTGCTGAAAGGTAATATTTCATAATATCCTATTTTAGAGCTGCTTAAAATGAAATCGTTGATAGACTCTAAGAACACATCAGTGAGAAATTATCAACCACCGCCCAATTCATCAGCAAAAGAAATTGATTTATTAAAATAAATAAATTATGAACAATAGTTCTTTATGCATTTTATTTTTTCAGTAATCAATAATATAATTAAATAGATATTATCAAATCCTTACTTAAAATAATAAATCAAATAATTGATTATTAAAGGATAATTGATGGTAGGCAGGTAATTAAATAAAAATAAGAACTAAAATATATCAAAAATTTCTTTAAAATTCATCTATTCTTGATATAAATATAAATGTTAAATTTTTAATTTTTTATTCACACAGTCTATAGATTATTGTTCTGTATATCTATTTATCTAACAACTTTGCTTTTTCTAACTTAATGAAATAAAAAATATGAATAATAAATCAAAGTTTTGTATAAACTATCTTGTTATATAATAACGAAAACCTTTATTAACAAAAAAACTTATTTGGCAAAATAAATAAATTTATATGAATATCGATTAAGGTATAAAATAATTCAAGGGTGACGAGAGACAATATAAAACATCCCTACTCACTTTTGATTCCCTCACACTATGTCCATCGATCAATAATATTGTTGAATATTATCAAAATAAGGATCTGAAATCAATATAATTAGAACTTAAGTAGATTTATCAATCAGCTCAAATAGTCAATTTAACAGCATTTGGAACCACAGTTTCCCAATTCATACAGTTTTTTGAAAGAGTTAATAAGCAAGAACCAAATTATGATTATTAACTGCATAATTAATTACGCAACTATTTCCTAAAGGTCAAAGAAACTAGAGAATTAATATCATAATATGCTGGAGTTTAACTAGATTGCACTCAGATTGATTTTATACTGCAGCAGATGCTGTAAGGACAAAACTTGAATAATACATTGTCTCACCCAAAATCCTTTAGATCTAATGAGAATCCTACCAATATGTAAGATTAGAAAGACTAATACTTACAAGCTAAAGATAATGTAATCTCTTAACCACGAAAACCCAACGAAGACTGCTGTTTTATATCATGAATATATTTCTTTAATTTTATTAAAATAAATTTATTTCTTCTTATTATAAATGCATTGAAACATGAGAATAATATGCTATATGTTAATTCTTCATACATTTACATTAATTACAAGTAAAAAATGCTTAGTGTGAATCAAGGTTTAATGACTTGTAAATAATAACATAACTTTGGGTAAATTTTTAAAATTCTCCTTTTTTGATCTAAAATATTCTTCTAATGCTCAACATTCTTCAAATTAAATATTCATATTCAAATCTTCCTAATTTGAAACAAAGACTTGAAAAATAATATACTTTTATGTACTGTTAATTATATTTTTAAAATGTAATGCTCTTAAAATTCTAAACAATTTTTCTCTTGTCTTATAGATTTCATTATTTAATTTTATTGATTTACAAGTTATCATGATTGCAGATAGATATTTATTGAATTGTAGATTATCTAGGATTAAGATTTTGTTAATTAATCATTCATATTCTATTATAAAATATTTTGATAATTTAAAAAAAATGAAGATAGGATTATTGATTATTCTAATTTTCTTTAAATTTATTTATAATTCTTGCTTGTTAACACATAAAATGAAAATATATAATAAGATTCTTGTCAAATATATCTTCAATTAGAATTACAATTATGTTTTATTAATTATAAGTTAGAGCAAGTAATAATGATATGGAATGTTCTTGGTTCTCTTACAATGAAGAAAGTAATTAAGATACAATATGGAATGGGCATTTACATTTAAATTCTGATTTAAAAGTTAAGTACCCAATGGTTGATTGGATCTTGGTTATGGGATGGATTGTGTGTTATAAAAATAGAGTGATTATAATAATATTGTATATCAGATTAGGAATGAGTGTAGCGAAGATTGATTTTTAATTAATTTAATGAGTGATTTAGCATAATTCAAAGAGTCAAGAAAACGTGGGATTGATGAGTTCCATACGAGTCAAGACTTGATCTACTACATCATTTCGAAGAAGTAAAGCATTTAAGATGTAAACGAGTAGATGGTTGGAAGAGTGGTTAGAGAGTGAAGAAAAAGGACAAACATTTAACAACTACTCTTGTGTGAATTCTGATCTCATTTTGTCCAAGCCATAAACCATCTTTAAGTATGATCCGATTCAAAGTCATATGTGGAATAAGATAATGCTTCCGAATCTTTAAGAGGGAGTGGACTATGAAATTTTAGATAAGGCAACTTGGGAAATCATTGCTAAAAAGTCTTGATATATTTTGATTATATAGGTTCCACACAACAACTATTGAACGAGATGCCGTAATTATTAATGGAAAGAAACAAGTGAATGTCAATCTTGTACCTTTAAATTTAGGAGCAGTATTTCCTTCTTCACTTCGCAAATTCAATGGAGGAAAATCAGTATCACTCATAAAGGGAGACTAGTATGTCAGTCGAACATGCAAATTATCCTCATTTATAGAATTGTTAGCAAACACTTTATAGACCGTGTACGTAAATATCATAACACCATTAATAGTAACGGTTATAATTTCATCAAACATGATGGAATCAGACTCTATAAATCTCCCTTAGGCATGACTATTCAAGAAATTGAAAAGCATATCTCTGAAGAAATTAAGGCTCTTGGAACCTATGATGATGTAGTATTCGATTTCAAAGATGGTGAATATTTGGACCCAGCCAAACTTGAAACTATTGACGATTGTCAAATAGCACCAGGCTAAGTAATTCTTGGAGATTTCAAAGAAATGTAAAAAAATTGGTCCATTAAACATCCCAATTTTCCAATGGAAGGAAAATGTGAAGGATGTTATAATTTCAAAGTCCTTCAATTTCCATGTGATTGCAAAAAAGTAAGCTATTGTACAGAAGAATGCAAAAAAAGAGATGAGGCATACCATTTACCTAGATGTGAAAAGACAGATTCTGATGATGAAACTATGGATAAACTCTAAAGAAATGAAAATTCTATGGATGGCAAAGTTGGATTGAAAAATCTAGGAAATACTTGTTTTATGAATTCAGGAATCCAGTGTATTGGTAATACATTCCCAATAAGAGAATACTTGTTATCTAATCAATATAAATAAGATATTAATGAACTAAATACCTTGGGTACCAAAGGAGAATTGGCATCAAAGTATGCTCATCTTTTGAGAAGAATGTGGTATGCTGATAGAACACCCATACCACCCTTCTCACTAAAAAGAGCTATTGGAAAATTTTAACCATAATTCTAAGGATTCCAATAGCACGACAGTCAAGAATTGATTACTTATTTATTGGATGGATTGAATGAAGACTTGTGTCGTATTAAACAAAAACCTTATGTGGAGAGAAAAGATTATGATGGTAGACCTGATTTTGAAGTTGCTAAGGAATCCTGGGAATAATTTAAGTTAAGGAATGATAGCATTATTGTTGACAATCTCTATGGATAATATAAGAGTACTTTAAGATGTCCAGTTTGCAATAAAATATCTATAACATTTGATCCATACTTGATGGTTAATGTTAGTATCCCTTAGAATACAACTAAAAAGTTAGAAATTCAATTCATAGATCCAAATTTATTGTGGGATTGCCAAACACTTGTCTATAATTACGACAAGGCTTAAGATCCAACACTTGGCTTAATCCTACAATCTCCAGAAATTTAAGAGAAAATATAACAAATTAACCCATCAGATTTGATTTATATCTGTACATCAGCTTACTAACATGATGATACAGACGAAAATGATAAAATGTCAAGTTTAAGGAAGAAGTTGAAATATAAGAAGTTGTATATCAGAAAAGCTTTGTAATCTGAACTCAACATTGAAAAGGAAAATAAAGTTTGCATTATGATACATGAATCTTTCAAGTAGAATGCCTAATATCAATGGAAAAGAGAAATTACTCCAGCCTTTAACTTCTATTTTGATAAAACCAAAACGAAACATATTGATATACACAAATTCATATTCGACATTCATATTGGAGTTTTGACAACCTTTGAAGACCTTCCTAAATATTAGGGCAACAATTGGAGTGAATATTATGAAGAACATATATTGGACAAGGTTTATTACTTAGAATTCAAATCCAATTAAAATTGGCAAGTTGAATGTGCCTATTGCGATGCCAAATAATGTAATGATTGTGTATGTGCATATGGTTCAGATACTTCAATTGAAAAATATTTATAAAAAGAACCTAAATTAGAAATCGAAGTATTTGTTGTTTGGAAGAGAGGCCTCAAAATTGCCAGCTCTGTTGATGAATTATACAACGATTGGTCGAAAAATCATCAAAGAATATAAAATAATGTGGTTGAAGAATTGCCTAAATAACAAAATGATCAAGAAGTGTTATAGGATAATGCAGAAGATGCAAAACAATAGGAAGATTTAACTGATGAATAATAGGCTTAGAAATAAAACTTCAATACAAGTGTTATACCCTTAGGACCTTCAATACCAACAATTTAACCTACTAATATTAAGGTTGGAACAGAAAAATCAATGAAATTGGGAGAATGTTTGAAATTCTCAGAAGAACCAGAACAATTGGATGAAGAGAATACCTGGTATTGCAATTAATGCAAAGATCATGTGTATATTATCATTTGTTATATATTAGACGTGCTTTTAAAGTTATGGAAATCTACAAAACACCTAAAATATTGATATTCCATTTAAAGAGGTTCAAGAACTCAAACAAGTTTTTCAAAAGCAAGCTTGAAACATTGATAGATTTTCCAATCCAAGATTTCGACATTAGAGAGTTTGTTTAGAATCATCATTTGCCTTCAGAATTTCATACCGAAGACCCAGAAAATCCTAGTATCAAATTTATTAATCCTAGAATTCAATAACCCTATATATTATGATCTTTATGCTATTTCTAATCATTTTGGAGGATTGGGAGGTGGACATTATACAGCCTTTGCTAAAAACTACTATGATAACACATGGTATAATTTTGATGACAGCTCAGTGTATCCCATCAAAGAGGACTCTGTTAATTCAACATTAATTACAAGTGCAGCTTATGTATTATTTTACCGTAGAAGAGAATGATATACAAAAAGCAAAAAATAAAATATATATTTATATCAATCATATTATTTTCTAATCTGTCTCTGCATGTAATCTTAAAAATCATTGTCCTGTATTTCAATGAGTTTAAACCTGTCCAAAGAGTCTTTCTATTTAATTTTCCTTTCCTTTATGTTATAATTAGTTATTTTCACCCTATAACTAGGATTATTACTATCTGAAGTTGTTAATTATCTACAACTGTGTTATGTTCTTCTTCTATTTGTCATTGACTCCTCTGTTTGACAAGAGATTGATTATTGTCGTTTATTTCGGCTTACGCAATTCAAAGGAGATCTAGTAGCCGAGCACATGAATTGGATCAACTCCTGTCTCTTCGTTTATTGAATGGTGTCTAGTTTTCGCAACAGTTGAGTTTTTCGAAATGTTCGAGAGAATGTTGAAGATGTGCTGGGTCTAGTCATTTGTTCATATCTAGCAATCGAGGGACGATGAGTTTAATAGTTATCAAATTATATCATATATATGTTTATTATAAATCATCTGCTTTATTGGTATTAATCTATTATACATTAAATATAAAAATACATGATCCATAAACTGGTGCTTTGTTCTGATAATTAAATTAGAATCCATCCAATTCAGCTTAAGATGCATACAACTAAGTCTATTAATTTGATTAAGTAGCTATTGGAATCTATTTTTTCTATTCTAATTCTTGCTTTTCTTTTTTCAAATCGATCATGCCTAACAAATCTGTTTAATTATTAGTGTTCTTTGGTTGACTGGCAGAAACAAATTCCCCAAAATAATATTCATCATATTATTCTTTTGGTTGATTGTTGTTAACTTATATATTAACTTAAGGTGAATATGCAGCAGCTTATGGTTTAGCATAGTTGAGATTTGGTTGTTGTTAATAATTATTTATTTAATAATTTTAGTACAAATTAGTTGAATTTTAATTTTATTGCTATTACAATGGGTATAAATTTTATATGTTTTATTAGGCTTAAGGTTGTTAATATTATTATTGTTATTAAGATTATTAATAATAGAGTTGCTAATTGGTTTGTTGAGGAGGCTGGTATTATCCAAAAGGAACATTTTATTACTATTGTTATGCTGCAGCTGGAACAAAAATATCATTAGGCAATAAATTAGTTTATGCTTTTTGTTGAATTTAAGCTTACGGAATAGGATTGCTGATTGGAGTAGCTTTTTAGAATTATCCCCATTCATTTTGATTATTCTATTATTGTGATGGAGGTGGTTATAAAGGTTATGCAATTTAATGTTATTATTAAGGTACTTATTAAGGGACTTATTATGGAGCATCAAAAATGTCAAATAAATTTGTTTATTATTATTATTATTGTTGTTATTGTTATTGTTATTGTTATTAGGGTTATTAAGATTTAGGTCCTGGAACATCCCACTTTTCACCAGGTTTAGCCAATTTCATTATGGGCTCAGAAAATGGTGCTGCAGTTGCTTATTATTGTTAAGGAGCAGCCCATTATATTCCATTAAAACTTATATTAGCATTATTATTAGTATTATTACTGGCATTATTGTTGTTAGCATTAGCATTACTAGTGTTATTATTAAGATTTGCATTATTATTAGATGAACCTTTGTATTTGTCTAATCCTCCTCCACTCTCTAAACCGCCATAACTTGATGCTTCCATATAAATTGAAAACTTACAATAATTTGTTGACTATGATTGATTGGATTCTTATCCATAATTTTTCGGCTTATTTCCTTCATATGAACTACTTCCATAACCTTAATAAGATGTGTTACTTCCAATAGCTCCAACACCTCCAGCAGCTTAAAATTCTTAATTTAATGTTACCTGCTAAACGTTCTCGTATCTTTTTGGCACTCTCTCTTTCTTCTTCAATCAACTTTTCGTTGCTCAACAAATCAACCAATTGTTTTGTCTTGTCACGAACTAATTGTTATTCATTTATATACTTGAGAGTCCTTTATCAGAGCCTTGTTCAACCAAAAAGAAATCTGAGAAACTTCTGATTTTGTAAATATTGTCTCTGAATTCTCCAACACAACGAGGTGCTCCATTCTTTGTTAAATACTCTATCATGTTTAAAGTCTAGTATTTTAAAAAGGAATCATACTTTCAAAATCCGACGCCATTCTTTATTATCCGAATCAAGACGCTTCCATATGAATTTCATTATTGTATCGCAAGAAGTGCTAATAATAATCATAAACAGTTTCTTACTATCCGTATGAAGCCTCCGCTACTTCTTATAGCAATTTAGTAGGTGTATTCCAATTCTCGTTGGAAGTTGCCTCAGACAACGTCTACTCTAATGGAGATTTGGTAAGCTTATCCTTGCTGAGATAAATTGATATTCATACAGTTATTAAGCTGCTTCCTTGATGGCTTGCAAATTCATTTAAATTAATTTATGCAATTATTATGTCATTGTGCAATCTAAATAAAATCGGATAAATATTCGATGAAGTCAAGTTTTAATTTAATTGACTCATAACATCTCAAAAAAGGATCAAAACTTAATTAATGAAAACTCCAAATATTCCGTTTCTGAAATAATAAAATCCTATTGAATTTTTCTATAAAATAACCACATTACATAAAATTCAATTTATAAATAAGTAATATTAAGTCACTTTAGAACAGACAACTTAATAAAGCACTTCAACAACGTCTTGAGTTATATAAAATACAATATATTTGAAATATATCTAAGGGATGAATTAAGAAAGTTGGTATTTAACTATAAATCTTGATATTGTTCAATCTGAAATATTTTGCAGTATTGCACACAATTCCTATAGACTTTTAGTATAGTTTTTAATAGATATAATGATTACATTCATGTGAGTTAGAAGCAAAAGACTATGATATATACAAAAATGATTTGCTCTATGAAAGAACTATTCTTATTTAATTAAGGGAATTATATATTTATGCTTTAAATAAACATATGCTTTCATGGTTTGTATTATTAAATAATTGAGTATTAGAATAGTGTTACACGGATCATAAAATCATTCTCTAAGATTAGTAATCACATTTAGAATCAAATATGAGAGTTGGTTATTCAGTTTAGTATCTACTTAAAGATTTTATCATATTTTACAAAGTTTTAATTTGAAAGTAAAATTGTATCCATACCCTAAATTAATCTAATACCCGTTTAAGACAAATTAATGTAAAGAACAGAATATCTCTAAATATAAATAATCTACAAATTCAAATGAAGAAGTGAAGGTACATTTTCTAATAATCTTTTTCAATTCTATGGATAATATAATAAAAAAATTTATTTAGAAAAACAATTGTTGAATTTTAACTTTATCAGTAGATTGAATTAGTTCGATTTTTAATTGTAGTATGTGATATTTATAAATAATTGTAATTGTTATTAAGTTAATTAATTTATTGATAAGAAATCAAATGATTTCGAAATTAAATGTATAGATATTAAGTTAAAATGAAATATCTTTTGTATCCCAATGAAATTTTTAATTTTGTTTTTTATAAATTAGATCCATAAAAACAGTTTAATTAAATAAGGAAATATCAATTATTTAGAATCATTTTTAAGTTTAGTTTTCAAGTTCGCCTCTTCATAAAAAATGATAAACACAAAAAGTTTGATTGATTTAGGATTATGTTAATGAAAATATGATGGAGAGAAGATAAAAAATAATATAATTATTAATACTATATATGAAAATAAATATTCGTTTTTCCATTTTTTAGCATTAATTAATCCTCGAACGTATGCCAATAATAATTACAATAAATGTTAAAACTAACTCTTTGTGTATTGTTAGTGCTCGGCGCAACAGCCATCAATGTCTAATCATCCATCTGGACAAATCGTGACTAAAAGGCTCTAGCTTAAATCCACACATCTGGCTGGGGTAAGTTCATTTTGAATTATGCCGAACTTCATATGTAAACAGGAGGTATCCTTTCTGAACTCAACAGCGAAATTGAAAAACTCGTAACTATTTATCGTAACTAATTTCTAAGGTTGGTGAATTGGAAGAGGAATTAGCTGGAGTCCATCACGAATTCAATAGAAGAACAGATGTTCACAACAGAGAAGTTGCTAGACTTGAATAAGAAATTCAAGACAAGGAAAGAGGTATAATAAAATATGATGGTTTTAGAACTCTTCAATGCTCATGATTTCTATGATAACGTTCCTCATCCCATAAAGAGATAGATTTGCTGCCTAACTTGAATAATTATAAGAAAACATTGCCTAAAACAGAAGAACACTTTCAGAAGCTGAAGTCAAAAGAGAAAATGATCACGAAACCTTCGAATCAGAAGTTGCTGAACACAACGATGCTATCAGTGCTATTGATGAATGCCTTTAATTGTTGAGCACAATCGCTACCCCATCTCTTGCTTAAATCAAAAAGGTTTAAAAGAACCTTAGCAAAATCCAAAGTTCATTGAAAAAACACAACTAATTCCAAATCTTCGTTAAAGTCCTCTTGGAAATCACAGTTGAATCTAACTTTGCTGACTAAGGTGCTCTTAGAGACGTAATTCTAACAACTTAAATGATAGATTGTTGTTGCTTTCAATAATTTGAGAGTTGAATTGGTTGATTCACTCAACTAAATCACTGCTGACGAAGCTTAAGCTGTTACTGATTTCAAAAACTAAGTCATCTAATTAAACCAAGAACATGCTGAATTCTAAAGAGCAGTTGTTGTTAAGAATGCCGAAATTGAAGCTAATGCCAGTACTATCTAAATTTCTAATCAATTTAGCCAAGATCGAATAAACCCTTGACCTCATCGATGAACTTGATGCTGATTTGGAAACCCTCAATGGATAATTGTAAGCTGAAAACGATGACTATGCCTTCGCCACTGATGTCTACAACGCCACCGTTGCAGAATACAATAAGGAAATCAATGCTGCCAACTAAGCCTTAGAATTGCTCAACTAACCAAGATTCTAAGATTATGTTAAATCATAACTCAAGGGAGCATGATCTATTAAAATAACATCAATCAAAAGTTATCACCATTCTATCAATTTCCTTTTTTTTATTTTATTTTTCATCAAATACTTCAAACAAATCCATATCCTAACAACTCTTAACTCCTATATTACTATAAAGATAAGTAGGGTTGTCGTAATAAGGCAAATCATTAAATAAGATAAAAATAGAATGATTTAGTGTTTATAAGATGAATTGTAAGAGATAAAACTAAACAAATTTTAGATACAGAGAAATAAAACAATTAAATAAATGAATAAATTCAATTATAAAACTAAGTGGAATAGTTTATAGCAAAATTTGAAATAATGCTCTCTAAAAGTAACTTTAAAATGAGCAAGAATGGTACTTACATTATAATAGGGATTCAACAAAAGTAAATTATATAAATAACAACTAATTTGATTAAATTTAATGAAAAATTTATTCAATTTTACTATGATCATAAATTAACTTGATATCAAATTTAAAGGAAGAAAAATAATATTGTATCTTAAAATAATATAAGGTTAAATTCATAAGGTAATCTAAAATATAGGATCAAGTGAGATGCTACAATATTTCCTAAAATATATGTTATTTTCAAAATTAAACACTTTTATTTGATTGGAAAATAGAATAAAATTTAAACTTACATGCTCAAAAATCATCTTTCAATGAATATAATTAACAATAAACAATTGATAATCACTTCCAATTCTGATATGTAGAAGGAACAATTTATGATTAAAATTTATAGACAAAAATAGAAATTAGAAGTTATAATTTTATACGTAAAGCATTTCCTTAAGGATTAATTCAGATCATATAATATTATTTGACTTTTCAATAAAGATTAAGGATTTATGATTAAATATAATTCCCATATATTCTATTTAAATATCAAATAACAGTAACTATGAGTATATCATAAGCATAATTTACATAAATGAATGTGTAAAATCAATAATAAATTGTTAGTTCTACATTTGAGGCAAAAATGGTTTTATTAAATTGATTGGGATATAAAATGATCATGTTCATCATATAAAAATGAGTGCAATTGTTTTAATTTTTAAATAAAAAAATAACAAAGATTTTAATTAATGAAGGGATAGGCTGAATAATAGAAGGGAGCAACTAAAACAGTCAAAAAGGTTAAAACCACAAACAAAAGTGCACCAGTTAGGTAGAATTTAGCATTTAAATTAGACTTTGGGTTAAGGCTGTATTTACAGGTTTTAGAAGATCAAAGGTTTAATAGAATGAAAACTAAGCATTACTCAAAATTGAACATGTTAATGATGTTGCTTCAAGCAGATTCTATTGGGGAAAAAGAGTTGCATACATTTACAAGGCTCATTCATTAAAGAATAACACTAAATTCAGAGTATGAATTATTTTCATTCAGGCAATTTGGGGACGTATTAGCAAATCTCACGGAAGCAATGGAGTTGTTACTGCTCGTTTTGGTAGAAATCTTCCTCCAAGAGCTATTGGATCAACCCTCAGAGTGTTCCTTTATCCCAACAGAGCTTGAAAATCACATATACAATATACAATAATACATTAATCAATTTTAAATTCTGAGTTTAAATCTAATCGATACTAGACTTCAAGGTTTTCTTTAATTTTAATCATTATTTCAATCAAATAAATATATTTGAGTTTGAGAAATAAAAATGAATAATGAAAATTAAGATAAAAAATGGGATTATTAAATAAAAATTATTTTACTAGGCTCTTGTGGGACAGGAAAAACTAATTTTATCTCAAAGATTTGCAGAAATTAATTTGATATAGAATCACACTCAACAATAGGAATTGAATTTGGAGTTAGAGATGTAATAGTCGAATCTCATTTATTTCGATTATAATTATGGGATACTGCCGGATAAGAAAAGTTCTTAAGTATGACATCAGGATATTTTAAAAATGCTGCTGGAGTGTTTTTACTTTATGATATTACAAAAAAGGACAGCTTTGATCAAATATAAGTAAAAATTTTAAATAAACTCTAGACTTGGCTTAAAATGTGCAAACAATATTTAGATTAATATTGCGTCTTGTATTTAGTTGGGAATAAAATTGATATGCAATATCTTAGAGAAGTAAATAGGTCATCTGGTTAAAGTTTCGCTTAAGTAAATTAATTACTTTTTGAGGAATGTAGTGCAGCAAGTGGAGAGAAAATTGAAGACATTTTAAAAGAAATGGTCTCAAGTATATGTATCTAATCGCATTTTAGATATATATCAAATATTAATGATGAATGAAATTCAGGTTGAAAACCCTTAATCAAAATCCTCTTTGTCCATAAAATCGAGTTAAAATACTTTAAACTCATGTTGTATCTGAATGTATATAATCGTAAAGGGTGAGATAAATAATTTATTGAAATAATAATAAGGCTATAAATTAATATTAAGAAATATTAAAGGAAATATCAATTCTCAAGGTTCTTTTTTAAATTTTGTAAACCTTATTATTTTTCAACTCTATAATTTTTAAAATAAGATTGTCTTTACTTTTTTTTAATTGATTTTTTGGATAATTAATTATTATTTAATTTTACTATGCATGCTAAATATTTATAGCAATATGACTTTTATAGCACAATATAAATTAAATTTCATAAATATTTTAAAAAAACTATTATTTATTATTTGATGTTACAATTTCTGAGATTATTAGTCATTCGATAGACAAAAGGATTTTTACACACTATGATACATTATAAATTTTGTTTAGTTTAAAATAGATTTATCACAATCAATTGTAAATATATCATTAAATATTTCATTAGTGTTATGGGAACAACATTTATTTACCCACTGAATTAGGGGAATTAATATTTAAATTCTCTCTAAGTACTGATATTTTTTCGTTATTGTTTTCACTTCTATTAGGAGTTTCTGTAAATTTTTCTACTGATATTGAATCATTTTTTTTATCTTCTAACTCATCATTTATCTCATCTTCCTTATTTTTTTCTTCCTTTTATATTTAATTACCACTCTTGATCAATATTTTATGTTCTTCTAATTTTGGAGTCTCTGCTGGAGATAACAATTTATCTCTTTAAGTGTCCGAACTTGTGGGCAAGTCATAGAATTATTACTTGGATCCCATAATGTCAACATATTCAAATTTATCAAAGTGAGCATACTTAAATAACCATTCATGCACTGGTCTTACATCTTAAAACTACAAATTAGGATAATTCTGATACTTGAGATATAAGTTTCAAAAAAGGAATCAAAAGAATTAATTCCTAATCTGTTTTATCTTCAAAATAGTTTAAAATATGGATAGCGTTCATAGGTTAAAACATGAAAGAATTGACTGAGTTCTATAGTTATTTTAACATTTAATATACATCAATTAGGATGACAGAATCTAAATTTCTTTTTAATAAAGAAAGATCCTTTACAAGTACACCATTATATACTGTGCAGTTTTCTCTAAACAATCTTAAATCAACTAAACCATGAGGATCTATAAAATCGATGACAGAATTCGCATATTCACTGATGCTAGCAGTAAATATTATCAGTTCAAATAATTTCGAGGTTTCTTTTATAAATTCTTGAGCCCCTGGTCTTATGTTAACATAAATTTTATATTTCTAATCTTTCATTGTAACCTCCTTAATTTAATACATACTTCGACAATCAAATCATTTATTTTCATCGGTTCAAACGAACTGTGAACCAAAGTTTCATCCAAATCAATAACTAAAGTTTTTCTCCCCTAATCTAATCACAAAAGTACTTTAGATCTTTCAGTTTATTGTGGAATTTCAATCGGATTCTTAATCTATTCATAACTTTAAGTTTTAGTTTTTCTAAATTTGAGACATTTGCAAAGCAATTAAATGAAAGAACTAGTTTATTATCTCATATTTTAATTAATATTTTGAAATAAATTATAATCATCAATTCATTATAATTCAAATATTATTATTCGTCTTCCCTTTCTAAAGGTTGTTAAACATTTGGATTTTGGGGTCACATACAAAAAAATAAAAGAAAAATTACTGAATGATTAAAACTATAAATAAAATCTATAAATAATTTAAATGGTTAACTTAAGAAATGAGATATAGTAAAAAAAGTAAATAATGTAATACTTATTTCCAAATCTTCTTAAATTTTTGCTTGGATAATTTAAACATTTAACCACACAATCTATTGAATTGATAGCGAGATCAATATTTTACTAACTTAAATCTGAATATTGATGTTAACTAAAACTAGAATTCTATTAGTATAATACTAAAATGCAATTTAATTATTTTTTTTTAGCAAAACCATAGGCCACAAGTCACTATAGATTTTTAAGAAGCAAAAACTGTGAAGAACCTTTATTGTAATTTTAAATACTTATAAATCTTCAACATTATTCTTTAAGGATTAAGTTTAGAATTTATTTAATAAGAATCGCATCTTTATATAATTCTATAAATTATTTTAATTTTTAATTAAGACTCAATGTAAAATTTATCCAAATTTTGTTAAATACTAATGCTATGTATATTTATGATATAAAATGTTTCATATATTTTTTATGATAATTTTCAATTCTTCACTTAATATTATAAATTATTATTGACACAAAGCATTTCAGGCAATCAATGGATAAAAATCTCAAAATAGTCTATTATGTAAGAATTCCTACTTCATTAAAGGGAGAAATAATATGGTTGAACTATAATCTAAATTTAGAGGTAAGATATCAATTATTTTAATTCACATATAAATTTATTACAAAATTTATTATTGCTTGTAAATAAGATGTCAACAAATAATAGTACGTAAATCAAAATATCGGTTACTTCTTACACTTCAGAAAGATCTATCACAAGGTATGTTATAGCTGTAGAATGCACTAATCAAAAGAAATGGCAAATATTAAAAAGGTATAATAAATATTCTTCAATTACAGATATTCGGAAGTTGAAGAGATCCATAACAGATTACAAGAATTATTTAATAATCTACCATAATTTCCAAAAAAATAGTTATTTCATCTGAATAGAAGTGAAATTGAGTTCAGAATGCAATAATTAGATGATTATCTAAATTAACTATTGAGCAGAAGAGAAATCTTAAACTCAGCTATATTAAGAGACTTTTTAATAGTAATATATTTGTACTAAACAGCTTGATCAATATGACGAATTCTTACATCCAGCTCAAGTATAACATAGGATTCTAAATATGAGTTTGAAGGACATACATGAGAATGATAACATTACTCTATTATTGTTATATGACTCTAGTAGGATGGCTAGAATAGATACTTATATAAATAATATTTTGGAATCGAAAAAACAATCTCCTATAAGTACATTGATTTGCTTTAGTCAGAATGATTTTAAACAAAAAATATTTAGTAAGGAATACTTAAAGGCATTAACTTGTATGAGTTTTAATAATACAGAAAACGCATTTGCTGTTGGGTACAACGATAATTTTTATTTTATAGACTTTCATCAGGATTAGTATATTATTACAGATTAGATGAAAAGTATGCAATTGATATGGAAGAGCAATTTTAGCTGGCTTAATCTAAAATTTCTGGGTGTGTATTAATTTAAAGAGAGATATATGCAATAACAAATAATTTGTTGAAAATACAAAATACTAAGAAAATATAGGAATAATAAGAAATTCCAATTGGTTCATAGGAATTAACTAATATCATTTATAATTCCACCAGGAATCTTGTCGTAATTGCTAACAATGTAGGAGAAATCTATTTATGCTAAGTGCCTTTTGTAAAAATAGGACTCAAGGTTTCAACACAGTCTACTCAAATTATTTAGCTATTAATAGATAATGAACGTAATTATTTAATGGCTTTGAATCATGAACCTAGTCATATCATCATTTTCGATTTTGCTAAAGGACTTTAAAATGGGTATGCATAAATAAAGACAAATATTGAAATAAAAAATAAGGTATATAAAATACATAAATTTAGAGCTTATGCTTTGAATGGTCTAAGAAAAGGGGAGAGATATTCATAGGGAATGAGGATGGTACGATATCAATTTGGCATGTATAAGATTTATAACCATTTTGTAAGTTTAATATGCTAATTAGATGTATTTAAGGCTCATTCTAAAAAAGTAAACAAGATTGTTTGGAATGAAAATAAGTCATTTCTCCTGACCGGTAGTGATGATGAATCCTTAAAGTAATGGTATTTGCCAAAGAAATGGAGAATTGGTCAAGCCGACAATTTCTCAACTTTTTGATTTATATTATTTTAAATTGCATGTTATCTATAAATACGATGGTGGAAGTAGATGATTTACAATAGCTCATACCAAGTAAGTTATTGAGTAACTCATTAAAGCAGAAAAAAAGAGACATATTAAGAGTGGGTTTTTGAATTACGAAGAAACTATAAAAAAAGGCGGTCACTTCATGTAATCAATCTCTTGTGAACAATTCCATCCTTATCAAACTTTTTCTTGGGATTCAAAATCTGAGGTTCCAGAGGTCTTTTAGTTGAACAAACCATAAGAGCAATAAAATTTATTGGGATCCATGACACATTTATAACCATCAAATAAGCCATTTGACTTAAACTTTGAAATTCCAAGATTGAGTGAGCATATGTCTATTTCATCATTTTTGACTCATAGACCATTAGCAGAGTCGAAATTGATACCAACTCCATAATAGACTCAAGAAAGTGAAGCAAGTACTTCAAAAGAATTGAGCTTTTTTGAACTTTTATAAGGTACAAATGTAAAAAGGCCAAAATATTGGGAAGATTTATGTATGTATATCTAAAATGTAGGTGACGATTCAATGAATAGTCAAGCAGTTGAGTTATAACCTATTTAAATTAAGTAGAAATTCGATTGCATCTCCTAATTGAAGTCTTAGGGATTGGTTATTATAACATAGAAATAATACATATAATTTGTAATCTAAATGTTATTAGTATTTAATTACACATATCTAGGGTTTTTAAAATGAATATTTTGTTTTTGACATTGATCAATTGTCTTACATCTAGTAATAAACAATTTATGTAGAAGATATGACTAGCTTATAATAAATAACTTAAAAATTCATAGAACTTGCCAACTATATTCAAAGATTGAGATTTTATCTATTAACACCTTCTAATACAATATTGAGAAGTAAAATAAATACAATTTTATAATCATTTGTTGATGAAATTGAATAAAAAATACTTCAGATTACTATTTTAGATGAAGAAATGACAATTTTGCATTTCTAAATTTACATTAAACATTTGAATAAGCAAATTAAAACTATTTTTGATATCTTTACAGCTGATGATTGTAGTTAAGTCAATAGGGCACTTTATGAAAGAATAATACAGATAAATTAGAGAGATGAATTTTTAGTCAAAGCATTTTATGAATTAAATAATTTTCAATTAGATATCTTTGCCAAAGGCATTAACAGCCAAGATGTAGATTTACAAATACCTTAACATTTTCCTCCATAATTTTCATCAACATACGCAAATACAGTTTAAAGTCTTGCTTTAATTACTTAGTTAAAAGTATTAAAAGTATAACATGTTGAAGAAATTTTAACAATTTGTTAAATATCTGAATTGTATTTGTAATAAAATCTTAAATAAAAGAATCAATATATTCAAACCATTTATAAATCAAAAGAATAAAGTCTAAAAGAAATTATTAGAAAATTTCAAATATTTGTTACTGAAAAAGAAAAATAAGAACAAGTTAGAAGAAAGATAGAATTTTAGAGAATACAAATGTAAGTGAGGATCTAATAATAGAAATACCTTGAATCTCAATAAGCAAAATAAGCATCTTAAAAACATCAAAAAAATGAATTGTTAGTTTAGATTGAAGTCAATAGAATCAATAGAAAATATAATAAATTAATTGAAAATTAAGAAGAAAGGAATCTTCAATTAGAACAAGAGCTAAATGAAAAGAAAAAGCTACAAAAAGAAAAAGAATAATTGTTGATGTAATTAGCAGATTTAGGTATTAATATACAAGATGCAAAAAAGAATAACGAAATTTCAGTTGAACTTAATCCTACTCCTATTTAATTAATCACAAAGAAAGCAGTAGATACTCTACTTGAAGAAACTCCGAAAATGCAAAATCAAGAAGAGTTATTAACAGATGGCTTATAAGAATAAATTGAAGATAATCATATTATGGAAGAGTAAATTGAGAAGTAGAATGAATCTGAGAAAAATCCTTAAATAAAAGTAGAAAATTAGTAAGAAAAGTTTGAAGAAGAATTACTAGATAATTGCTAATATTCATTTTAATTATAATTAGAAGTTTGTATTGGGATGCATGCTAGACTACATAATCAGTTAGTGAATAAGTCTATTCATTTTTTATTATTTGAGTAATTGAACTTTTTGTAATTATGGAATAATATCAAAAAGTACTATTTTACAAGTGATGGAGATTTTGTTGATTAGAACATATTCTAATTAATAGATAATGAAAATAATTTTATTCCAAATAAATTGACAGAAATAGATATTTTCCCAAAATTGAAAAGCAAAAGCAAGCTTGCAAGAGAAAGACAAGGATTTTATGAATGCTAAATATCTGATTAACTTTAAATAAAGATAGAGTCAAAGGCTTAATTGCTCAAAGCCTGCTTTACAAATTCTATACTCTAATAAATACTAATCTTCTTTGATTAAATTATTAAATTAAGATATTGTTCACACAATCTAAGGAGAAATTGGAAGTATATATAATATATTAAGGATCCTAAAATAGCAAATAGTTATGGAATGCTACGTTATTAAATGTAAACTTTTATTGATATCTACTAAAACTATATATTTTATGATGTTTTAGAATCAACTTGGAACGATTTTAAATAGCAATTAACAAATGCAAAATCAGTTGATGAAATCATTAATGTAGAGGGCAATTATCTAAATAAAATTTTAGAAACAACGTTACTGAAATCTGACAAAAAGATCATCAAAGAGTCGTATAATCAATGCTAATAAATGATCAATCAATTTATATAAATTGTAAGAAATATAATTATGTTAATAGTTAGAATTTTAATACAATTTCGGACTCATTTAAAAACAACCCCCAGATATTAGTAAACTAAGCTAAAATTTTAAAAAATAATCTGACTTTTTTAGTAAATTTATCACCTGGCTAAAGGATCCTACTACTTTTGATAGGCCTGTTTGATTTTATTGAGAATGGTTATTTTTTTTTCTTATTTGAAAGTTATTTTATAAATAATTATTCAATTTTAATAATAATAAGGTTCTAATTTCTTTTATTTTATTATTATTCTATTTATATTATAGAAAGGCGACTTTATAATTACTAAATTATTGAGTATACAACTCTATAAAAGAGTGATCATTAAAAAATAGATGAAATCACAAAAAGATGTGATATAAATTAATTTATAAATTATCTGTTATTAATTGCTATCATAATTAACTCAATTAGCAAGCAATTTTCTCTTAAGTTGTCCTAACTTTGATGAGATTAGATCAACTGCAACTGCAACAGCCCTCTTTTATTTAATTCTAAAAGTGTTTTTATATGAATTTACCTATTGGCTGTGTCAGTGTCATATTCATTCTTCTTAAGCCTACAATCAGTTTCTCTATTTTCCAATTCCCTAGTTTTAGCAACAATTCTTGAATCAACCTCAAATTTTTCATTTGATGCCTATTAAATTCTAGTGGATAATGACTCGACAAGTCCTACAATTATATTATTAGATTTAACCTTCCATATAGGTTCTGTCTTAGCTTGCTTTTACTAATTAATCTGATAATAATGTTTAAAGTAATTCAAAATTACCAGATCTAAGTGCTTCTGCTTGATCTTCTCTAATTCTTTCGGATTAAATATAATTTTCTATTTATTTTAAGATAGACAAGACTTTTCTAGTCAAAACTTCTGCTTATGATGGTTCATCTTGTGCTTTGGCAGCTAAACGACTCATCATTTCAAGCATGGCTCTGTAGCCTTCTAAATGTACCTAGAATAATGTTGTAATTAACATGATGCTTTAATTTATTGACTTTAGCGGCTACTTAAGTGAATGATGTAAATTATTAGCCTTAATCCTCAGCATCATCAACTTCAGATTAATCATATTTGAAACTGTATGTCTCTTACAAGAAAGATGGTTCAGGTTTTTCAAATCTTTTTCTATTTTTGACAAGTACATCTAAATAACTATTGAAATATCCTTTGACTTAGTTCACACCGAATAGTGCTTATTCCAAATTATCTAAGATTACTTAGTAAGTAATGGTTTCGGTCTCTCTTTTGTGAGTTTAGTAGTTAAGTTCTGCCTTCAAATCATTAATTTCGCTATTTTTTCTTTCTAGACTTGCTACTGCTGAAACTTTCTAAGGATTCAAACTGTCTAATTCACTTTTAAGTGTTAAAGAATTGACAGTATTCTAATTTATTTGATCTTTTAAAGTATTTATATCAATGTCACAATTTTATGAAATTCTTGCGATTCTTTTATCATCTCTTTCTTATTCATTTTCAAGTGTTGTTTCTAAACCTTAAACCATGTCAATTAGATTAGAGACTACAGGATCGCCTGTTTACAATTCCATCAAAATGGTTTGTAATATTGTTTAACCAAAGTTGGAGTTCTATAACTCCTCTACTTATTAATCAAAATCTGCAGCATAACAGCCAAGAACAAGAAGGATTGGAAGTACGATTGAAAACTTCATTATCAATATTAAATATATTATTGGAATCCGTTTTTATTTGTTTTATATTAAGACAATAAATATCAATCACAATCCAATATAATGAACATATCTTTTAGTTTCCATATCAAACCTCGTTTCAAAGATATCAACCCAATAAATCAAAATTATGATTTAAGCATTTCTCTTATTAATTTTATTATTCATCCCTTAAAGGATTCAAAACTCTGCATTTATAAATCTCTTCACGTATGATACAAAATTAGAATTTCTTTTATTTTTTTACAGTAATAATACTTACGATCTTTGATTTACACTTAACTTACAACTATCCAAATTTCTTTACAAATGATATTTTAATCAAAATATCTTTTGCTCTGCTTTGTAATTCAGTTATGTTCTATTTAAAAAGCAATATATTTTTATAGCATTCAATTGATATAAACAGTGTAAGAAATCTAATCACTATATTTACTTTTCATTAGATTTTATCAATTAAATGATGATTTATCATTACTATCATTCAGGCAAAGGAGGATGATGAATTTTGAGTAAATTAGACATTCGTAGTTGAAATATTACTAAATTACTAAATTCAAAGAATTACAAAAGCCTTAAACATTATGAAGCCATCTCTATAAATTTCTAATCTATTTGATGCATTTTAAATTAACTGAACATTCCCTTATTTAACCTTATCAAATGAATCCAATACATTTATAATACTTATCCTCCTCTCACATTAATTTACTCTGATCCAAGATGAATATTACTGTAATAATCCATCCTCTTTTTTATACTCATTATTCAATAATATTTTATCAGAGATCAATAAATGAATTTAATCTGAATACGATATTTACAATAGAAGTATTGAAAAGTTATTATCTTTCAGAGAATCAAAAATCCTTCATCTCTCTTATCAAAATTCATAATTCAAAATTCAAACTGCATTCTCGTTATTAAATATGTAAAAGCATAGATTATTGTTATAAGTTTTCTAATTTGCTAAGTAATCAAATCAGTTTTAAAGCATCAAAGTTATGCTTTTTGAGGTCTTTATCATTTTAGAAAATATTGTTAATAAAACAAAATTAAGTGTAAAATTCTTGTAATAAATTATTAGTGGATTTCAAAATATATATAATGTTTTAATAGAATCTGTAAATCTTATATGAAATATGTTTTAGCAAAGTGGATAGTTAATATTTTAAATGCACTTTAAAAAACTCCTCAGTATTTCAAAGTCTCAAATTTTTAAAGAGATATTGCGGATTAGATTTATCGCATTCTATATTTTTAAACTTTTATAGAATGGCAATATATTTGAGATGTAATATTTAAATTTAAGTTTAAACATATGAAAGTTAACAATTAAAAAGAATGCTAAGTAAGCCTTCCTGTAAGATCTCAAAATGTTTCCAATACATAAGTGATAGATTTAAAATGGAATAATGTAACTGTGACATTGGTATAAAATACGTGTTTATCCTATAGAGTTAAGAAATTAAGAAAAAAACTCATGTTGGAGAATCTGAGTATCTTCTTGATAAAGACTCAAATAAAAAGTACATTTTGTAGAACGTTACCGGGTATGCTTTGAGAGGGTAATTGACTGCGATTCTTGGTCCATCAGGAGCAGGAAAGACAACATTAGTTGCTTTATTGAGTTAAAGATATAAAGGAAACAATAACATCACTGTTAGTGGAACATTTTTGGCAAACAATGAAGAATATGTTAAGTTTACCGATTTCGGAGCTTTTGTGATGCAGGATGATTTATTGATGGCAACACTTACAGTCAAAGAAACATTATTATTTTCAGCCTCATTGAGATTGAAAGGGTCACAATTGGATAAGATACATAGAGTAAATGAGCTTATCAAAGATCTTAATTTACATCGTTGTTAAGATACCTATGTAGGGGACAGAATGCTAAAAGGAATTTCTGGAGGAGAAAAGAAAAGAACAGCAATAGGAGTTGAATTAGTGAGTGATCCTCCAGTTATCATTTTAGATGAACCAACATCAGGATTAGACTCCTACACAGCTTTTATTTGTATGAATATCTTGAAGAAAATTGCTTTAAAATTACAAAGGACCATTCTATTTACAATACATCAACCAAGTTTTGATATCTCCTCACTTTTTAATCGAGTGATAATTATGAATAATGGTTAAAATGTTTATTAAGGGAATGCTGACTAATTAATTGGATACTGTGAGTAGATAGGATTGAAAGTAATGGCTTATTCAAATCCCTTGGATACTATCATGAATAATTTAAATCCCATATACAATAATTAATAATAATTGGTTACATATCAGAATTATTAAAAATATTTGGAATTAGCTGTGACTAGTTATACTACTCAGTAAAATGGAATTATCAAAAGAAGAACTTAATCTAGTTTTGGGTTGGAGTTTAAAATGTTGTTTTGGAGAGCAAAAACTAATTTTTGGAGATCACCCACTCTACTAAGAGCAAAGATAATATCGGCTTTTATTATGTCAATATTTATTGGGAGTCTTTATTGGAATGTCGGTCATGAAATGCCTAATCAATCACCAGACTTAAGTAGTTACTCGGAAGTTACTAAATTTTTATAGAACATGAATGGAGCATGTTTTATGGGAGGAACAGGTGCATTCTTTTCAGCCTTAAACCCTATGATGATGTTATGTAACTTGATGATTAATTGTAGTTCCTGTTGAAAGAGATATCTTTTTGAAGGAAGAAAATACAAAATTATATAAAATATTCCCCTATTTTATAGCCAAGATAATTGTAGAAATTCCATCGAATATCTCAATTTCTATAGTGTTGGCTTTGATTTTATATTGGGCATTTGGATTCATTTGGGAGATTGCAAAGTTGATCCAATTTATACTGATAACTATAGCCGTATCATTAAGTGGAAATGGAATAGGAATGTATTTAATATAATAAGTTGTTAAGCTTCACAGGTTGTCTATTTTCTGATCCTAAGAGAGCTGCTTAATTGGGACCTGTGATTATGTTGCCAATTCAACTATTTGGTGGTTAATTAGTGAATTTGAAATCAATTCCTAAATGGATAGGCTGGTTCTAATATGTTTCAGTATTTGTTTTAATCAATATTTAAGCCATTCAAATATTTCTTGGAGGCATTTGGAAGAACTCAACTTGAAGACGTAGAATTCAAAGCAATTATTAAGCAAGAAGATTCCACTTCTATTCAAATGATTAGTCCTATGTAATATTATGGAAGGGACTTCGGATTATGGAATAGTATTATTGTATTATTTGGAATTGCTCTAGCTTTTCATATTTTGGCAGTGATAATGTTAAAGTTATTAATTAAGAAATTGAATGTATGAATGTTGTAATTGTTCAATATTTTATGTTATGAATTCATGGCAAGATGCTCCTTCTTTATTTAAATTATGTCTTAAATTGATTATATAAAATGTGTTCTTTACTTTTCACTACTTCCATTCGTATTTGGAAGTGAAGCAAATACGTCAAAATCTCAAAATGTTTTCGATGACTCTTCAAAAGGGAAGAGTTGCAAAGATTAATGTAAAAATAACAGTGACTATGATCGATGCTTTAATGACTGTAAAATCGAGAAAGAATAACCAATAATTCAGATAATAAGCATAACTTTTATTGTCCTAGGATTCATGTTCATCTTATTTATTATTTGGAAGCGCAAGTAAGTCCTAAGATTGTTTCGCTGTGTCCTAAACAGAAGGACTATAATGATGGAGTCAATTTTAAATAATGCCATCCTAATAAAAAACAGTAATGTTCTTTTGAATCGATTAAGGAAGGTGGCTAAAATGCTAAACTAATCGAAAAATGAATTGATCTTTACTTAAAATGGGAAGCTCCACAAAGAAGAGGATGTGCAAATATTATGTCGAATCAACGAGAAAGAGTAATACATATCAATTTCTCTCTTGGGAAATGACAAGTATGGCACATGGAGTGGCAATGGAGTTACGATTATTGATTTTAACAATTAACTTAAAATTTGGTTTGTGAAGGATTATGAAGAATAACAAGAAGCAAGATAATCAGGATTGTGGGAACATCTCATCTACTTGGGAGAATTCGATGAAGAAGTAAAGGCTTTTAGTGGATAATGGCATTATGATGGATTCGAAAATGATTTAACTTACAGTGGTACTTGGATCCTAAAAATCAAATGAATAAATTATATATAGAAGTTTGTAACATTGATTAAAGTCTTAGTCCTTTTCTTTCTTTGTTTCTTAAAAGTGTGCATGAATTAATGCTCAGAAATTGAGATTTACAAAACTTGGTCCTAGAATAAATCAGATTGATATACTATTGATATTAATGATAAATAAATCGTAAATAAATTTATTTTTACAAATATCATCAATCCCCTATGCTCTTATCTACGTCCAAGCTCGCAACATCCAAACTCTCCTCCTCCTAATTGTCTAGTCCAAAAAGATCAACAATTAATTATCTCAGTTAAGATTTGGATTCTCCATCCAGGTAGAGAATCAAATTACTTTCTGATAAATGGAATCACATTTAGAATGGAATTGACAAAGACAAACTTGAAAAAAGGGAAGTGTTAGAGGAGAGAATCAAAATCATTGAAGATGTTTTAGCCTCAGAGAAACCAAAAGATGAACAAAGATTTAAGGTCTTGAAGGATTAAGTCTTGAAATTATAAGATTAAGCACACAACCAAAAATCAGAAAGAGAAGTATAGTTTTCAACTAATTAGGCATTTGATGACAAAAAAGAGAAGGATTTTAGAACACTTTCAGATAATGTCGGCCTATCTTTTGACCAAGAAAGAAACGCTAGAGGGTAGGCAGAGACCAAGCTATAAAAATAAATTGACGAAAGATTTGCCTAAATCACACTTACCATCACTAGAAACACTCATTAATATGAGGATAGAAGTCAAGCCAAAATTGCTGAAGTTCTCTAGTAAGTCCAATTAGTCAAAAATTAATTAGATTAAGAAAGAAGATCAAGGTACTGATTTTTATACAATCTATAGAGAGGAATCAGCAGAATCTTTAACTGAATAAATTGATACTGAAATTAACAAATTCTCAGATTAATTGCTTATTGAGAAGAAGGTTAGAGAAGAAACTTAAGGCAAAATATTCAGAATGATTGAAGACGTTCATGGAAAGCTACAATAAGATATCAGTTTTGAGAGAAGAGAAAGAGAGGCTACAACAGAGGCTTTGTTGAAATTATTGGAAGACGCCTGCATTAAAATCGATAAAAATTTTAGATCATTCTGATATATATGAAAGACATATAATATAATTTATTTATTAATTGTTTTTATCATTATCAATCAGATAACAGAAAATTAAACTGTTTGAAGGAGAAAAAATGAATAAAACAATCTTATTGTTTCTGATATTGAATAGCTGCCAAATCTAATACAAGGGTCTAAGCTAGCAAACTTTTGAAGAATTAAGTTGAATGCCAATTTAGAGTCTCATTTATATTGGTTAGAATGCAATAACATTATTTGAAAAAAGAGTTGATAATTTATTTTTGCCTTAGATTTACCCTAAACTGGTTGCTTTGAAAAATATAAAAATGATTAAATCATCCTAACCTAATTTTTTTTATAATAGAATTTGGGCCTCTTTTTAATATATTTATTTAATCTTCAAATAATATTAAAAATAATGAATTAAAATCAAGATATAGGGTTTCTATTACCAGACGGGAACATTTAAAATATTAAAATTCAAAACAATAACTTAGTTTTTTATAGAAATATTTCAAAATGTAAATTTCTCTATTTTATTTTAGAGTTGAGATTACCATGTCCCGATGAATTCATTGCAGTACTTGATTTAAAAACGAAAAAACTGATTAGCAAATTCATTGATAAGTAATTTTCTCCTTTTCATACAATAGGTTGGAACAAAATTGCACTTATAAATTATTCAATATACAAGAAGCAATAGCCATAATTTAACAAAAGGACTAAGAAATAAATTAATCAAAGGAAGAAAATAAAAATTTGTAAGAATAATATAAGAAAGCTAAGGAAGAAATTAATGATATTAAAGCCAAACTAGATTAAGATGCGAAGAATTCAGAAACAAATAAAACTCAATCAGATAAAATAATTAATGAACTTAATTAAAAAATAAATGAATTCAATTAGAAAATAAAAGAAATTGATCCAAAACTATCAGAAGCACAAAATAAAATAAAGGAATAATTATAAGATCTAGAACGCGCAAGATATGATTTAAAATAAGCAAATTCGAAACTAGAAGTGTGGAAACAAGATATGGAAAAATAATTGGTAGCAAAAGACACTAAAATTTAAGAATTAACTAATTAGGGTATGTAATAAGATGCTTACATTTAAAATTTGATCACTTAATTGAAGTAAGAAAGAATGAAAGTCACTTCAATTTAAGAAGCTTGCAATAACTAAATGTTGGCATAGATGTAATAATGGCAATAATACTTTGTTTAATTAGATTCTGAAAAAAAATTAAGAGAATAAGAGAATTATGATATAACCAAAAAAAAATAAGATTTAGAGGTAGAAGTGAAGAAATTAAAAAAGAAATTAGATGATGAGGAATAGACTAAGAAGTTGGAAATAGATTCATTATAAAATGAAAAATAGAGTTTAGATTCATAAATAACTAGATTAAGAAATTAGGTAAGGGAAACAGAAGCTAAACTTGCATAACAAAAGCGATAATTAGAAGATGGTAAATCACAAGAGATTAATATAATAAAGGAATAATTGGATAAAGCTAATCAAAAATGCAAGAGTTTAGAACTAAAATACAAATATCAGAATGATGAAATGGAAAGAGAAATTTAGTAAAAGTAAAACACCGGATAAGTGAAAGAAGAAGAGATCCAATTGTTATTAAGATAAATTCAAGAATTAAAAGATTAAAATGAGAGATTAAGTGAAGAAATCGATGTGCTTTAAGCAAAAAATACCAATATAACATAAAATCTTAATAATTCCCAAAATCTTTATAGAGATTTAGAGTTTAAAGCAACTAATCTAGAAGATAAATTGAAATCAGTCTAGGAAGAGTCCAAAAGAGAGTTGACTTAAAAAAATGAGAAAATAGAAGAATAAAAGTTAGAATATTAGAACATTTTAAATAAGAAAGATCAAGAACTCTAGGGATTCATCAAAAAGCAAGAAGAAGTTGAAGAAGAATTAAAAAATAAAATAAAGAATTTATAAAAGGAAAATGAAAAAGTATAATAAGATTTGGCCAAAATAATGAAAGAGAAACGAGAAGTTGAGGAAGAAGCAGTAAAAGAGAGATAGAATCTTTAAAAAGTGATTGGCGAAGCCGATATAATGATGTTACAGAAGGATTAAGAACTTGTAGCAATATAGAATTCAGCTGCTGTGCCTGCTTATTAATTTAGAATATAACGATTGGTCGAATAAGTACCAAGAGAATATAGTAAAGATATTGAATTTGCGATTGAGACTATGATGTTTGACAAAGTAAATCCGGAGGCTTTTCTAAAAACTAATTAAGCATAGTGTTAAGAACTAGAGTTTAAGTTGAGTCATGTTCAGATATTACAACAAAAAGCAGAAAAAACCCTATATAATATCAGTGATTAGGATTACAGGTAATGTGTAAAAATTGTTCCTATTGGAGATATGACTGGTATTCAATGTTTCGCTCCTGTTAAGTCAAGCGATTAATCTTTAGATCGATACTTCTTTTTCAAATGCTAAAAATGTCCTGATAATAAAAAGCTTGAAGGCAAAATCTTTGGCATAAAACAATTTAAGAAATAAGATCTTGAGGATTTAGAGACACTAGAAACAGCAACTGACAATTGTATGTCTACAGTCATTGCTTAAGAATTCATGAGGCAATTTGTGTAGGAATTAACTGAAAAAAAAGTGAAAATAGAATTTGACTTCAAATTTAGAGATTAGTATATTATTGAAGCAAAAAAGAGTTTTAAGCAATATCTATAAGAATAAATTAAAGGGTAATAACTTGTGCTTTAAAATGAGGGCATAAAAAATTTCGTAGAATTTGTTGAAGCTTTGGATGGCGAGTAATCCAATGATTTTTACGATTATACTAGAGAGTATTAGTTGGATAAAAAGCAACCTAAAGATGGAAACATTATTAAAGCATATTTGGAAATTATCAAGGATAAGAAACTTGAGGACATCTATAAAAAGTTTAACCCAGAAACAATTAGAAAACAGCTGAGTCATTTTGTTGACTTTATTGGAGGGAATATGAAAGAAATGCCATAAAAACTTGTAATATTTACATATAATAAAATAGTGTTACGCCATCTAGGAAATTGAAGTAAAACCAGATTTCTTAAAATACAATGGAGGACATTTGAAATTTGATAGTAGTCCTGAAGGTAAATTCTTATCTGCGTTCACATATTACTCCATTGTAAAGAGTTAAAGATAGCTATGCATTTCTCATATGCAAGGAGTAAAGAATCAGATATATGATCCTATGGTTTCAACTTATGATGGCTTTTTGGATAAAATGGATTAAGGATATAATGAAATAAGAACTATTGAATCTAAGTTTTTATCTGAACCCAACATTAACAAAGGAGTAGAATTCTTGAAAGCACTAGGTATAAAATGGAATTGAATTATTTAACATATAATAGAATTAGTTCTATATTTTTTATTTTAAAAGATGATTTTATGAAATAATATATTAATAAAAATGAAAAAAGTAGATTAGGAATTGTTTAAAACAGTTGCTGCCAACAACATCATATATTTGAATATTGATAAAGGTTTGGTCTATATCCCCAGTTAATAAATTGACCCTGATGCTGGAAACAATGGAGAGATCTTTAAAGGCTATATCGCATATAACACAGACAAGCAACAAGAATGCTGTGTGAAGAAGTTCCCAATTCCATCTTATAACGTAATTCTGATAATGTAAATTTATAGTAATCACTATTTGATAACTTACATTAAGAGTTAATATTTGGGAGATAATTGGTGCATAAAAACATAGTGAAATTTTATGAATGTTCATATAGTAATAACAATTTTTATATGTTCATGGAATATTGTAATGGAGAATCCCTAGCCAAAAAGATGAGTTTAGGATATGAAGATGACTTAATGAGTACCAAAATATTCCCAGAAGGTAAAAAAGTAATCATATTTTTAGAGTAAGCATTAGATGTAATGCAATAAATAATAGATGCTCTAATCTATATGAAATAATTAAGTTATGATGGAAAATCAGGAGCAGTTCATAGAGATATCAAACCAGATAACATAATGTTCTCAGACGGTGTTCCAAAGTTAATAGATTTTGGAATGGCTAGGTTTATGGATAGACCAACTATTACACCCTACAAAGGTTCTCCAATATATATGTCGCCTCAAAATTTAAAACAAGGTAGGTATGATTTAGAAAAAAATGATGTTTGGGGCGTAGGAATGATTCTTTATTAATTAGTTGAAGGAGTATTTCCTTGGAAAACTGAATTGAGTTCAATAGAAGATTTGAAAAAAGCACAAGAATCGATAAGGAATAATATCAAATTTTCTAATAAGGTTTCGGAGGGGTTGTAAAAGTTAATAAGACATATGTTGTAATATGAAGAAAAAGATAGATGTAATTGGGAATAAGTCATAGAGTATGATCTAATGAAACCTTACTTCTGTCATTTAAATCGTCCAGAAATCAATGAATTGGAAAGGTTAGTCAAAAATTACGAATTAATTTCTTAACTACAAGGTGAATTAAATCTTGAATAAATTAATAAATATGTTTTGGATTTAACTCTAACTAAAACCCATCAATTAAGGGAATTCCTGCCGATAAATTCATAATTAGATTAAAAAATCAATCAATTATACTTATAAAGAATACTTTAGAAAAGAAAGTTTCACAAATTCAAAAGTGAAACAGCTTTAAAAAGAAAACTATCATAAATATTAGTGAAATACTTAGAACAAATGATTGTTGATACTATAAATGAAGCTTAGCTCATGAGTTTAAATTTTTTTTGCTAAATTGTAATTTCCTTATACAAGAAAGACTTGGAAATGACGGATAATTTAACATTAGAAAGTTTGTTACAACTAGCAAGACTTTGAAATATCAATATAAAATTGCTGATATTAATAATAATATTTTTTATATCATTTGCTGCTAGGTCCTGGAACGCAATTTAGAACATGTATTCTATCCCAAGTACCGCATGACTCAGATTTCCAGCCTTTTTAACATCTACCCTATCAGAATACTTTGATGTCTATACTGATTTGCAACAAACTTATGTTTCATATCCGCAAACAACTCCTCCTGCACTTTAACATCTATTAGTGCAATCCAAACTCCATGGAGCAAACTAATAATCCTATCTAAGATTGTTCTGTCCATTAAGTTAGTTACAGAGAACTAATCCAATAATCAAAATGAAAACGCAAACTTTCATTTTTAAATTATAATAAATAATAAAAACGATATTGGGATTGTATTATGTAAAAATCTTTCTAATCATTAGATAAATTCTAAAGCTTTCAATTCCAATTTTTAATTATAGAACTCCCCAAAATTACTTGCATTCGCAGACTCAATTGCATCTTAAGCCCTTATATATTCATCCTTACCCTAATCAATTTCAGAAAAACAACCAAACTCAGTTGTCACAATCATATCATACAAATATTACTTTACAGTATTTATATAGGTAATAAATAATTCCTATTGACTCAACATGTGTGAGTATTTACAAAAAGAATTTAAAAATTGTTCTTCTTTACTGCTTCCAAGGTTTTGCTCTCCTCCATTTATTTGTTTGATTTTAAATTCTATAATCTCTTCACAGTAATAATATAACTCCTTTCCTAACTGATAAGCAATTAATTACCTTTTTATTAAAGCACATATTATGGAGCAATAGAAAAATTCAATGGTTTTATTGATAACTTAGCCAAATCTTTCACAAATTAATCCAAGAACACTTAAGTAATTATGTTATTCAAGCTGAGTGCGGCAGCATTGAGTTTATTATCATAATTTTAACCCTTTGATAAATCCTTTCTAATTAAATATCGATTTTTTAGTTCATTGATTTATGTATTCTCTATCTTTATAATATAAACTTTCATTAAATCTCCCTCTTCATTTGGTTGGATACTTCTAATAGTTTTGACCTCACCCAGAAGTTCTACATCTAACAACTATTCCAAATTAACGAATGATCCTCTTTTAATTGATTATAAAAAGTTATTTGATGGTTTGATTCTGTAAGCCAAATAATCAGTTTCATCACTCTAGCAATTTGGATTGTCCCTAAACTTTACAAGTCCATATCTTGAATTTAGGAGTTAGCCGACAGGAGAAACAACTTTCTCCAAACCTTTTCCTAAATTTTTATTATTAATCTATTTCAATATCTCTGAGAGTCTAATAATCTTTTAGTTCATTTTATTACATTACATTTTCTATTTCTCAAGAGCAGATTCTAAAACTTTAATCTCACCAACCTTTGTAATTACCGTTTATTCTGATTATAAAAGTTTACTGTGTTGTAATCTATATTTTTATTCCCATTCTTCTATATCAGCTTACAATTTTATTTTGGCCTATTGTAACTTTTGGATATTACACTCATAATTTTCATTATCATTATTAAGTTCTTTAGTTTCAGATTTTAATTGATCAATAATTAATAAATATTAATTAATTTCATCTTATCTTTAATCTAACCCCTTCTTTGCTTTATTTAATTCAGCGTTCAACTTATCAATTTCAATTTAATTCTTTTATTATAAAAAATGCTAATCACTTTAGGTGTTTGTTAATTCATTTTAAACAGCCTTTATTTATTATTATAATTTTTCAACCTTCTATTGTAATTCATCATTCTGAATTTTCAATTTTGTTTGCATTTCTTAATTACGATTTTTCTCCTAATTATCGATATCCTTCTTAATATATTCTAATTCTCGAAGAGCATCATTACAATAATTTTTTATCATGAGATTATTATCAGATAAATCGGTGCTTTAGTTGATATCGTTTATTCCTTATTCCAATATTAACAATTTTCTTTTGTAATAGCTTTCCAAATTCCGATATTCATTTTCCAACCCTTCAAATTTAAGAATGTAATTAGATTTATTTTCTTGAATCTCATTTTCTAGTTACTAGATCTAGTGATTTTTTTTAAAGATCTAATTTTACAGATTCGATATTTCTTCATAAAGTTTCTCTATCTAAGTCTCATAAATTTAGTGATTGTAATTTAATTTGTTATTCCCTTCTTGTTATAACGTCTACTTCTATTATTAAAATTGTCTTTCTTATTTTTATGTAATCTAGTTTAACTCCTATATCTTTCTCTGTAGACTCTCATTTTCTTATTATAATTATTCTTTATTTTGATTAATTTATGTAATCTTTTATTCATACAACATCTATTGAGTCACCAATTTCTCCTTGTATTACTGATCCATCCTCTACAACTCTATAAAATTCTAGTCTTTCTATATCAAAATGGATTAATCATTGCCCTTCAATTTCTTCATTTGCATATTGCTTTATATATTTGATTCTTGTATTTGCACCAATTCTTTACGCAAATCCTCTTCATTATTCTAAAGTTCATAAATTTTCTTTTTGGAGTTCAAGTTTTCTTTTAAAATCTGATTAATATCCATAACATTTAAATGAATGGTATTATTTTTAAATTGAAAATAGCTATTTGTAGCTGAATACATTCTATAATTATCTGCATTTATTAGCACAATGTTCTCATACGGCACAAGAAATTACTTGCTAATCACTTTTTTTATTTAGAATGGTTCGCATACAATTTCCTCCACAGAGCCATCCTCATATTTCACAATGTATTTGGTCTCGCCATTTTGTATCATCCTGTTTTATATAATATTTAATATTATTTCTATTTCTATTAAATGTTGTGAGAAATACATTTAATGATATTCTTATAAAATTCATTTGATAATAGATTAATTATTGGAAATTTAATTTTAAGAATATCTCTCGATAATCTTGGCGTTATATTATTTTCAATCCCATCTGTATCTCACATAACTATAAAATATCTGATAAGAGTAAGTTTAGGAATATATTTATTTCCCATTTTGATTAACAATATCATAATTTCTTAATTATAATTTGCAAAGTATAATAGAATAATGAATATGTTGCGACTAGATTCAATATTGAATTTATCATGCAAATTGAAATAGGTCACAATTGGCGTATCACATTTATTAATTAGCCCATTCCTCTATCTTTTCCATGTTCTCAAATAAATAGTGAATTGCGTTTCTAATAATGCCTTAAACTATAATTAAAAGTAATACAATTCTATAAATTTATAATATTAAAATAATGTCTGAAAGTGGTACTCCTGATGATTAAGAGGATGATTAATAGTAAAGGATTTAAGATGAAATTGTTGAGTAGGATGAATAAGATGTAAATCCAGTTGGGGTTGCATAGAAAGCAAACTTAGATAGAGATATAAGAAAGTAGCATTTTTTTACAATAAGTACCATGTATATGTAATTTTAGATCCCGAGGAAGATTTAAAAATGGTTAAGCTAAAAGTAAGAAAATTCTTTAATTACACAAGCCTTATCCTAAGAGCAGTCAATTGGAAGCAATTTTTAATTAATATAAAAGAATTTAGCAATTAAAGCCTTCAGAAGATGAAGTGTTTTTAAAATTAGAGGATTAACAATTTTAAAAGGAGAGGAAGTTTACAATATCGGAAGTTAGAGCTCTGAGGAAGGAGAGGAATCATAAATATTTTAAATATTTAATTGAAGTTAGAAAAGTAAAAATGAAGTTAATATGAGAATTTTGTGAGTGATGAACTGTTTTCTAAGTTTAGAAAAAAGGTGAAAGTTTTTAGTTTTGATGAGAATGCAGCCAATAAGGAAAAGTAGAATGAAAATTCTATTGATGAATCCGTCGAGAAAGAGAGTGATGTCTTTTCCAATTATTCTGAGTTTTATTGATGTTATAATATCTAAATAATGTATATCAATAGCAATCAAGGTTAAGGGATCATTTACCGATATAAGAGTCGAACGTTGTCGGAGTAGCTTTCCCAAAACAAAATAAAAAAGTATCTTAGATATATCCATAACCACAAGAATGGTCCGACTATAACAGTATAGGTTAGTTTAAACAAGTATTGTCTGGGAGTGACTTACGATAAGGGTTACCAGTCGATGATTTGCTTTGTAATAGAAGTAGTTTTGCCCATGATCTGGATGGGAGTGAAAATGGCAACGCAAAGGATAGTGATTAAAAATTGTATACCTTGAAAAGTATTCATTTATTTGATTGTGTGTTTTACATGGAAGTATTAATCTTACTTCCTCTCTGAACAGGTGTAGCATTCAATGGCATCATTGCCCATGATTCCAGGAACTGACTAGCATTTTAGACATTAATAATGATTACAAACTTCACATTTGTGAATTGGGTATAAGCTATATTATATGACAAGACAAATTACATACTCCATTTTTTCAAATTTCTTTTGAATATGCTAAACTCACAAAAAGGACACTTTGCATAATTTTTTTCGTTTAAATAAATAGAGCATTCTTTACACTTCAATCTTTATTCGTGTTTATGTAATTTGCATAATATTTTTCTATAGATAGTAAACGGGAATGTTTCTGCTCCTGAAAATTCTTAAGTTTTGGGTACAACATAGAGATTGGTGTTGATGCAACTGGAACATAATCTAGGATTGAAAAATAGGATTACGCTTATTCCATTTTTAAGAAGATGTTTGCAATTGGATTTTTAGAGATAGTATTATTTAGACAATCAGAACATTTTTTAAATTGATTGTTTCTGTTCTGTAAGCGATTATAATCACCTGTAGTTTTCTTTTCAGTCATAAAAATTATAATATAAAGTCCCTGAAAATCTTAGTTTTATAATGTTTAATCATAATTAAAAACATTTTATATATCTGTTTTACTCAATTGTTTGCAGCAATCATATCCCTAATCTATTGAGCTAGAAAAAGCAAAGGATTGAATGACATTTCTTCTCTTTGTTATCGAAGGTATTGTTTCATTTTCTCCAACTCATGTTTATCTGCTTGATCCTCATCCTCTTGATCTTCCCTTATTTCTCCCAATGACAATAAAGTGTCCTTTTTGAGTTCCTAAGAAGTCTACTCCTCCACTCCCCCCTGTTAGGCTTGCTCATCCATGGGCAAAGGGGACTGGATCTCCTTTTGATCTTTGCTCATATATTTATGAAACTCTGATTGATTAATACCCATCTCATCCAAATCAACAGATCCTTCTGAAGATTCATACTCAGATCCAAGTTCAGCTTTGAGTCTCTCCTTTTCAACTCGTTTCTATTCAATCTTGTCAAATATTTTTATTTTTTTTAGTCTTTCCTAATGTTTTCGAACCTCATCTGATTTGACTACATGATCAATTAACTAATCTAATCATTCCTATTACCTTCATTAGTGCTGGTTACAATCCAGGATACACATTTTGCTATAAATATTCAATGGCGACTAAATCTCTCTTTGTATTAGGTATCATTGAATTACAAATTAATTATATCAAATACTTTTATAGTTAAATAACTCAAGCAATTATATCACTTTATTGAATGACTAACTCAATCTTATGTTCTGTAGATTCTTTTTCATCTTCATCTTCCATGTGAATTTAGTTATTTAATTTCTAAAATTTCTCATGTTTTTACTCATAACTGTAAAGATTACTAAATAAGTTCATAAAAACAATAGACATACCCTCCCAATCTCTTCATAATGTAAAGTCCTAAGAAGATCAGACCTTTTAATGTAATAACAACAATGAAAATGTAAAACAATATCTCCAGCCATGAATGCTCATCCTCCTCCTTTTATTCTTCCTCAACAGTATCATTATCTTTATCCTCTTCAGCAATCTTATCCTCTTTCACTTCAGCAACCTCTTCCTCATCCTCTTCCTCTTTTATACTTGATTTCAACAGACTTGGTAACCTAATATTTTTAACAACTGGCTGATTTTATTGACCTGTTTAATCATCAGAAGTATTTATGACCTACAATTTGAAATAATCCAAAGTGCAATTTGCGGATACAACAGAGATCTCTTATTAATCCAAATCAAAGAGAATATCCTTTTTCCTCATCCAATTTTACCCCAAAATAACCCTATCTGATAATCTTTCTACACCTATGCAAACCTAATTCTCTTGAATATTCAGATATTCCTATGGTTTCCAATATATTTCGACATCATCATCGAAAATAAATTTTATCGTAGGGAAATACGAATATTAATCTAAAACATCCTGAGTGAATTTAAAACAAACCTATGATTAAAGTATAGTTGTTATTGGAGCTTTATTTAATTCAAAATGATCTTTGATGGACTACACTAATTATGAATATATCTCACGATCCATGTAAGAAATAGTAGCTCCGGAATCAATAAATGTACCTTGACCTCCAGTGTAAATCTTATTATTAACAGTGAAGGTTTGATCTCCAAAAGCTATTTTGGTTAGGTTTACTTAGTATTGCTAGGTAGGTTTGAATTTGATTTTATTTATTTTGAAATCTGGATCTTGTCTCAATAAATCATATCCACCAACACTGATGTAACCATAATCATCGTTTAAGCAAATAGAGAATCTTCTCTTTAAAGATAATGCCTTATCTTTTTTGGCTATGAAATCTATTAAACTTGGAGGATATTAAGAATGATTATTAATGGGTGCAAGTCCGAATATACCATCTGCCATCTATTGATATAATTATCCAGTCTCAAATTAAGTGCATCCAAGAATTGATTCAAAGGATTCTTACTCAATATATCGATCATCTAACTAAATCAATCCATCTCCTATTAAAACCTTGTCCTTAAAATAAAATCCTGCAATTGAGCTCCCCTCTACATAATAAGAAGCGAAATTGCATCTATCATTTTCAAATGAGGAACAATTGAAATCTATCCTTAAATCAGAGCTATTGTAATTTTTCTCATTGAATGAGTATGGAGGATTTTAATGTTGTCCACATTGATGGCATTGATTGCAGTTGATTGTTGTTGCTTAACTACCAGTATCTACAATTACACTGTGCTTTGTCATATTCTCACCAATATAAATGTTCATATAATAATAACCCAAGGTTGAATTACCATATAATATTGCTATATGAGGGTTATCGACTGCCTATTATATTCATAAATTTACTCTATTTTCATGATTAATTTCTTAATTGCATTTTTGAAGGTCAATTAATAAGCATAAACACAGGATAATTATCATTATAATTAATATTTATAACAAAAGCTTGTATTTAGTATTTATTTATTACAAATATGGACAGCTGGATGAATGAGCAGGTGCAAACAATAAATATAAAAATTTAATTATATAAAACATAGGTGTTCATTTTATGATTTATAAAACTAATGGAATTCTAATTTGTAATAAATATTTAAAATTAAAATTGGCATGTTGTAAAGAAAGATTATAGTACCATCCAGAAGGAAACCACAAACAGAATCTTAACCAATTGATGATTTTTATTTTGAAAGCAGTATCGAGACAGTAGATGTCGATGAGATAACATCTTTGTTAGCTAAAAGACTTAAATTTGAAAATGGCGAAGATACATCGAATGAATCACTCAAAACTAAGAAATGCTGTTTTAGTGACGAAAAGTTTGTCACTTGCAAACAAGGATTGGAAATACTTTCTAAATAATCATAGATATCCTTGATACCTAAGGAAAAGCACTGTGCCAAATATATTAATTAATTGATTAGTGGAGAAAAGAGAATCATACAACTAAAGAACATAGCAGAGTTTAAAAAGATAACAACTGGTGAGATCAATTATATGGAATTTTATGCATATCCTGATGTTACAAATCCAAGGAAATTGAAGAAAAAGAGGAGGAATACCTAAATAACAAAGAAGATTCACAAATTATGAATATTTAAATTGAAAATAGTCATTATACATTTACTAATTTGCTAATATGTTTTAATTGTTATTATATTCACAATCATTGTTTATTCGAATTAATAAATCACCTTTGAAGGGACATAAATATCTCATAATGTCTGGAAAGGATTGCTCAAAGAGAAAGTTATTGGAAATAATTTATTGAATTAATTTTATAATTAATAAACTTCAAGATGAGTTATAAGCCAATATCTAACGATTAGCACCCCTTGGACATAGGAGATGAAGATGGAGAATTAGATATTGTAGTCAAGAGATAGGAAAAGCCTAGGCATAGTTAAAAAACATTATTAATCTGGATTGTCATTGTCACTTTTCTTGGTGCCATTCTAATATACATTGCTTAGAGTGATTCAACAGGCAATTAATAAATTAAAAATGGCAAAAACAAAGTTTTAAATTTCACAAAAGTGAATAAAACAAGTAATACGTGTTTTAATTTAAAGTTATTCCTGATAAAAATGAAAAAACAATGGACTACTAGGGAGATTAAGTTAAAGTTGAAGATAAGGTAAAGGTAGTAAAGATGAAGAATGATTCATAAACAAATTCAGAAATTAAAAATGATACATAGAATATCTCAACTAATGACGAAGATGAAGAAGAAGAGAGTTAAGGTGAAGAAAATAGCATAGATTTTGAAGGTAAATAAATAAAGAGCCATAAATTTAGAATTATAAAAATAAACAGATTAATTAAATAATGAAATTAAAGAATATTTCAAACACAAGAATGAGACAGAGAATGAACAGACAGTCCAAGAAGGTTCTAGGGATCCGAGATATAGTGAAATATTATGTGAAAGTGGTTATTACATGAATAGAGAGGAAAAGATATGCAAGAAATGTGAAGACAGATGTGCTGAGTGTATGCATATCATTGGAACTTGTTACAAGTGTTAAAGTGAAGTATCAATTAATCATATTAAGAGTTCTACTTAAACAATTATGGGAAATGCATTTAAAAATGTGAAGGAAAACATGATTCAAGTAATCTATTATTATCAGATGATAATAAAAATTAAAGCATTCCCATTTGTTTAGGCAACAATCACACCTCTTCACTCTTTATGGCAGTTCAAAAGTCTAAAAACACTCATTTTGTATTGCCTTACTTGATCATTCATCCAGCAACTACTGTTTCATTAATGTATCATAACAATTACCCTCTTGTTTATTATTTCAATAAGGACATCTTCAATTTTGAGGAGGAGATGAAATTGACTGACATTATCACTTAAGCTCAAGAAAAATAATTGATTGTTATTATAATCGCATCTCATACTTTGTATGATTTCTCTTTGTTCAATACCTTTTTATTTTAAGAGGCTGTATAAAATATCGAACATTTGGTCAAAGCAAAAAGTTCAACCTTCAGATCCTTTTTCGGTCAAGATTACAACGCATACGGAGTGGTCAGAGAATATTAATCGTAGTACAAAAACAATTCAGTCGATTTGGTGATCTCAGATGACCCTGTAGAAATAGATCAGTAAGTTATTATTAATTATCATCATTAGTGAATACTTGGAATCTAATTTATTGGTGACTCATGAACAACATTATACTGACTATAATTTTGAATCATTATAAGGAGCTTAATCATCGAAGACAACTGTGATTTTGTTATTCCACACAAAAAATGAATAAGATCAGAAGGATTACTGTTCAAGATTTCTGTATGTCTCTTTCTTGCAATGTGCAGTAAGAGAAATTCAAATAGATCACACCCAAAGAATGAGATAAGGATTTGAATTAATTTCATAATTTGTTGTATAACCAGATTTATGATGAATGTTTTATTCTTTTATATTTATGTACCATTATATCAAGGGAACAATCTAACAGGGTCTCTTGGGAACATACATGCATTTCTGATATTCTTTAGATTGAAATACAAAAATGCTACTCTTTCTAACCCAAAGGCACATCCACCGTGAGGATAAGCACCATATCTAAAATGATTAGTTTCATCTTATATACCTGAATGAGTCAATGTAATCCTTCAATGGTTCAACAGCAATTCCTTTCTCTTTAATTTGTTTAATTAAGAGTTCTGGGTCATGCACTCTCTAAGCTCCTGAAACGATTTCCTCTCCTCTCATGAAAAAGTCATAGGATAAAGTGTAGTTGGGATCATCATGACAAGGCATAGTATAAAATGGTCTAGCCTTCTTTGGATATCTGTGAAGAATGTAAAAGTCAGTTCCATATTTTTCTCTGACCAATTTTCCAAGAGTCTTCTCATTGACAGTATCTAAATCATCATGGGGGTCTTGGTTGACACCTGCTTCATGTAACATCTTGACACCTTCCTCGAAAGTGAGTTTGAGTACTGGTTCTGGTATTTTGAATGGTTCAAATGGGAATTATTGAGAAATGATTTCTATTTCCTTTTAGTATCTCTTTTCAATTCCCTTGAACATATATATACACAAATCTCCCATTAAATCTAATAATTCAGTAAAGTGTTCCTTGATAACCATTTCAATATCCATACTAATGAATTCACATTAATGTCTGTGTGTGTTTGAATTCTCAGCTCTGAATACAGGGGCTACTTCGAAGACTCTGTCATAGTCAGCCATCAAACACATTTATTTATATAATTGAGGAGATTATGCTAAGCAAGCATCTTAGTTGAAATATTTCAACTTAAATACGTTGGTACCACCTTCAGAAGTTCCTCCAATCAATTTTGGTGTATGGATTTCAATGAATCCATTTTCTACCAAAAATTCTCTGAACAACAATCCAATACCTGATTGCACTCTGAAAATAGCTTATTTAGCAGGAGTTCTGAGATCAATAACTCTGTTATCCAATCTTGTTTTCAACATGACTTATATCTGTTATTTTTCAGTTTTATCCTATTTTTCTTACTTTTATTAAACTTCTTCTTATTTTTATTGAGGTTCTTCTTATTTCTATTCTTAAACTCCATCTTCGAAATCTGTGATTCTTCTTGAGGCATCTTCAATTTAAAATGGTAACATAGGTAAGGACCTGGTGACTACCTTGATTGATCTCACTTCCAATTCCACTTTTTGGGTGCAAGATAAGATCTCCTTATTTGGCTATTTCACAAGTGCTTCAATATCAACTACAGATTCAAGGGGAATTCCTGACATATACTTTAACATTTGGGCACTTGCAAACTCACCCTTTTCAGCCACTACTTAAATTGTATTATAATTCTCTCTTAAAACCAAGAAAGCCAACTTTCCCTTGACTCTTGAATTGTGGATTCTGGCCCTAACCAAAATTACTTGATTCACCAAAGTTTAGTCGATATCACCGACTTTGATCCATTTTCTCTGTGTTCTTTCTTGTGATTGAATCAAACTCAAATCTCCATACCTTCCAACACAATTATCCTCCTCTTGTACTACCTATTACTATTGTTATTATTGCTATTGCTTTTGACCTATGTTTAGATTCATCAATTAATACCTTATTGGTGCTCCTACTTCTTCTAAGCCTTCTCTGCTTCCTTTTTTTCTCTTTGTAATTATTTCTTTGACTTTTACTCTCCTTCTGCGCCCTACTCTGGAGGTTGAACTGGTTAATCTGACATCTTAAAAATTTTATTCTTTTATTAAAAGATAAATCGAAATTAAATCGGCCTGATTAATGTATTGAAAAGTCTTAGTTGTCTAATAATCATATATATATATATAATAATTATTATTTTATATAACATAATGAGTATTGATCCCTACTAATGGCCCTTTCCTAAACGCACTGATCTCATGAATTTGCAAACAATCAGTAACCCAAATTATTATAACAAGTTCATTAGAAAATTCAAAGCAAATCCTCACTCCCAGAGAAACATCCTATAATCATGACATTGAAGGATCAGTTGCCAAAAAATGCAATTATTATCATAAAGAAGATTTTATCAACAAAAACGAAGACATAGAAGGCGCAAGATCCAAGTCGAATATACGTCCATCCCACAGACCTGATCTACAGTTAGCTTTAGATGACATCAAAGGCACAAGACCAAATATTGTTAAATTCCAAACTTCGCGTCAACCTCTAAATCCTCTCGAACCTTAATATAAACTCCCCACTTTCATGGCCTCTCAACCAGATCCACCCAAGTTTATCAGAGATGCTCATAACATTTATGACATCCAAGGAGCTCAACCCAAATAAACTCATAAAAAACTCATAATCAAAGAATCAGAACACGAAGACATCTATGGATCTCATCAAATCCCGAGATTTCAGCCTAAAAGTACAGATTACCATTATTTTCTCATAGATAAAATCGACTCTCTCTATGTAAAAGATATAAACGATTATTTATTGCATAAAACTACCAGAATTTCCAATCCACTTGAACCTACATACGAACATTACGATGAAAAAGGGTAATCGCTTTTTATATATTCTAGAAATAAAATTATTATAGGAAATATTGAGGGCAGCCAAAGTAAACCACTCTATCTGAAGGATCAAAGACAAAGTCTCCTGATTTAAGATATTGATGGCACTCAACCTGGATCTTTGTCATCTCGATTCTTAAGGACTGGAGATAGGAAAGATTATCGTGAAACCAATAGTCTTGCTGATTTGTTAGCTGCAAAATCAGGCTCATTGAAAAAAGGATTGCCTAATGTTCGATACACAAATCCCTTGAATCCTTAGTATTAAATCCCTGGATAGAAAGAAATATATGGATCTGTTTTCACTTAAACCGCCTAAACTCATTTTACTAAAGCTGAACAATTAGATTAATTCATAAAGAAAAAGTGATACAAATTAAAATGTATAATATTATACTTAAATCATTTAAATATTCACTGCCTTTATTATATTGTAAATCTTTCTATGCTAAATTTTGATTAATTTATTTATTATAAATCTATCCAAATTATGTAATTCATAGTTTTTTTAAATTTTAAATTAAAGTATCATTATAATTAAAGATAAAATTGCCATATAAAGTATATTAATCTATTTTTAATATTTTATTTATTTTGGAATAAATAAATTAGAGTCTTTAAATTATTTTGCATAAATATCAATAAAATATTGTATATATAGTTAATATAGAAATAAATAACAAAATTTAGTTTCATAATAATGCTCCCAATTTGGGGGATTTGGATATAAATTACTATTGAAGCCTCTTTCTTTACTCTTGTATTTATCTACTTTTTTATTCCAATTGGCTTAATTTAAACTCTGATTAAATCAGCAATTCTTGTAAATTATTGTAATAACTCTATTATTTTTCATTCAAAAATTCTGCATCATCCTTATCCATTTGCTATTAAATTGGAGAAGGAGTTCCAAAATCAGCTTGTACTTTACTTTTGGTGCTATGCTTATTTTTACTAGTTTGATCTCCGTCACGAATAATCCGTGTTGGTGTAAGGTTTCTTTATTATGGCATATTTGCATTTAAATGTTTAGTTGGAGTCAAATTTTAACGTATGTTTGATGGTATTTATTAGGGAGTAATTGAGTATGGGTTTTAAGAATACACAATTATATTAGGACTTAAAGGAGTTTTATTATTCACAATTTTGATGGGGGATGTGTTCAAAGCAGTTGGATCAATATTTTATTAAACTTTTCTGGTGGATTGTAATTAAGGATGATTTTCAAATGTCGTAGTAATAATAGATTATTGAATTTATGATGGAACTCTTATGGTTGGCTAGAGTACTCTCTAGTGTAATGATTTATCTTACTTATGAATATTAAAACATATTGTATTTAACAGATAAATTAATGAATAGAATGTTGTAAATGAAAATATATATATTTCAATACGTTTAACTATTTTAGTAACTGCATCTGCAATGAATCAATCCATACTAAGTTTATTATCAGCCTTTCATATAAAACTGGTGCATTTTCTAATTGCTAAAGATAATTTGGGATGTTGCGAATACAGATTAGCTCTTGAATATGAGTATATCGAAGGCTTCATATCTGTCACTTACACCTTTAATTTAATTGAATCTTCCTTTGATAGTACATCTGATAGTTGCACAATAATTAAGAACACTACTTAATTTAATTGTTTTTTAGTTGGAATAATGATCTCCTTGAAACCTGTTAAATTTCAGCTCCTTTTGGGATATTTTTTCATACCTTTGTCTTCATATTAGGTGTTATAAATTCTTTTAAAGGGTGTTTTCATTTATGTATTAGAATATTTTAATATGCATTTATAATTTTCACTATTTATTAATACTCAACTATTATTACAAATTGGAAAGCTAAAACTCAGGCTTATAATCAATTGGGACTTCAATGGGTTTATATTATTTTGCTGATATTTTAAAGCCTTGTTATTTGATTTAGACTTCCACTTTCTCTTCGCTTTTTTTCAATAAAACAAGTGGTTCAGGATTATTCTTTGCCAACTCAGGAAACAATTCAGGATGATAACTGTATGGTGGTGGAGGATAATGAGTTCTATTTGGATTTTCTCTTGGAACAACATCAACATAAAATGTTTTCTTAAACTTATAAGGATCTCTTCTGAAATGCACGATACCCTTTATAATTAGTTATGACAGCAGCATACCTCAACTTTAGAGTGAATAGTGTGATCTTTTCCCACTGAAGTATTCTATCCTGGCTTCCATCTAAAACCTCTTTGTCTGATTAAAATATCATTTGGAAACACTTCCTCTCCTCCAAATTTCTTTACTCCCAATCTTCTTCCTGCAGAATCTTTAGTTTTTTAGGTTGAACTGGCTTGCATCTTTGTGGCAAATCCGTAGTAGATGCTTTCTGATAAGGATTTGAAATAATTCTAAGCAAATGCCTTAATCATAATATTTATGTTAATTATTGAATAAAAATAAGTTTAAATATTATGAATTAAATTAAATTTATATGATTCCAATTCTATGAGCTCATAAATATATAATAATTACAAAGCTTTAATCAATAAATGATTCACCGTCACTTCTCAACATTAATGAATAGAGGTCTTCTATTTTTAATAGATGTTCCTCCTCAAACTCCCACTTCTGCTTCTGGGTTATGTTTAAATATTTGCTAAAATAGATTATTGGTATTTACAATGAATGTTTTTCTGTAATATGCTTGAATTTTAAGAATTATTTTTTGAGACAGTATAATTTCCTACGTGTGTCTTAATATTTTTAATCACATTTTAATATTGCAAATCATTTATTGAACAAATCGAGTTGTGCTTCATTTGATAGCCTTTGTTATATTCCTATTAATGATTAATTGACTAATGCAATGAATGATTTTGGTGATTCTATTCAAATTGCAAAATATTGAAATAGTTTTAATTCAAAGACCCTTAAGATTAAGTTGGATAGTCAGTGCTTTCTTAGAATTGACTGCTGAGTTTATGTTAAGAGTGAGAAATCATCTTATTTATTTCTTTATCATTTGGCTTTCTTTAAATCATCCCTTTTATTTATTGCGTATTTCTGGGTTGTTGCTAAACCTTATAGTCGAAATGATCAAGTTCAATGGTTCTCTTTTATTGTTCGAACTCCAGCAATTAAATTTTTTCTTTGTAAGATACTATTTCAGCTTACAAAAATTGATTTTCTTCATAATACTTTTGATTCTCTCTTTTCAAATTCTAACATATATTATATGAATTCAATATACATTCATCATCATTTTTGTGGTTTCTAATAACTCACTTCTTGTTGCTTCACTGTCTTCTAATTTTTATTAAATAGATTCAGCTTGTAATTTCAATTATTGTTCTAACTAAGTTCAAATCATATTTACTTCATACCCTAATGTGATTCCTTATCTCGCTCTCTTATTTGATGATTGATTACTCCAATTTTTCATATTCATCCTCTACTCTTATACTTTATGATGACGTAATTGGATCTATGCTGTTTTCTAATTTCCTTTCATATATTTGAATTCTTACCTGATTTTCCTCTCGATTTTTAGCATTAGATTAGTGAAGATGATTTTTATAATGTTTACTAATTAAGACTAATCTTCATAATCTTTTAGCTCTTATTCAACTTCGTTTAAATCATTTTTATTCTCAATGTATTTCTCCAGTTAGATCAAAATCCTCTCTAATAAATCCTTAAGAGATGACTCAATTTCCCTATCAGAATAAGCTATCAAGCTGGTTTAACTCATTAACAGTTAATTTATTTATTAAATACTTATTTAAATGTTATTCAATATTAATATTTATGTCCTCTGATTTATAGGGGACTGTCAAATAAAATAATCTTTATTTGTTAAATCAAAATTTCCATCAATAACTTTTTCAAATTAATAAATTATTAAAAATAAACAAATTTAAATTCATATCAACCTTTCATTCACAAAATAACTTCTTGTGTTCCTTAAAAAATTGTCATCAAATAAAATTGATGCCAAGGGAACAGAAAATATAAATTTCGTCAATAGTTTATAATTTCTCAATTAAATTATCTAATCAAGCTTTAGTAAAATTAACCCATTTAATACTGAAATGCATAAACAAATTACCATTATAATCTAAATCATATAATATTGATATCTTACATTATAATTTATTTCTAAAGAACTATTATAAGAAGTTAAATCTTCAATAAATTTATCTATTAAGTACGATAAGCCATAACTCAAAATGGAAATTCCTTCTAACTCTAAAATCGGGTAATTTGATCTAATCGTAAAATTAGTCTATTCAAATTCAGTCTTTATCTGATTTTTTATATCGATCAATGCAGATGAAATTCCTTTTTGTAATACTCCATTGAGAGTAGTGTTACAAATATTTAAAGATTCATCAATAGCCTAAGTTAAATGATAAGCAAAATTACTTATAGTTCAACGCATAAATTTCCATTACTAAACCTATCCATTAGACTAAGAAAATCCGAATCAAAGAAATAACTATTGGATTAAAATAACCATTATTGATCAATATACTCTTCCAACCCTGCCAATCCTTCTTATGAGATTTTATAAAATTTTTCCAAATCCGTAGAATTTAAAAAGGGTAAAGCTACTTTATAATACAGAACTTCTCTCGATTAATATAAACTTAACAAATTCACATTTAAGGTAGCAAACACTTCATATAGTTATCCAGTCCTTTTTATTTTTGTGTATGAACCAGAGATTTTAACAGTGAAAATGATGAATACCAACGCCAAAATAGCAAAATGGGTTAATGTAAGTAAAATCCCTTTTGGATTATAATATTAAGCGACTACAGTATGCTTCTTAAATTATTATCTGGAATGTTGAGTGCATATAGTCTTAATTTTTCCAAAATACTCATCTTTATCTTAAAAATTTAGTTTGTAATTTTGAATTTAAGAGTAATTCCTATCAATCAACTCTTATAATAAAGATAATCTTTGTATTTCTAAATTTACGTAATTTTAATCCTAATTCAAAAGTAAGAGCTTGAGCTTTTCTTTTTATATTTAAAATAGTATATTCGAAAATGTTATAATTAACTAGATCAAAATAAAGAAGAAAAGGAAAACAAAAAATATTACTAAGATTTTCTACTAAGAATCATCTTACCTTTATTGAGAGGTCTCAAAGGCTATTTAATTAGCATCTGTAAATGCCTTCAATAAGTTAGGCAAATTCTTGTAACTATAATAAAAGTACGAACTTCCATAATCCGCTGCTCCATTTTCAATGTAAGCATTTTAAGTATCAAATTGATAATTCAATAGAGTAATCAAACTATTCCGAAGATCAAGCTCATTTATTTCCCCAATATTTCCATTATGTAAAAATTCCAAATTTAAATGTTAATCATGATAAAGGGTAAAAAAAAGAGGTTCAGATAAGATTGTTGAGATTCTCTCTTTTAATTTGTCATAACTTCCAATTAGCTTGGATTTTGGATAAATTAATAATTCCAAATATTACTATTAAGTTACTAGCTTATAATAGAGTTCGACATTATAATTCACAATAGACAAACGTATAAGCTGAAAAGACAAAATTGGATAAAATATATCGTTTTTCATGCTTAATAATTTGAAATCCTCTTCGAAATGATGAAACAAATCTATTTAGTATAAAAACTAGGAATATAATAAAAAGAATTACCAAGCTAAATCCAACTAAGGAAATAATAATTAAGAATAGTCTGAAATATATCATTCTCCTAAAAATCTAAGGGACTTTATATGATTTTGCAACATCATTCACTAAACTAAATTATCGATAATATATGGATTTTTGCATAGCTGAAATAACAGATTATTGAGAAGATACGCCTTCAGTTTTAAGCTTCTAATTTCTTTGTTTTTTCTTAGTTGTATTAACATCCAATTCCTAACTTATATTATACTCTTCGTCAATATTTTTCATCATCACCAATTATTCATCCTATTAAATATCCGATTAAATCAAATTTTAATATGCTAATTCAGATTTTTATATGAATTATTAACTATATAACTTTTCATCGTGCAAACTCTCTTCTAGCAAAAGCGGTTTATCAACTACAATTGATTCATCAATAGGAGTAATAGAAATGATATTTTCTGATTGCTTAAATTAAGAAATATAAGTATCTCCATTATTGTAACTGCGTTTTGGATTTTTTATTATAAGTTCATAATAAAATGAACCAAAGTCATTTCCTTTTTAAGAAATCAATAACTCACACTGATAGCATATCAAAGATTACTAATTATTCCATAAGGATTGAACTTTAAGTGGCTATTATTTGGTTAAATAGGATGAATGTATTTTATTTGGGTCTACAAAATAAAAGGTTTATTGGCTATAAATTTAATCCTATTTTAACTAGTCAATATTCTCAAAAATAATTTTCACATCCAAGCCTATAAAGTATTGAGAGAAAACTCCGTCAATTTTTAATACATCACTAAAAAGGTCTTCATCAATATTAATGATTTTTTTTGTATCATCGAGGAAAATAGTATAAGAATTATCCTTTTTTTTTCTGAAAAATACAACCATCTCAATAGAAGTTAGATTTAATTAACTCAAATCCATTAACAAATCTATCTTCTTACACAAACACGAAGATACTTAAATATAAGATTCATTAATTTATTGATAAAATTTATTTTGCTGTCCTGCAATAAAATTTTCAATCAATCTCATATGAGAAAGCTAAATATAATTAGGTATCATATCTTAAAAGTTGAAAATTTCTAATTTATCAAATCTGTCGAATTGATTATATTTACATTTAAGAATTTTAATGTTTTCCTTGTTGTTTATTTGAATTAACATACTGGAAAATTCAGTCGTCAAAAATTCATTATTGAATTTAAAATTGATTTCTTCATTACTATTATTAGATGAATTTTGATTTGACGAAGAAATCATATCATTTAAAATTTCCATATAGTAGAACATTAGAATATTTTGTTATTTCTAATCTATAAAATAAAAAGATATAATACCTGATGTTTTTTTAAAGCAAACCTTTAATTTTTATAAGCCGACTATCTGATGTTAGATTGACTGATATGCTAGTTTCTCGAGGTTTTGTTTGGTCGAATTAGAGTTTACTTTCTCCAAATAATTGATTTTATATTGTACTACTTGATTTAGAATATTTTTAATTTAAAAACATTGACTTTCTTATTCCAAGTATTCTTTAATGGCAGCATGATTTTTTTATGATTCACTCAATGTAGTATTCTTTTAGTTTTGTAATTATTATGCGATATCTAATCTCATCAAATCTTAAGCCACTTTTAGTACTACAATTTTATGTAGCTAATCTATTTTGAATACTTTCTTGTTGATGGTGTAATTGTTGGACATTAAAATTTAATTTTGAAAATTTATCCTATTAGATTTTTGAAATATTATTTGGAAGTACTGGTAGACAAGAAGGTATTGCTTCTGAAAAAATAAAAGTTGTAAATAACTAAAGACTACTTGATTTGAGGTGCAAGTAAATGACATTGTCGAAATCTATCTTTCATATAGAGATAAAAGTTCCTTAAAGTAGATTTCGTGAGAGATTTACTAAAAATTCTGTGATATCAATCGTTTTTTGCATGTACACTCAATATCGTAACACTCTTTAGTGTGTTTTTAGAGAAACAACAAATAAATTATCTACTAATTAAAACTGCTCTTCTATCTGGTGATATTGTATATGATTTAAAATAGAACCAAATTGCAATCTTCAATACTGGAATTCTAGAAATTTATAAAATGTTTTTATATATCCATTTTAATTTAATTTTGGAAATAACAAAATGGTAAAATATGCAGAAGCATCCAAATTTCTTAAAATTTATATTAAGGAAATAGTTCGTGCAGTAGGTATTGCAAGCACAATGTTATTTCTATTAGATTAATAGCCAAAATTACTCGATAATAATGTCCATAGATTAATTGTTTTTGTTTTTACATTTAATATATTTATATTATTGATGATATTATAGGTAGGAGTAATGATGTAATTAAAAACAATTTGTCATCTTGAATATATAACATAAAGGATAGTTAGAGAAATTTGATTCCTATCCGACAATAAGTTAGATTGGATTCATTGATCATCATGTGTTCTCTTTAAAAGTCCAAGGCCCAATTATATGAAAACATGTTCGTAAAGAAGACAATTAAAGTAGATATTCCTAAAATGACTACTAAATTTAAGGACACAAGCACAACATCATTAATGTTTTGTTTGATCGTCTAAAAGCATATGTCCAACAAGATGTATCCAAATGCGTATTTGATTATATTGATTGAGACATTTACAAATATAAAAAGTACCTTTATATAAATGTTAGTGTTAAAGGCTATTTATAAATCAATGACTAAATTTTATGATCTACCTTTCACTATAAAAATGAAGCAAATGCAACAAAGCACAAGTATACATAAAAATGTCAAGGGAATATAAGAGAGTAGGGTCGAATTTTGTATTAATGTATTGGGTCTAGATACTATTGTAATTAACTCCATTTCAGATGCTGTACTGAATAGCTTTTTAGTAGACAATATATTAATATAAGCAATATTTTGTAGTTCATTCATGACTCCCAAAGTGAAATTTATGATCAAAGGCAAACTCCAAATGAATTATTCTAAAATTAGAGAGCCTTGAACGAATAGAGTAATTTAGTTGATTATTAATTCCATTCACACTTTAATTAATTAATTATATTTTCAATTGAGTAATTGATTGAACAGATATAGTTATTTAAAATATGAATTATATAATCTAAATTTGTTTTAATATTTTTGAGATATTCAATATTTTATTGGACATTGTGTAATAACTAAAATCTAAATTAAAATATGGGTAATTGTTGGCATCATACAACAACATAAATTTTCATTAATTAATCATGTTAAACAACAAATAAAATTAATATCAATATAGTATCATTCATTAAGTTTTTTGTGAAGATACTGATACATCTATCTTCTCCTTAAGTTGCTTAACTTTCTTCATTACAGGATCTGAGTCTGTGAACTTTTTACCTATGTTATCAATGGCCTATTCACACATTTCTTTCGCCTCTAAAAACTTTCCTTAATTTAATAAAATCGAAGCAATGTTGTTTTAGGTAGAACCAATCAAATGACTTTCATAGTCTTCCTATCATAAAACAATGAAAAATTACATGCAATTATATCTTTAAAACCTAATAAAAGACTTCCAGAGATTTTTCTAAGTTTTTTAATTTATAATATGTGCTGGCTAAGTACATTTTAGTATAAATTAATTTTTTCGGATCACATTTATCCTTAATTTCTTCTTTTAAAATATTCGAGTCCTAAAAGGATTAGAGAGCCTCCTATAACAAATTCTTGATTCTCTAATAATCTCCCAGTTGATCATAACACAGAGATTCTAATAAAATTATTCTGGCATTATAATTAACTAGCTTTTCAGCTTTAATTAATTCCAAACAATGCATAAGTGTCTTTATGGCTGAATCCACATCTGATTTTGATTTCTGAATCTGTGCTTATTTTTAATATAAATAGACCATGTCAATTATTGGACAGCCCACTTTTTATTTCAGTTCAATGAATCTCGTAATAGATTATAAGGATTGCTATTGTAAAAGTAAGGATTCATCAGTCGGATTTTTATCTTCAAAAATAGTAGACAAAGTATCAATTTCAATTATATTTTATTCATACTCCTTTTTACATAACTCAAATTTGCCTTATATTTAATCCAATCCAATTTGTTATGGGTACTATTTATTTGCATAGGATATGAATATCTATTCTGCCTTTTGATGATTATTTTAATTAGTATAGTATTGAAATAATATATCTAATAGTTTAAAATTATTCTTTTCGTAATTCCAAATTTGCTCAACAAACCATATATTAACTTATTCATTTTTTTCAATATCTATTTTCTTTTGTTCCTTAGAATATTTAATAAAATAAATGATACATAGAATTGCTTGAGTTCCTCTTTGGATATTTAATTTTCGTAGAGCAATATATCAATAATTATTTATACTTAATCAATTTCTTGGATCTCATTAACATTTGTTTTTAAATATTTCAATGCAAAAAGGTATTGTTATCTAAGAGATTAAGGTATTTTCATTTGAGATAGTCTCTTGACATACTTCAAAACTTCAAGACATTGCTTTTGCTCCACATGATATAAGGCAAGAGTTACAATTCTAAACAGAATAATATTGAAATTACATCTTGCTTTATAGATCTGGATAGGGTAATGTTGCATCTACTAAATTAAGAAGAATCTGATATTGAGTTGAATTCTTGATCTTTTGATTTTCTTTGAAATGTTCTTAATAGATGTCTTTTTGATTTTTAGGCCAAGAAATTGTTAAGGTCCTTCCTGTTTGGAGAATTTCATATAATTTAGGAAGCATTTCCAACAAAGTTTCCTTACTTTTTAGGATTTTTACATCAATTTCAAGAACCATTTTATTAAATAATAATAATTGTAAAAATATTGAAATAGGTATTAAAAATATTATATAAATAGAGAATTAATTAACTTGATAATCTCATTTGAACATTTTAAATTAGAATTAACTATCCTAGAACTTCTTATAAGATAAACATATCTTTCCACTTTATTTAAACTTACTATTATAGAGATGCCAATTTGTTTTATAATGCTATCTAAATTATTGATTAGTATCAAACGAGATCAAACATTAAGTACACTTAAATTGTTTAATCATATCACTTATTGCATTTTCTCTTTGTTATTACTATTAAATTTATTTTAATTGATTCTACTCATCCTCTTCAACTTACTTTTTCATATGTTACTATTATTGAATTTATTGCTTTTTTTATTGCTTATTTTTTTTGAGGCTTTTATCTTTTTACTTTTAATATTATTCATCATCAGATTCCTCTGAGTCAGAGATTTACAATTATTGTAATCTCTATTACAACTCAACTTGGGCTATGTTATCAATTCCATCAATTTATTATTTAATTGCTGCTTCAATTACCTCTAAAGTGCTTTTAAATTATTTTTCATTAACTCTATTTGACAAAGTTCTAAATAATTTAGGATCAATCATAAAAATGAATTTATTGTTCTATTGATCAATATCATAGAGTCCTAGTTCTTCTAACATCATATGCACCAATTCCATTTATTCATCAATAAATGAGATGGATACTTTCATTGGAGCTCTTTGAATGAAAAAACTCTCCTTAAGTTTTTTAATGCATTGCAAAGCCTATAATTTAACAGGCTTATCAGTCTTGACAACAAATTACACCTTCGAAATCGCATACTCAATTGATTATTGTGTAAGTTGTCTACCAGATATGGCATGGATACATTTTTCCTATATGAATTTGACTATGTCCCTATAATAATGCTCCAATTAGGCTTCTCTTTCCTTATCTCCTACTTGAAGGTCTCCCTTTTGCAAGATTATTTTAATAATCTGATCCTTATTATTTGTTTAAAAGCAATTTAATAACTCTTTTCCTGATGCAACGTCTCCTTTTGTGGCATTTGTGAATACCTCATAGACTTAGAGAACATCACTAATTATATTGTGAGTTTATACTTTAAATCTTTCTCAACACCATTTCTCCAATTTATAGCTTTATTTTTATAGCAGGCTATTTCGAATTTTTAGTTGTTGTTAGTACGATATTTAATGATTGCAATATTAGTCATTTATACAATCCCCACAGGTTGTGTTACTCTCATTTATAAAAGAATATAATTTATTAATTAAATATTAACGAGTTTTTATTCTTTAATGCTTCGTAGGAATAGTTCCACCAGAGAAACGTCATTAATCAACTCACTTGAATAAAAATCATTTCTAAATCTAGCAGGAAAACTCAATGGCTCAGAGTTCCCAGCCAAAACCACTTTTGGATTAAAAAATAAGGAAAATAAGGAAAACACTACGGCCCGAATGTTTTCATTAACTCCTACTCAAGAGAATCTCTTTTCAAGACCTGCAATCAAGAATGATACTAATAACCAAAATAATTCAAAAAAAGAATCAACATCCAAGAATTACATGTACTTAAACATGGAAGAGTAAAACCAAAGAGTATTCACAAAAAGTACATAGTTATTTTCTAAAACCCCCATATATAATTAATCAATACCAACAGAAAGATTCGAGAGTGCATAGACAGTTACGAGCTCTTTGAATTTTACAAAAAAACCATTATTCAACTCCTCCAATGAATTACCTGGAATATCTATTCAAAGTGTAAAAGAACTAGAGTTCAACTCGTGCAAAAAACAACAAAGCAGCATTCCAACCTCTTATTTGGACAATGCAATTACATAACGAAATAATAAAACCTAGGATCAAAAAGAGAATACAACTACACGAGTCTCAATTGATCATAATACAAGCAATCTGCCAAAAATATATTACATTTCATCTATTATCAAAGCATTCAAACAAAAGGGGTCCAATTCTGCCAAAGAGCATCTCATTCATAATATGCAAGTATTGTATCATCATTTAAACAAAGGGTATCATTATTGGGAAGAAAGTTAAAGTTACCCCCGTGAAGTAGAGTATAATTCTACCGACTGTCAATAAGAAAACCTTATTGTTTGATCTAGATGAAACTCTTGTGCATTGTAATTCTAGTATTTCAGTTCCTGGAGATATATTATTAAACATTAATCATGACGGTGAAACTATGGAAGTATCAAGTTCTTTAATTTTTAGGCTTCCTTAAATGTCAGACCATACACTTCTCATTTATTATAATAATTAAGCAGGCATTTTGAATTGATTATATTCACTGCCTCGCAATCTTATTATGCGAATGCAGTTATTGATTACTTGGATCCTGATAAAAAATTGATATCCCATAGATTTTATAGAGAGCATTGTATTCCAACTGAAGATGGACATTTTATCAAAGATCTGCGTATTTTTAAAACAAGAAAATTAAGTGACATGCTGTTAATCGATAATGCTCCTCATTCTTATTTGTATTAAATATAAAATGGAGTTCCCATTATTCCATATATTGATAATAAATAGGATGAAGTAAATATCTATTTAAAATGTAGGAATTGAAATCTCTACTATAATACTTGATGCAATTCAAAAATGTCAAAGATGTTAGAGAATTTAATATGCAATACTTAAAAATTCCACGATTTTCAGAGTACGATGACCCCTAAAAGCTATTGAAATGTGAATTTGCTGATTACCTAGAATAAGCTGTTATATGATGATTAAATTACTACATATTTTCATTTTATATTACAAGATTTCAAATGACAAAAATCTGAAGTCAAGATATCGAATGTTCTCTTCTGACTCTCAGTAAAGTATTCTCAAAATTAATTAGATATTTTATGTCTAAAAATAGAAAATTCAAATATATTCGTTTTAGATCTTTTCCAACAGTTCTAAACATTCTACTTGAGAAGTAGGGATGAACTCTTTTGATAAATTGGAAATTTTTGGAGAAGGAACGAAAAGGGATTCTAAATCAAATAAGAGTTATTCATACAAAATATTCAAAGATAATATAAACATTTTATGATGAATTTCACAAATCGTCATCTTTATTAATATTACGATTTAATTATGAATATTAAGGATATTTAGTTATTATGAGTTCGATTATTTTCTATATTATAAAATTACGTCATGAAGAAAATCCTTCTGATAAGTCTTGTTATCGTATTGTCATATTAGACAGTAGAGTATAACACATTTGACGAACCGTTTGCAAAACACTTGTTTTACTTAACATCAGCAAGTTATTGCAGCGAACAACACATTAGGAATTGGAACTGCGGCAAACCATGCAAAGAACTCAAACCAATCACTGATATTACAATGTTCATTAATGCAACAAATGAGAATGCAGGATACGGTGCATATCATCCTGAAACTGATGAAATCTATTTAGTTTTCCGAGGAACCTTGCCATGGAGTATCACTAATTGGATCGAGGATATTGACTTCATTAAGACCGATTATCCTTATTGTCCCAACAATTGTTAAGTTCATAGGTATTTTTAAAGTGTATTTCTATAATTTTAGAGGTTTCTATTATTCTTTCCTGGGAATTTAAGATTAAGTTTTGACCACCTTGAAATCATTAACCAAGAAGTATCCCCTCGCCAAGATAACCATTACTGGCCATAGTTTGGGAGGAGCTTTGGCTCACCACGCTCTGGTGTATTTGGCAACGGTATTATTTTATATATATGTCAGAGAGGATTTACTATTAGCAAATTCTATACTTTTGGATCCCCAAGAGTTGGTGACAAGAACTTCTTTACTTACGTTAACTAACAACTATTCCCAGGACCCAAATATAGAGTCACTCATAACCACGACCCAGTTCCTCATCTTCCAGCACTCATTTAAGGATTCCATCATGTGAACCAAGAAGCTTATTATAAGGACTTTTTGTTGGTCATCCACAAGAAGTAATAAATTAATAGATTTTAGAGTTTAATTATGTAATGACAGTCTCAAAGAAGATGACAGTTGCTCTAATGCTAATTTAGTCGATTTATCTGTATCTGATCATGCCAATTACATGGGTTACGACATGACATTAGAATTACTCACTTGTTAGTGATTTAATTTAAATTTTATAGAATAAATTAAAAATGTAATAATCTGATCCAAATCAAACATAAAATTGGGCTGTTACTACACAATCATTTGAAGTCACAACAACACACTAATAGTACCCCTAGCAACAATTCATCCCGAATCAATAGCCTAATTACACTTAGCAAAATTAATAATATGGACAATAGCCTTAGCAAGTTACTTATGGACAGGTAAGTCATTTGTATACCTTTTAAGCCAATTGTTAGCAATGTGTATGCTCAACCAGTTCAAGTTGGAACGCCCTACTTATAAACCGTGATTGGAAAGTATTATTAATAATTATTCAGCCAATTTAATGCTCCTCCTTCGTTTAATGCTAATGGTGCACCTTATCCTATTTAAATTATATGTCCAGTCTGCAAAACCCAAGGCATTACAAATGTAACAACTGAGATTGGAGCAGGAACCTACATGGTTTCATGCTTATTATTTCTATGTACTGGGTATAAAATTAATTAATACTCAAAAGAATATTATGTTGTTGGGTTCCTTGTGTCATGCCTGATTGCCAAGACAAAATTCATAGATGTTCATCATGTCAAGCAGAAGTTGGAATAAGATAGTATGATATATGTTGAACTTAATATATAATTTATCCACAATATGATAGTTTCCACTCAATTATATCAGATATATATAAATAATTATTTAGGGGTTATTTGTTAGAGTCGGAAGATAAGATCTTCTTATAAATTGTGATTTATTATAGTAATTTTAATAGTTTTTCAGTATTTTTGCGAAAAAGCAGAATGAGCAAAATTGGAGATCTCCATTCTTGAATTTTCGGTGTTTATCTTAGATATCTTGGCGGATTGAATTTACTTATTATCCCATTCCAATTTCCGTTTGATTAATTATTCACTAACTTAAATATTTAAATCTCTTTAATCAAATACTTCCTCTTATTGTTTACAATTCTGCAATTATTCAATTAAACTTTGTTCTACTTCTCTTAATTATTGGACCTATTTGCTCAAATTAAATTCAATGTTTTTTATTGATAATTCATGCTAAATAATAGTCTGTAGTCCTGAATTCAATTTATCTATTTATGAATGATAGTAATCTTAATATTAATATAAATAGATATACTTTCCTTTTAATTCACACTTTGTAATTGATGTTTCAACTTTTCAACATATTGCTCAGCCTCTCTTAATTTTAAATCAACTATAAATTCTTTCTCTTGTAAACATTTCTCTCTAATCTTCAATTTATTTTTTTCAATTTCAAATGTGTTTTACTATTCCTCTAATTATTTTTTGCTATTCAATAACTATTATTCCCTCTCCTTCATCTTCTCTTCTTATAAGAGTACTTTCTCCTTAAAATTATGTTCCTGTTCTCCCAAAATGTTAAGCTTCTCCTTAATTTATGTTGTCAGAAGTCTCATTTCTTTTTCTCCTTTATTTAATTTCTTAATATAAACACAAATTTACATTAGCCCTCTCTTCAATTGATTTATGTTCTTCTTCCATTGCTTACTTTGTTCTATCAAGTTCTTCGCATTTCCATTTGTATTTTTCTTTTATTCTTATCAATTCTAATTAATTTGGATCGCTTGTCACAATATCAGGAACACTCAATTAATATTAGGTAGCAAATCTCACTCCTAATTTCTTATCTTAAGTGACATCAGGATTTGTTTATCTTTGACTTAAAAATGATGATTTATGCAAGCATTGTGCCAGTGATTTCCTCATATTATTTAACAGATCAACAAATTAAAATATAAATAATGAAACATAAATGAAACCCTTATTCTGTAACTTAAATGAGAATTGAATGTGGTAACACAAAGAAAGAAAGTAAAATTGTTAAAAATAGTGAGTAAGATTGGAAACATTGGTAGTTTGAATGAATATATAAATATTTTCTAAAAAAACAATATAGGAATTTAATTAAGAAAAATGAAATTTTTAGTTGCTTTGTTATAAGCCTATAAGGTGAGACAACCAAATAAATGTTAAATAATTATGTAAACATAAATTCAATTATTTCATTGTTTATATTTTTTAACATCTATTGAGATCAATTTAGCTGGCACAATCCCTAATCTAGAAGGTACTTACACAGCAGGACTCTCTTCTGATTGGATTCTGTCTAATTTTGGTTCTTCCATTTTGTGTACTAATTAGTTAATTTCATTAATGGTTCCAATGATTAATTGATGAGCAGCTAATTTTTCAGTTCCTGATAGACTTCTAAGTCTTTAAATATGAGATTATGGAATTGATTCTTTAGTCAGTTTACTCTTACCCACAAATTTCAAAGAGTCTTTTTACCTTTCAAGAGAATTCCCTTTTTTGAATTCAGAGAATCTTGGCTATTTAAATTGTGGAGTTTTTAAACTTTATTTTAAATCATTTTCTAAGTTTCTATTTCTTGAATTCAATCCAAAAGTCAAGCTATTTGATCCTTTTTTGACAATTTTTGGGGATTGAATCAAAATATTATTCTTCATTTATTTCGGTGGATTTAGTTATAAGCTTTCGTAAACGATAGCTTAATTAGATCTTGATTGTTTTTAGGTCGATATTGATTTTTCTCTTGATGCCTATTCTGTTAGTTGTTATTTTAATTTTTTTTATTTTGCTTTGATCCACACATAAGAATTTGATGGATATGTAAAAGGTTTCACATTATCTAAGCTCTATTAATTCAAATTTGTTCTAGCAGATATGGGCTTAAACTCTTTTCTATAAATCATTTGGTACTACTCAACGAATGATGTGAAATCTTCTCTTTGGCTTTCTTGATGATCCTATTCAATGAAAAGTTGATAAAGCATAGGTTCAGTTAAATGAAAGCATGTAGAGTAGGAAGTATCAACATTGAAGAGATGTACTAAAAATTGTTATATTTTGTAATTTTCTTAATTAAGCATATATAATTAATTTATTCCTCATAATGTCCAATAATAGTAATCAAAGTCAGATTGAATCATATTGCAATTCTAATCGTGATCTTTGAGTCTGTATTATTTGGAATTAGATCTTTAATTTACTTCTGAGAAATCAATAAATTCTTAATATTAAAATTCATTATTTTTCTTTTTAAGATAATGTCTTCAACCGAATTAATCAACACTAATGAATCAAGAGACTCTCAAACCTTACCCATAAAACCAATACTGAAATCATCTTAACAGAAAATAAATCAAGCCTTCCCAAGATTGGATTGGGCTGGAAATGAAATAATGAAAGGAGGATCTCATAAAATTGCATTTGCTAGTTAATAGACCACGCCGAGAACTTTCATGGACATTCTATCAGAAGAACAATATAATTAGGACAATTAAGTTGATGAAGATTATAATGAAATGTTGAACTGTTAAAAAGTTTAGAACAAGACTAAACTACAACCAGAACTAAGCGAATAGTCTAATTGCTGTTTTATTTATTGACTTTATTATTGTGTTGAGTTATTATTATATCGAATATCAATTAAACGAAAGTTGACTCGATCCAAATTCTATACAAATGCACATTTCAGGGGAAGTTCTTCAATTTTAAGCGTTTTATTTCCTTTTTTACAATAATTCAATATAATTCGAACAAATAAACCGAAATATTTATATAATATTTATTATCCTATTTAATATGAGATCCTCATAATTGAAAAATACCATATTTTATAATAAATTCAATTATAATGATTTTGATAATTATATTATTCATGAATTAACTATTTGCATAAGAGATATAGTTTCTTTTCATTCAACTCATTTTACTAGTCAATTTTAGAAAAGAAAATTTCATCAAAAAATAAATTCATATTCCTCTCTCCTTCATTCTTAAACTTATATTGAAATTTTTCTATTTAATAGCATATTGGATTTCTATGAGTCTTTACGGTGTTCAATATATCCTAAAATTTTAATATCTCAAATGTTAACTTCGAAAAAGTATTCACTTTTTTTTTCTTAGAAATGTGAAGCATCTTAAACAATTCTCTGTTCAAATTATTTCCAATTTACAATATGTGATTTTTTATGCTATTCATCAAATATTTTAGAGGCGAAAATAACATCCTTACTGCCAACATCGAAACTACTGTGATTATAACTATTGATGCCAAGTGTTCAAGACAAATTCTATATACGACGTCTACTAGTCCTAATTACAGTAAATCCATTTGCTCATTGACTTGTTGCTACATAGTAAAATTTGTATATCTATATTATCATCAACAATATTATTACAATAAAATAGTAAAATTCTCGTTTTTCAATTGTGTTGTAAATAAAATAATTGTAGAGTTGTACAACTTATCATATAGACAGTAAACATTTTCAAAATCATTGCAATTTTTTAGATTACTCTTATTCTTTGACAGTTCTTGCATAAACTCCCAGTCACTTTAATTAAAACCGGTTAATGATTAGTTATAAATATAATTAATATTTTTGGAGTCATATTCAAAGTCAGCTGCATTCAATACCAACTAACCTTCTTTGTTTATTATTAAAGCATTATAAGGAAGATCTTAAATGGCTGAATCAATTAATTATATCAATTATTAGGCTATCCCAATACTTTCCTTCTATGAATTCTATAGAGTGTAAGTTAATGAAATAGCATAGGTTTTAAGATGCACAACCAAAAAGGCAGGAGAATAGAAAAAACTACTCTTAGGGTTTAACTTCATTTATTATACGTGATTCGTGTACCATAATCTTTTCTTTGGTTAATAACCTTTGACTGAGTAGGCTAAGGGATAAGCAGAGTAGAACTGAGTGTCTGACAGATCTGCATACGACAATACAGATTCTAATGTTACTGGAAAACTGATGGTGAACTAATTCAAAATTTATGTTGTTTAATTAAAAATCTCTATGGTTTAATCGTCTTAAGGTAATGTAAAATGATCGCTCGATCCACAAGCTTAATAGCAAAATTAGGCTGCAGAATAACGAATGTAATTGTCATTGACATCATCTTAATAAAGACAAGACTCCAAATTATCCATTTTCTTCAGCTTTAGCTCAATATCAGAATAATATTGAAATAATTTATTTATGTTATTCAATCTATAGATGTCTAATAATAAAACTATTTGCTACATTGTTCGTGTTTTCTAATAAAGTATTGTTTGATTGATTAGCCAAGGTTTTAAATCGAATTATTTTCTTGTCGAATAAAAATTATAGATGATGAGGCTTATATCATTTTAAACAACACTATATTCTAAATAAGAAAGGCAATCCCAATAAATATAGTTGAAATCAGCATTATTGCAGTTATCCCAAAAATAATTTAATTTTCCATTTTTTATTTCCTCAAACAATTACGGAAGCACATTATTTTAATTATCTTATGTTTTCGGCAAACTTATTAAATAAATTATTTGTTATTATATGGGAGTTAATATAAAAATAGTACTGTAATAATAGTCTAATTTTATTTTAATCATGATTACTAGAAATACCACTATATTTCGAATTCATTTAAGTATTAAAAGAAGCTTTATTTGCATCATTAATTTATTTTTTTTTTTTTATGTCAAAATCAAACTTATGAAAATTAACTTAAAATTATTATAAATTAATAATGAAACTTGATATCAAAACAGAAATTCCTTTTAGATAATTCTTAGTATAAATTACAATAATACCTAAATGCGTTAGCCTCAGTTTCCTTTTGACTATATTTTGTTAATTAAAATTTCTTTTCCTTAAGGACTTTTGTTTACCTATCTAATAATGGTATAAGTTGGTATGTCAAAGAAGAATATAAATCTAAGATTGTTTAAGTACCTTATTTTCAAAGAAAACTTAAATATTTCTAAATTAAAATGATTAATTATATTAATGAGACTGTAATAAAATTAAATTATTTGCTTTACATTGAATAAAAAAAGTGAAAGACTCTATTTAAATTTATCCCTATTGAATCACCTCTGTCTCTATGCTATGGATTAGCAATTCAAAGTAATTTCGAATCTCTATTTGCTAAGTAAATTCCTTAAAACTTTTTAATGTAAATCAATGTAATAAACTATCTTGATTAAATTTTCCTTTTAGATTAATAAGTATGAATCGCCTTTGATATCTTTAAACTTGAAAAATAAGTGGTTTCCCTATATTTTATTAGACTTCTGATCTATTTTTGTTAAAACCAGTATAAATAATTCGAATCAAGCCAGTAAATTTATGAAGGAACTTTCTTTAGCTTAAATACTTCACCTTTTAGTAGACTTATATGTTATTTTTTCATTATTTTATATATCAGTTTCTGGCTAACTTTGCTATTATAATGAAATTCCACACATAGAATCATTCCTTATAAGAGAATATACCAATTTGGAAAAATTAGGTTATAAAGAGCTTATAGAGATATAGAAGCGAAAGTTTCTAGAATTTTGACATATTTTTAATTAAAATATTTTTCAGAAACTACATTTGAGTTATTATTAGTTATTTACGTCATAGTCCAAATTATGTTTGATAGAGATCTAGAAGTTTAGAGACTGGATACACTTATTGTTTTTCTTAATTTTACCAATTTTTCTGCTAAAGCTTCTCAATAAAAAAGTTAGTTCTAACCATTAGTGAATAAGAATGATCGTTTTTTATTGTTAAAGATTTAAAAGAAATTTTAACTTTTCAGCTTTCACGATTATAATTATTGAATATCCATATAAAAATTTGAAAAATTGTTGAAGAATTTATTTTAAATAATATTTATTTTACTACCGAATTTTCATTGTTCCTGAGTTTGAGCTTAAGTTGTCTACAGTTATTGCTTTACCAAAATACTTGCTAGTTACTGAATACTAGTTTTCTTTGATTCTCTTCGTTTCGCAACTTCATTTAAAATTTACGCTTTATCAAGCTTCTTTAACCCTGATAGTGAATTGTCTAAATTACATTTAATAAATACCCTCCTATTTTTTTTTAATTTATGCCTATTCTTACTATTATTGTTATTATTATTATTATTATTGTTATGATTATTAACTTTGCTGCTATTGTTCTAGCTTTTTCTTTTTTTCTAATTCTTTTTACTCTGCCAATTTGATTTTATTAATATTTTACTTTGCTTATCTTAATACTGTTTTGTACTTGTAAAATTTTTCAAAAAATTTATCAAAAGGAACTTTGGCTTCAGCATAAAAATTAGAAAGATCATCATATTATGATTCAAGTTGCTTTAATAAGGTCTCATATTCAGCTAATTAAGTCATAACTTATTAATAAAAATCCTATAGTTTTTCTTCTACTAAATCTTGTATCGGAGGAGATACCTTTGATTTGATAGCCTTATCAACTGTCCTAGAATTCTTTTTTAACTCATTCAAATCTGCACCCAACTAAGACAAAGGAGTTTTAGCTAAAAATTGAACTCAATGATGTACCAGCTAATTCTATTTCGTCTATGTTTTCATCAACAATCACTAATTCTTATTTTAAATCTTCCTCGGCTTTCTGTATAATAAACATCAATAAGCTGCTTTTGTTGTCTGTGGTTTTAACATCAGCTAACTTTTCCATCATATCAAATTTAAATCCATATGCACCTCCTCTAGCAGATTAACCATTCATATAATTTCCAGCCGCTAATGCATATTCCATTATAACTTTTGTACTCTTATCATTTCTAGTTTTCTCAATCAATTTTTAAAAGCCAACCATTTTCTATTGTAAATCTTCTGTTAATTCCTTGTAATTAAATTTAAATTTCAATGATAATAATCTAAATTATATTGAATTAGTTACCTAAAATCATAGCCCTTTACTGAGCTAATATTTATACAAAAAATATCTGGTATTGCTAAATTTGATTGATCTTGATCCTGCCACAATCCTGTCTCTGTCTCGTTTGGCATTGCTGTAATCAAGGATTCTACTACATTTGGTTTTAAGACAGTTTCATCAAGTCTTTAAAATAAATTTAATAAATTTACTGGTAGAGACTATCAACTATTACTTGATTTGACATTTTAAGTTTGCCTAAAACAATTTCTAAATTTTTCACTCTTTCAGGACCCAGCATTGAAATTTTAGCTGGCTTCTAAGGTTGATTGGCTCCACCTTAAGCGTTTGCATTACTTTATGTTGGCTTGACTGCAAAGAGATTCTCAATAATAGTAAAATCCATTTTTAATTTAGTATCATCTATCTATTCCCATACAGTATTTTTAATTTATTCTGGCTTAATAACTGTCCAGCAAACTTATTTTAATTAGACATTAGGTTTATGTTTTTATTTTCCAGCTGATGCACCAAATTAAGGATCTGGGCCACCAGGAGGTCGTGGACCTGGAGGTAGTGGAGGAGCTCCTCCAGGAGGAGGTGGAGGTCCTGGTGGTCTTGGCCCTCCAGGTGGAGGAGGAGGAGGTGGTGCTGATCCTGTCTTAGCACCAGGTGGAGGAGGAGGAGGAGGTGGTGGTGGGCCTGTTTTTGATCCTGGAGGAGGTGGTGGCGGAGGAGGAGGAGGAGCTCCTTTACCCCCTGGAGGTGGAGGAGGTGGCGGTGGTGGTGGAGCACTTTTACCTCCTGGAGGAGGAGGAGGAGGAGGTGGTGGTGGAGGACGGGGTAAAGTTTTTGAACCGCCAGGAGGAGGAGGCGGAGGTGGAGGCGGTGGTACAAATGCATTACTAGATTGAACAGAATTTTGTATGTTTTATTGTTAAGTAAGTAATTTTTATTCTAAATTTTCCTTTTCTTTTTATAATTATTGCAGCTTATCTTGCAGAGCTTAAGTATTGATTGACTGTTCTAAGGAAATAATTTATTAATTATATACTTTTATTTTCTTCTTCAATTTGATTAATTTTTAACTCAGACACTTTTTAGCTTTCTCTTACTTCATCAAGTTTTGATATATCTTTTTTTTATTATTCTAAAAGGATGGCTTATTCTTCTATAATATTATTTAATCTTATAAGCTCGTCTTGATATTACTCAATAGTTTTGAGCTCACTTTAAATTTTTGTAGCTTGGGTTTTAACATAATTTACAGATTAAACTTTTTCTCTCAATTATTGTAATTATAATTTTTTAGCATATTTCTTTTTTATCAATTTTTCATTCGTTGCTTATAGCTCTCTACACTCCTTATTCTTTTCTGTCAATAGAATCTCTTTTGCTTGGAGATTTTCACTTTGTTCTTTCAATAATTATTAAAATTCTATTATCAAATTAGATAAAATTACTTTTAATTTCATTTTCTTAAGTGATGAATTTTTGATTTTATTAATGTAACTCTTATTTGAGCGAGTCTAGTTGTTGTTTAAACTCTTCAGAGTTATCTTATTTATGAGAAAGCCTTTGAGGGGGTGCTTCTAATTCCATTTTTTAAGCTTTGGCCAATTGCATGATATTCAGTTTTTCCTTTAATTGATAAACCTCATTTTCTAGTTGTTAGATAGATTTTTTTTATGATTCATTTTCTTATTAAAGTGCTCTATAATCTTTATTTTTAGAAGCCAATTACTCATTTAGTTGGGATTAGTTAGTTTAATCTAATTTCTATTTTTTTTCTAAATCACCAATCTTCCTCTATAAAACATCAACAAAGGCTTCGTTTGACTATTTTTTAGTATTCATATCTTTAATTTCATTTTCTAAACTTGCAATTTTTTCATGCAAGTCTTCTACCTATTATTTCATTACTTCTAATTATTAACTCTCTGTATTTTCATTATCTTTTTAAGTCGGTATATTGAGTTTATCAATGTATTTCGAAATACCTTCTGCAAATTCAGTAACAATTTGACTCCCTCTAATTTTGGATTCATGTTTAATATTTTCAACTGTTCTTTATAGATTTGTTAAATTCGCTTTTCCCATTTCATCTTAAATTAAATTTAGATATTGAGGTGTAAGGAAAGTAGATTTTAAATGTTTTGCATGCTATTTTACTTCCTATTTTTTTGGTTCTTGTTATTATTAAATAGGCACGTCTTTATTATTCTCCAAAAATGCCTCAATTTGTCCTTCAATAATTTTAATTGAATTTGAAAACTCTCCAATATCATAGCACTTTCTGGATTCTCTTTGATAGAGCATTGGCAGTTTAATTTCTTCAGTGTAATTTGGATCAGTTTGTATTTAGTGTTTTTACTTATTGCTATCAATTATCTATTACAAAACGACTTCAAATCTTAATTCATCAGCTTTGTATTCAAATTCTTCTATTTTATTAGTGATCATTCTATAAACATCAGCCATTCCAGATGCTATAAATTATTAACGCATTCTTTTTCTTTCTTCTTCCTAGGTTGGAGATTCAGTTAAAGTCACTATAAATACGCATATTGTTGCAATCATGACAGCATTTCTACTCTTTTTTAAGGTATTCACAAAGAAGATGATTTCGCTCTCTTCATACAATTTATTCAAACTTTTAAGTACCCAATTGTATCCTTCATCTGTATGCCAACATAAATGAGATGCAATTTCTAATACTGTTGTTGTTAATTCAACATGAAATGGATGTAGATTTTTCAAGATGATATCCATAGAATCTGGGATATGTAGCATTTATTATTAGATTTTTTCTATTTTCACTAAAATTTCAAGAATGTTAAGGATTTAGACCTAATATAGATAACAAGGAGGCTTCTTTTTCTCAATTACTTATTGAGCTTGCTGGTGAAATTTAAATAAGTTTTCTATAAGTAAATTGATTATGGTGTGAAATTGTTCCAATTAATCTTATTAGTCTTGAATCTATAGGTTTTTGAGATACCTTCTCAATTATTCTAGATCCTAAAGTGTTGGATTAGATAACTTTTAAGTGAAGTAGGTCACTTCATCATTTGGTACATTTTATAATAAATTCTTCCCTGTGATATTTTTATATTCATTCAGAATTAAGCATTTAAAGTCTAACTTATATTATGTGATTTTACTTTAAGGAGTGCTTTAGAACTGTTAGAGAAGCTTTGGCTCCACTTTCAACTCTTTAATCAGTGCGGTAAGCTATTGATCAAAATCCTTTGGTATTGTATTTTTTTAAGCCATTAATTTCTTTTGATCCAACATGAATCTCATTGTTAATTAGGACTCCTTTATCTAAGCATCAATGGATATTGGAGATATCAATTTCCCATTTGAAATTGCATTCCCCATCAAATTAAAATTAAAATTAATAATTCTGAAGTCTCAACGTAGAATATTAATTAGGAAAGAGAGATTAATTAAATATATAATTGATTGATCAAATATTTTAGATGATTGCAATGATAAATTATTTGGATTGATCTTAAATATAAAAATAACTATATTTATAGAACAATGAATATTGAATGCAAACAAATAATTCAAGAATGATTATGAATAATTGTTTTAAGACCATCCTGATTCAAATACAGCTATACAATTGAATCCAGCCTTATTGCATGTTAGAATGTATGTAAAATGAAGTAAAAGAGTTCATAATGATTGGTATCGATTAATTAGCTAAGGCAGAGTTTAATGGTTTGCCTCATGATACAGAAGTTCCTTAAAAAAATGGAGATCAAAAGATTCACATCCTTATCTATTTCTGATTTACAAATACTCTTTAATGAAACAAGTAGTAACTTTATTTATTTAGATTCTACAGATTCAACAGTAACAGAACGTTATTATGAAACCTATTTACCCCTTGTAGATGCATAAGATCAAAGTTGTAAAAGCAAAGCAAAACATATTTTAACTTTGACATGATTCTGTTTATCAAGTAATTCACAACATATTCATTAATAGATTAAATCCTTGGATAGTCGATACTACTATAGAATATTAGATCCAATGCTCCATCTTTATCTCATTTATGATTAATATAATTATTAAAATAAATGAATAAAAGTAAAACCTAAAATTTCCATCTTTATGAACCATAGCGTGCTCTATAAGGTCACAAAGCACAGATTTATGTAGCTAAGTTCAACTTTGATGGATAATATTTATTAACTGGTTCTTAGGATAGATCTATTATATTATGGAATCCATATAAGGAAACATAACTAAAATAATATTTTGGGGCACATAATTATGAAGTATAAGACCTAGATATTCTATAAGATAATTCTAAATTTGCATCTTGTGGAGGAGATAAAATTGCTTTTTTGTGGGATGTGGCAACAGGCCAGGTGATTAAAAAATTTGGACCTCATAGTACTAGAATAAATTGTATTGGAATAGGAGGAGAATAATCTATTTTAGCTACAGGAGGATATGATTGTGAAGTGAAAATATGGGATTTAAAAGATAAAAAGCAAAATTAGCCAATACAAAGAATCAAAAACTTTTAAGATAGTGTAACCTAAATTTCCTTCTTTAATCATAATATGGTAGTTTCCTCAGTTGATGGACATATTAGGTATTATTACATTATTTTTTATAAAAGAACTTTCGATCTAAGAAAAGGAATAATTTAAGAAGACTTTGTTAAGGCAGGAATCTTTAAATTTAGTTCTAGTTTCGATGATAGATTATTTGCATTAAGTTGCAATGATTCTATAATTAGAATTTTAGAAAAGAGTTCTGGGACAATCTTAGCTGCTCTCTAAGGTAGCCATATCAGTAATTAGTATTCAATTAATTGCGAGTTTTCTTGGAATGATGGGATGTTATTAACAGGCTCTGAAGATGGAAAATTGTGTATTATTTGTTAATATAATAGTAATTTATGATATCCTCACAGGAAAATGTCAGATAACAAGAAAACTTCATGATAAATGCTTAAGTTCTATAACCTTGAGTAGGTAATAAAATGCCTTTGTTACAGCATCATATGACAATGTTGCATTATTGTGGATGGAATAAAATTGAGAGAATATGTATGATAACTAAAGTTTATAGCAAAAATAGTCTATTATATATATTTGTTTCAAGTTATTTATTAATGATAATATTATTTTTGAATAGGGTTTTGGTAAATCAATATTTGATACATAATAAGAAACTTATTTATGGAGTTGAGTATTTTAAGTTTAAGATTGAGTAAGAAATAATGAAGAAATACTAGTTATTTCATAGTCAGTTTTAATTTCTAATAACTGGATTAAACATACATAATTTATTTATTATTAATTATGGAAATTTTTCAATATTTGCTGCTATAAAAGAATTGATGTGAAAACTAATGTACTATTAATAAAAAAACATGATAATCATTTTTTCTAAGTATTCTTGACTTTTGGTTATGCTTAAGTTCCTGCTCTGAAACCATTCTTTGCTCTTCTAGCTATAGATTTCAAATATCTCATTCTTCCTGTTCCTGTTGATCTACGTCTAGCAACTTTTTCTCCCCATCCGCTGTCTATTATTGTATTAATTGATTTTCTTACAAAGTCTTAATCTTGCAGCTGGATATCCACATGAAGCACATCTATTTTTTTGAATGTGGAATGTTTATCTACCACATCTCTTGCAAAATGTATGAGTCTTTTAGTGTCTTTTACCGATTGCGGGTGTACCTCTTGCCATTTATTTATTTAATAAAAGATTTAATTTATTTTTTTAATCAAAAATATCATGCAAACAAAGAAAATATTAATGATATCCATTACTTCCTTCGTAAATGTAGATTCACTTTCATCTCTCAGTTTCATATATAACATACATTTTATAATAATAAAACAAGGTCTAAATATCATATGTTATTTCTAAACCAATTGGTATTTCATTCCATCTCAAAAATTATAACTAATTTATTCCTTTTTGAGCAACATGGCTATTTATTTAAATTATAGTATAAAGGAAATTCGATGAACTAGAACTAAGTGTCTTGAACTATAAGAATTTGATGATTTATATAGTTGAACTTTAAATGCTATTTATAAAAATAAATTAATTTAGACACACAAATAATAGATAACTTAAAATAGTAGAGAGCCTTCATAAGAATAATAGAATAATCATGAAAACAATTATAAGATAAGTTACAGTCATTTAGCAAAATCAAGTTAATTTACATGTCCAATCTCAATAGATTTAATGAAATTAAATGGTAGATAACCCTAATTTCTTAATTGATGAAATTAGATTAAAAATAAATCCAATTTTATAAATACCTAAAATAATCCCTAGGCTCATTATAGCAAATACATTTATATATTAGCAATTCTAACTGTATCAGGTATGAATTCATAATACAATAATAAGAAAATTAAATTTCATAACGATAATAATTATTAATTCAAAATCCTGTTTGTAAATCAACTAATATTAATAAATATTGGATATTGATTACATCTTTGGGTTATATAATCCAAAATTCCATTTTAGTTATATTATTTTTCTTTTTATTCAAATATTTATTTTAGTTTCATAATTTATATTTAAAAGAGAAAATGAGTTTATAAACTAGATCTATGGAAAGAACATCAGCCGGAGAAAAATAATAAACGTGGCACTAAAATAGAATTTTTATAGAAGAAATGAATACTTTAATTGGTTCAGCATTAGTTGAAGAATTTAGGAATGATAATGAAAATGATATTAACCCAAATATTATTATTGGAAATGGAGATAATTTGCCCAGAGGAGCAACCAAACTAATTAATGCAGCAGATCCAAAAGAATTAGGTCAAGTTGTATTAGATTGTGATATTGTAATATTTCATCAGAATTATTGCAGAGCAGAATATGCATACAAACTATTAAAGCATGGGTAATACTAATAGTCTAAGATCTTTATTTTAATAAGCAATCCTTTGACTTGGTCGACTACTCCATTAAAAGAAAGAAAAAATGATGAAACTGCTATGAGGTAATCAATGGGAGGAGAAACAGAAGATTAACCATTTTTTAAAAAGTATGATAAATTCACTGAAAATGATCTCCCAATAAGGAAAATTCATTATTTGGAAAGATTAAAGAATTTAGAGCAATAAATCATTGTCTGTGATAAACCTCAATTGCATGCATACATAATAACACCAGGGTTAATATATGGAAATGGAGAGGACATTTTATATGATTTATTTAAAACTGCATGGATGACACCAGATGCAGAATTGCCAATTTATGGAGATGGAAACAATATTATACCAATGATTCATGTGAATGATTTAGCCAATATAGTGAATAAAACAGTCACATTAACACCTAATGAGAGGTATATTTTTGCAGTTGATTATGAAAATATGACTTAAAAGAAACTGGTTACTACAATTGCTAAATCTGTAGGAAATGGTTTTACAAAGAATGTTACAACACCTATTGAAAAAATGCTAACCATAAATATTTGGCTTAGACCTACCTAAGTATTTGAGTCTGAAGATCAATATATAGATGCTAAGAAAAACCCTATAATAATATGGCAATGCAAAGAAGGATTTGCAAAAAATATTTTAAAAATTAGGGATTAATTTAAACTCTATAGAGGTTTAGATACTGTTAAATTAATCGTGCATGGAGGAACAGCCTCAGGAAAATCAAATCTTTGCAAATAATTGGCTAATTTTTATAGAATTCCTCATATATAGATTAAACCCTTAATTTAGGAATTGATTGAATAATAATCTGAATTAGGGGAATTAGTAAGGACCACTTTATAATAAGTAAAAGATTAATTGGTTGCAGAAGCATTAGCTATTTTTGAAGCTGAGAAGAAAAAGAAAAAGGTTCCTAAAGGTTAACCAGAACCTGTATTTGATCCAAGTGGCATATAACCAAGACTTCCTGACTCAGTCTTGATATAAATTTATAAGTGGAGATTGGACTAAAATGATGCCTAAAATTTAGGTTATGTTTTAGATGGTTTTCCTAAAACATTAGAATAATATGAAAAACTATTCATAAATGAGGAAGGCTAATTAATTGAATCGATTAAACCAAAAGGTGCGATTTATTTGGAATACTCAGATGAACAATTGAAAGAAAAAGCGAAGTAACATAATGATAATCCCAGATATTAAGAGGATCTGGTGGTCAAAAGATTGGCTAATTTTAGAAAGAATAATGAATAATTATTGGCACAATATGAGTAGTTTGATATCAAGAGAATTTCAGATTAAGAAAGTGCTTTTGACTAATCTAAAGATTTCATTACTAGAAATGGACCAATTTTGGTGTTACAAGATGTAAAAGATGAAGAAGTAGTATAAGTGGATGAATAATAAGATGATATTTCACCCTCTCCTTAAATTTCATCAGTTCAACAAGAGAAGGTTGCTGCTGTGTAATAATCCTAAGTACAACAATCTTAAGTAGGACCTAAAAAGAAAGGAGATTAACTCAATGTAATAAATTCATTTAATTTAGAAATCAATAAATGAAAGTAGATTATCCAAAGATAATAAAAAGTTAACAGATGAGTAAAAGTAAGACCTTATTAGACAATAAGAAAGAGAACTCTTAGATTAAAGAAGCTAACCTCTAAGACAATATTTGGCTGATAATGTAGTTCCTTTCTTAACAGAAGGTTTAATAAATATATGCGAAAAGCATCCTGAAAATCCATTATAATTTTTAGCTGATTTTTTGGAATAAAAAGGAAATGAATTATAGGCATTAGGGCAGTGAATTTATTTTATAAAAACAATTTAATAACATTATAATACAATAATAGATGTGATAAATCCTTGAAAGATTTTTATAATATTAAATTTTGTATTTTCTATACCATTTTCTTAAGTGGAAGAACAAAATATTAAATTTAGTATTTTCAATAATAGAAGAATTATTCTAGTTTTTAACTTAATCCTTATCTTTTCTTATAGTAATTCTAGTTGCCAATAGGGTAATGAATTATATTATCTAATTGTTAATCATAATATCAGTTTCATATTTCCACTTTGTAACCTTTTTTCTAATTTTGTAATTAAATGTTGAGCAAACTTATGGCTAACACCATTATAGTCGATTAACTCAAATATGATATGATTTGTAATTGGCCCGTTCAAATTCTTTTTGATTTATATTAAAAAAATTTTAATTTTTTCTTCATGACCTACAGAGAATTAGTCCCTACAGTTGAAGATCATAACGCTGGACATGTAATCGGATTTATAATCGGTAAGCTATATTATGATTAAAGGGTTGTTATATATGTTTGCTTTTGTATATTACATTTATAAGAAGTATTTGTCAAATTTGTTTGAAGACTTTATGAGTTTGTTAGATGTAAGTAAATATGAAAATAGTTAAAATTATAGGATAAAGAATATGAAGAAACATATAGACCTATACTATATAGTTTACTAAACTCAATGCAATATTTGATTTTATGTTTTTATTCAACATTTAGCAGTAAGTCTGATTTGGGGGTATCAGTAATTATTGGATCAGATGCCTTTAGTATATTATTCATTTTTGGTTTAATTCTAATTAAATTTCCTAATTCGCATCATGGAGTCTTGGACACATGGACGACATTAAGAGATTGTGTTATTTATATAGTTGGATTGCTTGTGATGTTGCTGTGTCTTTATTACGAGTGGGCTAAGATAGGAACAGCCTTGGTTCTACTTGTTTATTACATATTAGATTTGATTGTTTTAGCAGGGAATTATGAAATAAAAGAAAAAATAATGGAATGGCTGACCCTCAATAATGAAGATAATGAATTCAATTCAGATTAGCATTTAGAATACAAAAGACGAAGATATTCAGTAACACAGCTGAGAGATGCAGGGATGGTTGATCTCAAAGATTAAAGTTTACAAAAAAAGATAAACACTTTTGAAGCTATCTTGGTAATCAAATATGGATAACAAAATCCTTAAGAGAAGAGAATTAGATAAAGGTTTGGATCAATTGTATATGCTATTATATTTTCAATCAGAAATTCAATCAAATCTGAAATTCAAAAGCGATCAGAATTTTACTAAAACCTTAACAAACCAAAATAGAAGTAAAGATAATAACTAAATGATGAATAACCTCAAAGTGCAATAAAATAAAGAAATGATTAACTAAGATATATGATCAAGATGACAATCCTTTAATAGATTCTAATCCAATGGAATCTGTACACCAACCAAATAATTAAGATTAATAGCACTCCTAAAATTAAAATCCTGATGACCAAATGAATTAAGAATAATCAAAACTTGAAATGCCTAAAGAATCTTTAGATAAGGTGTTATTTATAATTTTCTTCCCCATTCATCTGATATTGTACTTATTGCCAAGCTATAACGAAAATGTTGTACCCAAAAAATTGGTGCTATGCTTTTTCTTGAACTTAGTTTTGCTTTGTGGATGCTATTATTTAATTGATTGGTGGGCATTCGAACTAGCATTGGCTACAGGAATCCCTTTATAATTAATAGGAATGATTTTTTTGGGCTTTTTTACTTAAATATAATTTGCGAATTATAATTTAGAAGTTGCAAAAATTGAAACAAAATTAGAATTCACTCAGGCATTCTTTTAAACTGCAATATGCAAAATATCCCTATGCACAGGATTACCTTGGGTTTTGAGAATTATAATTGATTTGGACATTGAATATGAAATGGATTATAATGATTTTCAAAGAGCCTTCTGTATTTCAATTGCAGTTCTTTGTGTCATAGTGTTTATTTTACTCTTGCTTGCATTAGCTAAAGGATTTACTTTGAAATCTTAGGACGGAGTAAAGATAATCGTTCTTTATGGATTATTTATTTTGATATCTGCTATTATAATTGGATTGAATATTTTAAAGTGAAGTTGATTTAAGAACAATATCTAAATATATATACAATTTAATGATATAATATTTTATAATATATGAATATGGTATCTTATAGAAAATGCAATCATAAAATTATATTATTAAGTGTTACTAATAATGTCCAAAAAATTGAAATTCAACTAACTTAAAAGATCATCAGGTGATAAAAATTCATAAGTAACTGATTTCACTTCTATTGAATGTTTGAATGAGATATGTAAAAAGGTGACTTTTAAAGAGGATGTTCTTTATATTCATTTTAATAAAAAGGATTGCCCAATTGCAGTTAAAACATTACTACACAAGCATTTACAGTAATAAAGCTATTCTACATTAACTATTTAATGACTATTTATATATTTATTTTCGTATTTTGCTTGCTCAATCTAAATTACATTTTTTTTATCAATGCACATTCCTGTCCCTAACAAGATAATTTTGAATTAAGCACGTATAATTTGATGAGCCTATTTGCTTACATTTATGGAAGATCTTTAATATTATTCATTCTCAATTAATTATACATAATCGATAACTTAGTTTTTGAGTTTAGACTTCTCTGAAACCATTATTTAAATATTAGTGATATGTGTGGGATAAATAAGCAAAAAATATATGATCAATCTGGTTATTCTATGGAATTATATATTATTTATATATAAAAGTGTAATATTATTAATGAAATAGCAAAATTACACATTATATGTTAGCGAAATTTTGTAATACTATTTTATAAAATATTTAATTTAACTAAATATTTAGAAATGTAAAAGAAGCTTTCGAAAATTAAGGAAACATTTGATAAGTTAAAAAATTACACCTATAAGTTTTTTGTCACCTCACCTGAATAAGGTACAAATTCAGAATTTTCATGCAAGTTATTTGTGAATTCATTATTGATTTCAAATGGGTTTGGTAAAAATACAAAAATTGCAAGATAATAATGTGCTGATATTGGATATGATGAATTAATGAAAAAGGATTGGGAATTTGCTGAAAAAAATAATTTCATTGTCCCCAAAGATGATCAATATCAAATTCTTCTGACCGTAATATAAAGGATCAAATCAGAGCATCAAATTTAGAAGGATTTAGAAGAAACTATTGAATAATCGGATGGTTATAAGCAATGTCATTTAGAATTTGATAATCTCAGGAGTGAAGGCTTTAGTTTTATAGAGACTAATGCTAGAAAAACTAGTGCTTATAATCTGATCTAGGCTATTTTTCAAAAATATCGTAATTTGTAACACTGTGATAATGTTAATTCTTAAATATAGAATTATTTTGGTATATAATCTGGTTAAATTTATCAAGATTCTCACAAAAAGGTGAAAATAGAGTATAATGATAACATCTATTAAAATACTCCAATGAGAACTATCAATAATGTATAGAATAATTAGCAGACATAAATATAAGTGATTTAACATAAAATTGAAATTCCCGAACCTGCATAGATGATTTCTGAATAATTAAACGTTAACTAAGATAAAAATTAAATAAATGAAAATAACACTCTTAGTTTTTAATTAGCAAAATTACTTCAATTAAATAATGAATCCTCTTTTATTTTCTTGATGTTTATATAGCAATTAAGTGGGTTCAACTTCTAAATTACTGGATCATTTATATCCAAATCAATTAGAATTACTAAACCGGAATTGGATATCATTTTAGAAATTTCTGATTAGCATGAGATTAAGTTTTAAAAACTTTTAAAAGAATTAGAAACTGAATTTAGAATTCAAAAGGAAAACAACATCATAATACTATCACACAACAGTTAATCAGTATAAACTAGATTAAAAACTTAAGTGCCATCTCTTAAGATTAAATTGTATTGCTATTACAATTACAAATAAATTGATGAGTTGCATTTCTAACATTCAAATGAGATGAACTAATACAGTTAGAAATATGATTAATTATATTTTTCTTCTTTATCTTTATGTCTTGTACATTAATGGAGAGATGATAATTTGGAGGTGTTGCCAAAATAAGTATTCTATAGTCACAATAATATTTTAGCTTTTAGATTATTTAGTAGTTTAAACAACTAATTAATTCACTTATTTAAACTCGCCATATTAGGTTCTATGCTAAATAATCTATCTCTTAAAAATAGGAATTCTAGATGAGTTGAGTTAGAGAAATTAGAATGAAAAAGAGTTGAATCCGTTTCTATAATCAATTAATTCTTTTTACTTAGAGTTGATACACAAATTATCCAGTGAGACATTGCGTCAAATAAAATAAATTGCAGAATAGTGGAATAAATAATAAATTAATATTTGGGTGAAGAAATACATTTGAAATAATTATGTTTTATAAAGTATCTAGAAAATAATACATCATGAATGGTTTTATTTGTTTATAGCATACTTTTTGAAAATATTGATATAAATGGGTTATTATTTATTTTAATTATTTTCGAATGGGATGTGGTTGTGTTACTTCAGCTGCTGAAAATCCAAATAGAATATCGAAAGTAGATGAATTCAACATTACAGCAAATGACCTGGTAGTAAAAAAGTTGGGAAAAATAAATAAAGATTATGAAATAATTAGACCTTCAATAGGAAAGGGTTGTGTATAAAATTCATCTACCCAATAGGTAGTTTCGGGAAGGTTTACAAGGTTATACATAAAGTGTCTGAAGTTTAAAGAGCCGTTAAAGTGATCAGAGCAACCTAATTTGATTAAGACAAAATTGCTCAAGAAGTGTTAATTTTAAAAAAAATGGTTAGCAATAATATAATAGCTAGGATCATCCAAATATCTTAAAGGTTTATGAATTTTATCAAGAGGGAAACTATATATCAATAGTTACTGAATTGTGTACTGGGGGAGAATTATTTGATAAATTATCCAAAGGTTAGAGTTTTAGTGAAGACATGGCAGCCATTACAATGAGACAAATACTATCTGCAGTGAATTATTGCCATTCAAATAACATAGTTCATCGAGACTTAAAGCCTGAAAACCTATTATATGAGAGCAAGGATAAAAATGCGCTTCTTAAATTAGTCGACTTTGGTACTAGCAGTGTTATTCAACAAAAAATGAAATAAAAGCTAGGAACTCCATACTACATAGCCCCAGAAGTTTTGAATGAAAGTTATAATGAAAAATGTGATGTTTGGTCTTGTGGTGTAATTCTTTATATTTTACTTTGTGGATATCCGCCATTTTAAGGAGGCACTGAAGAAGTTTATATTAACTATACTTGTAGATGATTATGGTAAAAGTTAAGGAGGGCAAATACAATCTTGAAACTGAAGATTGGCAATGCGTTTCTGAAGAGGCCAAGAATCTTATTACTAAAATGCTCAGAAAGTATATAATCAATCTATATAACTAAAGAGATCCTTAATAGAGAATTAGTGCTAACGAAGCTCTTAATCATCCATGGATCTAAAAGTTCACTTCAGTTGTTGATGTTTCAAATTTAAATAAGGTTCTAAACAATATTCGAACATTTCAAGCTGTTTGTAAGTTACAGGAAGCCACCTGGATATTTATGGTGAATAACCTGGCCACTTCTGATGAAAAAGCTTCAATTATGAAGGCATTTTAAGCCTTGGATTTAAATCATGATGGATTGCTGAGCAAAGAAGAATTGATCATTGGATTTTCTTAGATAATGACTGAAGTAGAGGCTGAAAAAGAAGTTTCAAGAATAATGAGGCTAATCGACAAAAACAATAGTTAACTTATTGATTATACAGGTTCCTTGTAATGATTTATATAGAATTTCTTATGGCGAGCACAAGCAGAACTGAATTTCTAGATGAGGAAAGAATTGAAAAAGCGTTTCAAATGTTTGATCTTGATAAAAGTGGGGGCATCTCATAAGAAGAAATATGTGAGGTCTTAGGTGGAGGAACACAGTATGATAAAAAGGTTTGGTCAGATCTAATCAAGGATGTCGATATCAATGGAGATGGAGAAGTAATAATTTATTTTGATATTTCAGATTTAGTTAGATGAATTTAGATAAATGATGTTGTCAATGATTACAAAGGAATGATAGTTAATATTATGAACAAACTATAACTATATATATTCAAATTTTGAAACTTCAAATTAACAACTTAGACTTTAGCAATATAGATCTTTTTCTAACGATAATATAAATTTTAATTACTTTTAAATTTTCCTTCTTAAGAAGGTATATTTATGCCAATTTATTTTTATGTTTTCCCCATAAAATCCTTGAATTAATGATTATAATAGATTGCAAATAGGATTCTTTTATTCCTATTCTACTTTTAATGGTTCATTATTCAGTTTTTCTTCAATCTGAGAAATTTATTTTTCTTCGCACTGTTTTATCTCCTAGGATTAACACTGTTTTATTTCCTAGGATTATACTTTTTCGTTATTTTAAGTTTGTTCATTTTTTTCTACTTTATTTTTCTTTTCCTTTTTCTTTTTTTTATTAATGATTCTACTTTTCTTCTATTTTTTCTTTTTCTTTTCAATAAGTTTTTATTCAACCACTTGTTATTAGTTAATATTGTTATTACAATTTTCTTGATCAGTATTCTATTTATTCTCAGGAGGATTAAACTCTAAATTATTTTTTTCTACAATCACAATTTATTCCTCCAAATGGGGTATTTATATTTTCTCAATTTCCATAGCTTCATTGATTATGATATTATTATCAGAAACTTAAATTTAAGGTCTATCTATTTCATCATTTTCTTTTTCTAATTGAATTTCAGTTGGCTCTTATTAACTAATAATAATATTATTTTATGAGGTTGAAGTTTAGGGCTAATAATGATTTTCTTACTCAATTTATTCTTACATAATAACTTCTAAGGGTTGTATTTCAATATTTTGCTACTTTTCTACTTAAGGTTGAGGTTCCAAAATTTATATTTTATCTACCTCTAAATCAGAGGAATTTATTTTTTCAATTTGTTCATTTTAACTTATCATTTGTGACTGAAGCTGTATATTTTAGGATTCTACATCTTGATTTTACTCAGTATTTATAATAATTGGGCTATCTTATTTTGATGGCTCTTGATTGCTTTAGTTAGCGCCTTATTCCTGCTAACAAGATTATTCATCTTATAAAATTTGCTGTTCATTCAACTCTAAATTATTTTATAATGATGTTTGAATTTCGAAGTCTTTAGATTCTTGAAGTAGCTAATTTTATTACTCAGCTCTCTACTAAGCTTCTTCATGTAATTTATTGGCGGTCAATGGTTTTAATTGAAGGGACGAAAAGTCTAGGTTGATGTTGTCGTTGTTTTATTCTTATTTTGACTCATAACAATTAGTTTTGTTAGATGCTTCTTACTAATACTCATCCGCAAATTCATCAATTTAAGACAATCCTTTTTCATTTTTTTATTCATTGGATTGGATTAGGCTGGTTTGTATGTCAAAAATAGGACTTTTACCTTCTGAATTTGAAGTGATATTTAGTAGTTTAGGTTAGGACTATTTATTGGCTAAATTAATTTCTAATTAGTTATTCAGTACTATAATTGAATTAATTCTTTAATAATTCAGTTCTTTTTTTAATGAAGAGTTCTAGAATAATAATCTTTACGAAATTCCACTGCCGCTTTATTTCAAAGGGGTTTCTCTGACTCTTGGATTGGGAGGAGTCATTCCTATTTTCTCTAAATATTTGTAATATTAGATTTCATAATCATCATTATCAGCCATTTGATAAAAATATTAATGAAAAAAATTAAAATAGAATTCATTATTAAACAATCATTTCAAGCTTTCCAATCAGTTCATAAGAGTCTTAATCTGAAACTTTTATCTTTGAAATCAAATCTTAAAATTTTGGATTATTTAAAAATAATTATGGTCTTGTGTCACATAAACTTGCAATCCACTTCATACAATTAATTTATAATTTGTGATTATTAATTTTTTTCAATAAAAATGAGAATAAGGCTTCGCATTTTGAAATAGGCAATTCTTTTATTACATCAGCAATCAAATTTTGGTCACACTCAAGACTTGAAATGATCATATTTGAGTTCTTTGTTTACAAACCTTCAAGAATCTGAATTAAAATTTCCTATTAATTCATAATATTTATGTTTATTATTTTAAATATATTGGAAATAAATCATGCTCGATATTCTTATCATAATCATTTACTCAAGAACACAACCATTAAAATGATCCCATAAAATATGATAGTTGGTAAGAATGTCATAACAAATCTTCCAAAACTTGATTAATTTATAGACACATAAATACCTAACATATTATCCACTTATAATGAGCATTAGCCATATGTGAAACATAGTATAAGATTATTTCCCTTTATACTTCATATTAATTAGAGCCTTTGCAATATGGCTATGACAATTATTTGTAAATAAGTTATGCTAAATTTTTTTGCTATAAGTACCGTCTATTATTTAAATTCATCATCTGCTTTTAAAATAGCATCATCCCAAGTTTATCTTGAGACTTCAAATTCTTTATTTAATCTAACATATTTTAATGGTTTTCCAAAAGTAAAATTATCGATTGCTACATAGTATGGTCCCCCAAAGTCATGAATAGTTCCTTCAGATGTACAAATTCCAGTATGTCCTATACAAGGAATAAGCCATGTTGCAACGGGTATACTTGTCCAAACAATACAGAATGGAAATCTGTAAGAATTAATTTTAAAAATACTTTTAGTTTTCAACACTAATTTGATCAGCATATTCTATTTCCATATTTTCTTTATCAGGTTCTTGTACTTAATTTTCTTCCTACACAGCCAAATTATGATTTTGATTTTGTTTTGCAGCCATTTGACCCATAATATTTTATAAATAATATTGAATAATATATCGATGATAAAATCTCTGTATTTTTATTCATTCCTATTATTTTTTTGTTCTTTTAACTGTTGTCGTTGTAGTAGTTGTAGATTATGAAGATTCATCTTAATTAGGCTGCTTGCTTTTTAAATTTTCTGATTCAGTCTAAAGTTCATTTAATTTATGCTTTGTCTCATCAAATGTCTTGTTTAGATTAAGATATCTATTCTTCCAAGTATTTATTTCATCTTACAGTCCGACTATGGCGACAGATTGTTCCTACCTTTCTTCTGCCTCTGCAATCTTTTGCTTCAATTGTCTAAATATTAACTATATTTTTACTCAATTTTATGGTCTCTTTATTGATTTTGCATGGTTTCCTTTTCATATTTTGTTTTCCATTGATTTATTACTTGATCTTTATTTAACAAGTCTTAACTGATATCTAAACTTTTTGCTAATTATTACTCCTTCCTTTATTTTTCATCCTTTAATTGTTAATAGGAACGATCTAGGAGTTTTTAATGTTCAGTTATTAAAATATTCAATTATTACATAGTAGCTAATTATCCTTAAAGTTGCTTCTAGTTATTTCGTGCTATTTCTGCCATTTTATTGCAGCAATGCCCATCGAATTGATTTTCTCCTGTGAGTACTTAATAAGCAGACATTCCATAGAGTTAAGTTAATTCAGAATTGGATTTATCATTTGCTTATTCTTACCAATTCAAATAACTTGAGTTTTCTTGTCGAGGACAAAAAGTCTTGGTTACCTCATAGGGAATTTTTGGTTTATTTGGGCAGATTGGATTAGATATAACTTCACTTGAGTCCATATGTGAAATAGTTTAGAAATTTAATTGTAAACAAATAATATAATTTTTATTTTTAATAAGAATATTTATTTATTAAAATAACTTAATCTACTGTCGAACAAGAGTATACTTTAAAATAGAATGAAATACCATTAATCTACTTAGAATTAGTTTAGTAAAACATAAAGTTTAAACAATTAATATTTGTATAGATATAATTCATGGTTTATGTAAACCTTTGGTGCAACCGTAAAGACAATCTCTACATCTATTACAACAAGTAAAATATTCATCTTAACCACATAATCTACAAGAGAAGTATTTTAATTTTCCAGGGTGGTATGTGCAACTAGCTTCATTTTAACCTTCTTTTTAAGCAAATCCACATCTAATACATTTCCACATAATTGGAGAGGATTCAATTTCTTGTGTTATTTATTAGATTTCTTCCAAATACTTCTCAAGATTGCCCATATTGTCTTCGATCCCATTTAATTTTTTAAGAACATCATTTTTTATATTTTGTACATATTCTTTGTCGTCTAGATTGGATTTCAGAACTTTTAATTGTTTCTCTTATTGTATATTTGATTTTTATAAGTAGTCGATCGATGCTTTATAATCCTAAATTTAAACTTTGATTTCATCATGTTCTGAAGTCACTTTGGCTAAAGTTAAATTGCAAGAGCTAATAATTCTATCAACTTCTAATTCTGAGAGAAATGAATCATGGGTAGTCTACAAAGAAGACCTATGTCGTGTTTTTAATAGCATTTATTTTATTTAAATTATCAAGAATATAAATTGATGTTAGCTCATTTTAATCCCAATTTAGTATTCAACTCAAAAATAAGAATGGATAATCAACTCGAATTTACAGGCTTTAATAGTTCTATCAAACAAACAAGAAGATATTAAAATAGACTATGATATCATTATTATATAAAATCATCGATTCTTGAATTGAGGTGAACTGTACATTTTAAGTGAATTTAAGTGTCCATTTTAGCCAACAGTAAGTGATTGTATTAAATTCAGTTGATCAATAAAGTCTTCGCTATCGGAAACTGACTCTGCAATCATCATTTAATAGGAATTTTCAACATCATCTCTTTCGATCATCTAAGAATGGCCTTCCTCATAATTTTATTCAATATTCTCTTGAACCTAAGCCAATTGCATCTTTGCTTATTAGAGACTTGTTTAAGACTTAAATGTCTTTAGCTGTTGTTACTCAGGTGTATGATATAGATCGATGTTAGTGACAGGAACTGATTTAAAAGGAGAACTTTCAGTTTTGGGGGTTCGAGGCAATGATGATAACGTTTTTGAGGTTTTTTAATAATTAACAGAGTCTCTCTTTGCAATGCTTTCATACACATCCTCATTAGTTATGGTTCTTAATCCAATCTCAGATAAATTTTTCTTTATTAAAGATGTTTTTTGTAAACCTACAGTGACGAATTCATTTATTTTATATGGTTCATTCAAGGTTATTTTGATGACTTCAATAGGTTTTCTTTGTAGATCTTCAATGTCTGAGACATACTTCTCTACTGTCTTATGGTAACAATTCATTATTTCATTAAATGGCTCTTACGCAATTTGTTTGACAATACGATCTAAATTCTATTGCACATCATTTTTCATTCCAATGCTTTCCTACTTTGAATTTTGGAGTGTCTTTATAGTTTCTTCATACGTTAAAGAGGTCTATTTAAAATTTTAAGTTAATTGTTGAATTAATTTGTCTTTCTCTTCAGACAGTTACTAGGTAACCAATTAATGAAATCTGATTACTTTGTCTACCTATTATTCGAAGTATTTTGTAATGTCCTACTTTTTAGTTAATAACCCTGACAATGCTTTATCATATTAAGAAAGGTTTCTATTAACCAGATTCAGAAACCTATCGATTACATCCCTCCTTTGTCGTTCTTCAAATCCATTTATTTCTTCAACGACAAAACCTTTGCCTGCCATATTAATAGCACATTTGGAACACAATGACACTGAAAGATCCTTTGCCATACAATATTTAGCAGTTTTTTAAGGGTGATTCATACAACACATATTCTTAATAGGTTTGGATTTGTTTAAAGAGTTAACATTTTCATTTCCTGCAATCGAATTGTGAGGTGTGAATTTCATTGATTTTGGTTAAAACATTTTATAAATTTTTGAATTTTAAATTTTATTATAAACGAATTAATTATTGCTTTATCTGATTTCAAAGATAATAAGTAATTCCAATATTCATAATGTTTTCATACTTGATACATATTTGTAAATCATAAAATTTCTATATTCATTTCTTTATAACAGTTTTATCAATTTGTTTTGATTAGAAATAATTTAAATGAAATATTTTCTCTCTTATTTAGAATCCATAATCTTTTCTTTTAGCGTATTAACATCCACTGAGAGGATTTCGTCTATATAACCTTTCAAATATAATATCGAAATTGCATTCTTTTGAAACACATGAGAACCATGACTGAAACTAGTGGAAAGTAAACAATTCCCCTTAATTTTTAATTTAAGGTTTCAGAGCTATTAGATTGATAATTTAATCATTCTATATGATAACTTTAAGTTAACAGTGGTTAATGGAAATGCTATTATAACAATTAATATAGGGTAATTTCTTTAGAAATGATATCAATAATTTAATTTAATAATGAGCGTGATTAATCCGCAATTTAAACCATCTAGATTTAGATTAGAAAGCCTGGGACCTTAATTGGCTTTTAATCCAACCTACAACCCTGTATGAATTTAATGTTATTGTAGCGATTTTGTTATATTGGAAGTGATGACTATTTAAATGATTTATTATAATTAGAATAACAGTAGTTGGAGGAACAAATGATTGCCTTGATCACTCAGTAGTCGCTTGATATGGAAGAGAAGAGTCCGTAAGTGACAACTTTAGCAGAAAAGCAATAAAATAATTATAAGAAGAAAGTATGAATAATTGATATAACATAAATAGAAAGTCTTTGACAGTGCTGATTATTTTATGTAACAACAACAGAAGAAGGATTTAACCATAGAGTAAAAGTAGGAAGAGTTGCTCATGACCAAGTATGCGGCTGCAGATTTGTAGTTTAAGACCCCCTTAACTAAGAAATAAAAGAAGGTGTTTGACTCAGCAGACTACTTCCTTTCACTATACAAAAATTGAAATAATTAAATCCGTTTTAAAATATATAATGAAAAAATCGATTGTCTTATTGACTCTACTCATTGTCTTGACAAACACTCAACGTGGAACCTTGGTTACTCATTACGACTTGGATGGTAATTTGATATCTGAAGAAATCATGGCTCCAATAGAAGATGAAATAACCTATTATGATAGCAATGAGTCTGCTATTGATTCTAGTATGAATCAAGAAACATAAAATTAACCAAATTTAACAACTCCTTAAGAAAGCTAAGACTCAGCGTCAATTGATGTTCCAATTTCAACAGCCAATACGCTAGAGCCAGCAGAATCCGATTAACAATAAACAAATTTGATAGGATCTTCTTTTGAGATATAACCTGTTGTAAATTAACAACCTAAAATAGAAACCTCAATAGAATAATAGCATAATTTAGAATAATAAATAGAAGGAGAATTACATTTGCAACAAGTCCCTATGAATTAAAACCTAGATTTGACAATTCAATAATAAAACATTCCAGAACCTCAATTTTCCAAAGAACAAGATGATATTTCCATCCGAAACGCAGACACTTATTTATAGCCTGTTGTTGTAACATCAGATCAAATGCTTGTTGTCTAAAAAGATATTGATTAACAGACAAATTCTAGTGATATTAACAACTCAATTTTAAATGCTTAATAAACACCAGATAAATTAAATCAAAAAGAGTAAGAGTAATCATAGAATAAAGAAGATCAATAGAATTAACCAAACACAAATGAAAAGTTGGAAGAAAATAATCTAGAAGCAAAATAAGAAACCACCAATAAAGTCATCTAAGATATGCCTATTTAAGATTCAGTCATAATTTAATCAGGTAATGAAATTCATATTGCACAAAATGCTTATGAAATTTAGTCAGAAAGTTTAGGTTCAGTACAAGAATAATAAGAAAATTAAAAAGAATAAATAAATATCTAAACTACCAATGCAGATGATTAGTTCGAAGTTACATAAAATTTTGGTAGAATTATTCAAGATATGGTACCTGAATCAGACGAAGACACTCAAATACTGGAACAGCCAGAAGATTTAGAATTATAACAAAAGGCAGTCCCTTAACCATCCTAAATAGAAGAAGATATCAACTTTAACAATGAAGATGAATAATTAAATAATTAGGTGGAAAAATAAGCTTAAGCATTTAATGAGGATAAACAAGAAAATTAAGCATCATTTAGTAAAGGAAATGAATAATAAGAATAGTAAATTGAAACAGATGTGCAAGAAATCACTTAAGAATCCACTTAGGCATAAGAAGATATACCTGAAGAGTTGAAGCAAAACGTAAATTCGCTTGAAAATAATATTAATAAATAAGGAGACATGAAAATTAATAATCCCTTTGAAGATGATGGTCTAAAGCTATCTAGTGAGATTATTCAAAATTAATGCATAGTAATTTACTCTGAATGTGAGTATTAAGGTTTAGCTTTAGAAGTTTGCGACAGTTTAAAGGATATTGAGTAATATCTTCATCTGTATTTTCGATAGGAAATTTAAACATAAAATAAAATCCATTTACATCCCAAAAGGGTTTGGACTGACAATCTTTGAAAATTAAAACTTTAATGGTTAGAGCCATCGTTATACTTCTTCTTAAGCATGCCTTCAGAGAGAGGTTTCATTTATTCAACTCCAAATGGATAAATCAATAATAATAACACACTAAAATCTAAGAGGTTAACATTGAATATATAATATACGATATTCGTTGTAATTAAATAGAATATTATTTATAATGATGTAAGAATTCATGCAAGTCCCTTTATTAAGGACAGAGTATTTTTAATTAAGTGGCAGCATAAATGAAGAGATTGAATATACCCATAATCTTATGGTTTTTATTCACCTAAAAAATATTCTTCTGCTTATTCCTTTCCTTCTCGAGAAGCTATAACATAACATCCTTAAGCTACAACTTTTAAAATAAATTAATTCTGTAATCTATTTAAGAGTAAAAAAAATAAGTGATTCAAATTAGTCTATTAGAATAATTTTAAGATCCTAACTAACTTTATGTCTATTCTAAATTCCTCACCAATTCCTTCTAATTCAACATTCTAATCAAATAAATATGAAATTTTATTTTCTGACAGATATCGAATAAAATTTAGATAATTTTATAACTGCTTTTTCAATATGTCTCCTCTTATTCTTCCAAAGTTGTAATGAATTTTATAAGCTATAATTGAACTCTACATTTATTTAGGAGCTCTCAAGATTGATTGCCCTTAATATCCAATTTAAATGTAATTTTTTCTTTATATCAAAAGAATACTACGACCAGGATAATTTAGTATTAGAATTGCGGTTAATTATTGCTATTTTATTAAGTAACTCAAAAGCTTTAGCTTTGGTTGGACTTAAATGAATTTACTATAGATAATAAATCCCTAATTGCAGGAGCTGAATTTGAATCTCTTTTTGAAATCAATTTCATATAGATGTTATAAGCTATGTAATTTTGATAAAGAGTCTTGATATAATATGAAAATTTATAAACTATTCATTTATTTTTGAATTATAATATAATAATTATAAAACCAAATATCAGCTATGAACTATTAAACATTCAAACCAAGTATTTTAAATGATACTACGAATAACTTTCCTATTTAATTCAAATAAAATGAAAAACCTAACCTTAAAAATTCTGACTTTAATAATAGTTTTCATGAGAATAAATTATTTGGTCAATAATTAGAATACATCAAATAACTAGAAGAATAAAAATCCATAATTGAAGGATAAAATCAATTTATTTAGATTTTACGCAATTCAATTGAAAATAAATTACAAATTGAGGGATTTCAAGAGGTTTTAAATTAAGTTTTGAATATGTCAAGAGAGTAAAAAATTGATTTATTTGCGTTACTTTCATAGCTTTACCAAGAGCTTTACAATTAGAATTAAAATGTGACATAGATTGAAAATTTATAACAATTAGTTGATAATTTAAATCATTAAATCAACTTTTATGCTAAAGAGTTAATGGAATTAAAAGTCGATAAATAGTATTTGATTGATCAGTTGGATTAATTGGCAACCTCAACTAAAGATGACGATACAATAATTTTTAAAGAAGCTTAAATACAAAAATTAGAATCAGAGAATCATCATTTGAAATCATAAATATAACAACTATAATAAAAAAATGAAAAATATTAATAGGATATCTAATAACTCGAAAAGAGGTTGAATAAAATTCAAGTAAATTTAAAAACAGAAGAATGTGAAAAAGAAGAGTTGATGAAAGAATTGGATGGGTTAAGACAAACCTTTTATAAGAGTTTATAGAAAGATGAACAAAAGTAAGAATTCAATTTAGCTCTAAAAGAATAAGAAATGGAGTTTTTAAATACAAAAATCAAAAAGCTGGAATAACAGAATGAAGAAAAAAAGAATTGCATAGAGGAAAAATTTAAATAAATTGAACTATTAAAATACCAACTTCAAGATCTTGAATAGAAATTTTAATATTAATTGGAGGATTTCGAGATAAAAACTAATTAAATCAAATCTGAGTATCACGAGCAATGCTTATATGGAGATTAACTCTAAGAATAATTATCAACTTCAGAATAATTCATTTAATAAAGTATTTATTGATTAATATTAAAGTAACATTGAAAATCAATGAGATTACAAATGGACATGATTAAGATATTTTGAAAAATTTACATAATTTAGAGGAATTCTTATAAAATTCCTCATTGGCTGAATAAAAATATTAATAATTAGATCAAGAAAAATCTTAAATAATATTTGATTTATAACATTAGGTTACAGACTCTCAATAAATAAATTAACAATTATAATAACAAACCTCTGCCTAAAACAATCAAATTTAATAATATTAGAATGATCTAAAAGTATTAGACAAATAAAAAAGAATGTTTAAGTAAGAATTAATTCACATGAAATAACTAGATGAATAGAAAAATAAGGAAATCTAAGAACTTTAAATTTAATTCTCAAAATATGATAAAAAATTATCTACCCAGCTCGAATAATAAGTAGAATTAGAAAAAGAGAATGCATAATTAAAAGAATAGCTGATAATATTATAATAGTAAATGAATAATAATAAGAATTAACAATCAAACAAGAAAAGTATTGCTTGTAGCTAAGTTTCAATTTAGGAGTAAAAATTTAAGAATTTTGATTATATAGCATTGTTAAAAACAGTAAATTTATTGGTTTATTCTAGTTTGAAATGGTTAGGACTATGTTTTCAGTTGAATGTTAAGATATGATATAAGAGATGCTGGTTTTGCAAAACAAATTAGTTCGAACTGAAGATATTGATAGTGATCTTATTTAATAAGAAATAAAGCTATAGCAAAAATTTTCAAGTCAATAACTAAAATTTAAGGATGCCTAATTTTAAATGGCTAAATTAAGCAAAGAAAATAAAGATTTAAAATAAAAGGTGAAATAATTAAATTATGCTAGATGGCTACTACTCATACGTAAAGTTTAAATCAAAGTTATAATTAAACAAATTAGTCATTTGGTTAGAATAATAGTATTGCCAGATATCATAAATAATCAATATCAGTCCATACTAAACTACGTCCTTAATGAATCTATGTACTTGTTTTTCTATTAATACATTATTTTGATTATCTCAAATTCACACTATTATTTATATAAATACAAATTGTTGCATTTGATTTTGAATGATGACAACCTTAATTTGGAATGTTTTGGAAATCTTTTAGTTGTTTAAATAAGTTTTTGTAATAAAAAACTATCAAGTTAATTGCAATTCAAAATAAAAAAATTTAAATAATCTATAAAACCAATATATAATTCAATGTTTAACCTTATTGCCATTAAATATGAGTTTTTTATGCTTTGCAAGATGAGAATAAAAATTAATTAAATATGAAAAACTGAGTTTGTAAATTTGGTTGGAATTTCAAGTCGATTTTTAGGTTTAATTAAGATATATGAATTTGAGGATTAGAAATATAATTATAAATATAATTTATTTTTATATATGAGTAAACAATATAAAGACATTCGAGCAAATTTTGTATTTGATGTAGCTCCAAAAAGTACTCATCAATCAAATGATGAAATGCCAATTGTAATTAAGTAATCAGACCCAATAAAAATTGATAAGCAGTAATAAGATGTGCAAGAAATCAATTAATAAAGATAATAAAATTTTGATGAAGAGAAGTTGAAATCGTATTAGAAAATGTATGAGATGTGCCAACAATTATATAATGACAAGGCTTAACTTATAGATGTATAATTGTATTAAATTTGAGGCAGTTGATTAATAATAGAAATAAATATTAGAACTGGAAAGACAAATTAATGAATTTGAGAATTTGTAAGCAAATTATGAGAAGGAATAGATGTAATTAAAGGAGGAATAATTATAATATGTTCAGGAGATTGAAACATTGACTTGTCAGTTATAAGTTGTGATGGCTTAAAAATAAGATATAAATCAGATGTAGAACAATTACGATGAATTGTATGACTAATTGATGAATTTTTTATATTAAGAGAACCTTTAGGAGTTGATAAATGACTAGGATAAAAGTAATAAAAAGATGATTGTATAGTTTTTAGTAGAATATGTAAATTGTTGTTTTGATGGTTTAGTTAATAAACTAATATGTCTAAAAAAAAAATCAGGAAGAAAAATTCTAGATTCACATTTAGGATAATATTTAAATAATTTATGATTTATAAAGTAAAATTTAAGATCTAACTTGTAATCCTTACAGGATCACCACTCCTAAGAGTGTGTTGAGTGACACTTTAAAATAGAGCAAATTGAGCAGCAGTGCAAGCCATTTTCATAAGACCAATAGTGTTAATGCTAACGACAAGGAAGAACTGCAATCGAAGATTGGTATTTGCATAAGCTTAATTAGATTCTTTAAAGCGTCAAGGGAAACAAATAAATAAAAAATGGTAAGAGTTTTGTGAAAATATATTAAGAGAAAGGAATGATGTTATAAAATATCATAAAAAATAAATTGAATCTATTGCTGAGTAGAATCTAGAGTTAAAGAAAACTATCTCTGAAATCATACAATATTTGGGATAGAGCTAACAAGATTTGTGGATCTAAATGTTGGATATTAAACAAAAAATACATTTGAAAGTCATTGATTTGAGTAGAAGTGACAATGTCAATTAATTGTTAGTCGAGGCAGAACTTAAACAATTGTTCTCTATATAGGCACAATTGAGAAGTCAATTAAATCGTAATCGACCATTAAGAAAAGATTTATAATGAATTATATGTTAAAGAGATATTTGTTGAGTAGTATACGTGTTAATTTATTATTTTAATTTATGAGACTTCTTCATCTACTCAGACCAGCACTTTCTATTATTCCAGAAGTACAAGAGCCAAGATTTCCTCAACCATTGAAGGTCAAAGTGCTCATCACAGGAATTACTCTCTTTATCTATTTGATTTGCTGTTAAATCCCATTATACGGTGTATACAGAACTTCAGGTATTTTATCGGGCAATACACATTAGGATCTGACCCTTTCTATTGGATGAGAGTTATCTTGGCCTCAAATAAAGGTACCTTGATGGAATTGGGTATTTCACCAATTGTAACATCTGGAATGATTTTACAATTCCTTAGTGGAGTAGGATTTATTGAAGTTAATCATTCGGTGAGAGAAGACAAAGTACTATTCAATGCAGCCTAAAAATGTATTGCTAATATCAATTTTTAGTATTATCCTTTATTATGGCAATTGCTGAAGGAATGGCATACATATGGTCTGGTGCATATGGTGACATAAATCAAATAGGAGCTGGTAATGCCATTCTTATTTTGTTATAATTAACATTTGCCGGTGTTATTGTTACAATGTTAGATGAAATGCTTTAAAAAGGATATGGTACAATATAAAAATTTAAATCTTTTAGGTTTGGGTTCTGGTATTTCATTGTTTATCGCAACTAATGTAAGTGAAAACATTCTCTGGAAATCCTTTTCACCTATTACCTTGTCCACTGAAGCTGGAACTCAATTTGAGGGTGCTATTATTAATTTCTTCCATTTGTTATTCACAAAATAAAATACCCGTAAAAATTAATATAATACTTTTAGTCTAAGCACTTTATTACGCATTCTTCAGAGAATCAGCTCCAAATCTTAATAATTTGTTAGCCACTTTGTTTGTGATCTCATTGGTCATCTACTTATAAGGTTTCAGAGTGGAAGTTCCATTAGCAAGTTAAAAAATTAGAGGATTAGTGTCATCACATGGAATTAAATTGTTTTATACCTCCAACATCCCAATGATCATCCAAAGTACCCTTGTTTAAAATGTTTATTTCCTTTCATAATTACTCTATCGAAGATTCAAAACCAATTTCTTTGTTAAATTGCTTGGTACATGGTAAGAGGCAGAATTTGGTGGTTAATCAGTACCCATTGGAGGTTTGGCTTATTACATGTCTCCATTAAGAGATGTCAAGGATATTATTAATGATCCAATTCATGCAGTTGTTTATGTCTTATTTGTTGTATTCATGTGTGGCTTCTTTGCTAAATTTTGGATTCAAATTTCAGGAGAAAGTGCTAAAGATGTGGCTAGAAAATTCAAAGATGAATAAGTATCAATATTAAATGAAAATAGATTAAAATTAAAGGATTGAGAGAAGAATCTATGGTCAAATATTTATCTGGTTATATTCCAGTGGCAGCATTTTGTGGTGGAGTTTGCATAGGATTATTGACTATTGTTGCTGATATTTTGGGAGCTATAGGATCAGGTAATTTTTCATTGTTATTGTTTCAGGAACTGGAATTTTGTTAGCTGTTACAATTATTTATGGGTATTTTGAAACATTTCACAAAGAAAAATCTGATAATCAATCCATATTTTGATCATTATCATTTTATCTATATGTATAAAATTATCATGTATAAATTCAAACTTCCTAGTTTATATTATTTAATATTATTTTCAAAATTACTTAGGGCATTGGATGTCTATTTTATAAGTAAATCATTGTTAATTCATTCCAATATTAATACAAATCTAATTTTCTTAAAATAATAAATTTGTGAGGCCAATTATATGTAAATTCAATTTATTTATCAGAGTTGGATTTACCTTAAGCAAATGCTGATTAATTTTAATTTTATACAAATGCATCTATGTAAATTTCATCTCATTTGCATATATTAATCTGATTTATAAATATTTGATTTTCTTTATTTAAACTATCCTTGCTATTTTGATCTTCAAACTAGCATCAAAGATACATCATATAAAATTCAAAGGCTATATATAGAATAATATAAGAGGGGCTAATTCAAACTAAGAATAGCAGATCATTATGTAATTTAATTATTTATCCACCACTCAACCCTAGTATGCCTTTATGACAGTTAATTTTGAATGAAAAATTGTGTATATGTTATAATTTTATATTATTTATATTTCTAAATATGAAATGGGAATACTTTAAGCAGTATCAAGGCTTGATAATTCAAACTAACTTGTCTCCTACTATAAATAATTTCAGCTATGCAAAATTCTAAATTTGTGTGTATTTCCTACAATTGTCATACTTTTTAATTGATGATTCAAATGAACAAGTTTTTAGCCTGATAAAATCATTCACAAAAATATGTTTGATTTCTCCATACTTTATGAATAACAACCCAATAAACATTTTAATCGGCATTGCCATAACCATGCTGAATTGCTTCCCTTATATCATTATCACTTATCGCTTTATAATGAAAAGCCACAATAGTGTAGACAGTATCTCAAAGAGTGTTTTGGATGTATACAATTATTATTATCAAATTTTAGTTAATTACCATACTAATAACTAACTATTTTCTTAACTTCACTTGGTTATTTTATGTTATTCAACTCTATTATGTTTGTTGGAACTTGCTGAATGCAGCTGATCCATTGTTGATATTACTTTCTATTTTTAATTTATTGATTGCTTTGGTAAGCTTATTAATTTCAAATATCTATTTCATCAACTACGAATTCTTTTAGTAAAGTTTAAGAAAATACTTTAATTACAATAATATAATAGCCCAATTACTATTAATCCCCTTAGTGTTTATGTCAATTAGAACATAGTTTATTTTTGTTTTACTTTCAAAAATTGTCTTTGGATTGTTCATATGCATGCTAATAGGAGAGGCAATCATCTAGTATCCTTTTGGGTAATCTATATAATACTAATCATCATAGATTTTCAGCTTATGCAAAATTATATAATTCGGGATTAACAATATTCACAATTGTTTATCTAATCACAACAATACAGAAAGCATTTTCAATAAATTCTTATTCATGCATAGTGATATTCCTAATACTTTTGCCTGTTTCATAGCATCTGACAACTGCTTTAGTTGAAATGAAAAGATAAACTGTTTACCAAACAATTTCAAAGCAAAATCAATATTTTGAATTATTGTACATAGAGAACATGTTTGAATTGAATGGTGAGGCCCAAAAAAGTAAGTAAAAGGAGATTGAATATTTAACTAAATTTTGTATGCATCACTCTCATTGTAGATTAAATAAATGTTAATGTAAGAAAATTGGCTTTGAGAAGATCATTTAACTTGACCAAACTGTTATTTTTATATCATGCTTGTTCAAAAAGAGTTTTGATAAACATAAAGCCACAGTATAAAAGAGGATTGGGGATTTTGAAGTACTATCTTTGAAGTTCTTAACCTTCATTAATAAATTTAAAAGGAATGGACCTAAAACTTATTAAGAACTGAAAGTTCTATTCTAAAAATAAAGAGAATATTCATTCTACTTTATTTAAATGTGTTTATTTTTGTAATTCATAATATAGGCTTAAATGCAAAAAGATGAAGATTACAACATTAATTCAGAATCTCGAAGCAGAATTTCAAATGTGAAATTGTAAGTGAGTAAAAGCGAGAGAAGTATTGTATAGAATCTTTATTAAATGGAGTAAGTCAAATAAAATATGTTACCATTATTAATCTAAGTAATAACTATTCAAAAGTAATTAGATCTGTTAATTTAAATCTGGATTTTGGAAGTAAATTTAGGAAGGCAAAATAGCCACATTCATTGAAATAGAAAAATAATTGTAATAGCTGTAAACATTACAAATTCAAATATCAAGAGACTATAACAAGTATCGATCAATATTTTTTGTTAATGGAAGGACCTATAATGTATAATTCTTAAAATTTGATGCCCTTATCTAATTGATTCTATATAACAATGCTAGAGCATATTATGAGATGGAAAAAGGTAAGATTATATACAAAATATTAGATTGTAAGGAGATCTTGGCTTATGAAAGAAGCATGAGTACGTTTGAAATTACCAACATCAACTTTTTTAAAGGAGATGCTATTTCAGTTAAGGTGTGTATAGCATTTGGCCCAAATATAGGGAAAGTCAGAAACAAAGTTATTTCACCTTTGATTCCTCGATTTTTTGGATTCGCTGACATGGCATCATTTATAGATTATACAAAAGGTAATATCAATCCACTCATGCCTAATTGGCTTTTGGGTGTTCATGATGAAATGATGCAAAATTATATTAGAAGAGGATCAACTTAGAGAATTGGAAAATATTTTTAAACATTTGCAAAATTATGCGATCAAACATTAATTAGATGTTAAGTGTATTTGGCTCATAACTTTAGTCCAGATTTAGAAGCTGATTTTTCAATGATTGGGTGTTTGAAAAGATTGGAATAAGATGAATTAGATCTTAAGGAGGATTCTAAACGATTAAGAAATCTGATATTCAAAGGGTAACAACATGTCCTATTTGATATTTATGGAAATTTAATGGGAATTACTTAAGGATTATATAAAATGATTGATCGTATGCAAAGAAAGCCTAAAGATAATAATAAGTAAGATGAAGTAAAACAGAAATCTTTTGAGAATGAGGAGTCTTCTGCAGATTCAGAATCTGAAGTGTATTTATAAATACTATTCGCATTAGTTTTGATGTCTATGAAATTAAATGGTCAAATGAACCTCTTACTATCGAAGACTTCTACTTAAAAGTGTTAATTTGGATGTTGTTCCCATTTATTACAGCTGAGATTGAATAAACAGGGATAGAATTTTTGATGAATGGCTAAGTACCTCCAAAAGGAAAATATCCAAATCAAATAGATCTGGAAAGTAGTAACACAGTGGTTTCAAACAAAGAGACATACATGTTTGTACCAGAAGATATCAATTTATTTGTTTAACAATACAACAAGGTTCTAGGTAAAATAAATGAGGATGAGAAAATTCAGACTTCTAATTTCTCTCTGAGTGGCAAAAGGTAATAATTTATGGAATCTGAATCACTCAATACTAAATAATAGGTTACAGTATTTAATGAGAAATTGTGTTCATTCTTTTTTGAAGAATTCCTAAGAAAGCATCAATAAATGGTCTTGGGCAATTTCTCAAGGCAGGAGATGAGGGTTTCTAATCTGAATTAAATGACAACTAATATTTAGCATTCAGAAAATGCAGATTCATCTTCTGAAAGTGAAGGACAATTAAAAACTAGGGCCGAATAGATGTATTATGATAAGTTCCAAAATTATATATAAAGGATTACAACATAAGATTTCAATCCTATTCCAGTTATTTATTCTGTTAACTATGAAGAGTTTAGGTATAAAAAGAATGAAATAGAAAATAAAGTTTAAATGTTTGTTATTGAATTGACTGTAAATGAATAATAAGTTGCTAGTATGGAAAAAGGATATCGTAAATAATTAAGAGACACATTAAAGTAAATGTAGGCGTAATTGAAATAAGATAAAAATGAAAATACAAATAGAGGATCTGCTAACATCAAATAATCTTAAAATTTATCCTAACTGTAAATGATCTCAGATGATTCAATGAGCTTGCAAGGCAATTTCAGTGAAAAAGTAGATCAAGATGATCAAATCTCTTTATACTAATTTTTGAGTCATCCATCAAAATAAGATGAATATTGTTTTAGTGAACAAAATATTCTTACTGATCAATTTA